TATTGCTTAGGAGATATACATATATTATTCAAAACTTTCCTGTAGGACTCTTCAAGACCTACAATTTTTTAGTATATTGTTTTGATGTATGTATGTCTTAAGATTTAGCCAGCGGAAGGTTTCTAGGATAAAACCAGTTATTGTATCTTCTCGTGAGAAAGAAAGATTTTCTTGAAGTAAAAGGTATCCTAGAGGTTGACTCGAGTAATAAGTTATCACTTCACCAAACGTTGAAACCGGTTCATTACTTTTCGCGTGAAACGCGCATACAAAAACAGACAAACAAACATACAGGCAAACAGAGAAACAGACAAATTTTATGATAACTATTGTTTTGAGGTTTATGTTGTGTACTTACATAATACGTTACAAATAAACGAAAACATCTATCCCACGGGAACCGTACATTTTTCCAAAAAAAAAGTAACCTGTTTGTTATTCTGGTGTATGACCTATATTATTGTAAAGTTTTATTAAAATCCAATCAGTACTTTTGTATATGTACATGTGTACTAAGCTGTATAAGTTATTATAGTTTTATAACTAACCCACGGGAACTATTTAATTTTCTGGGATAAAAAGTATCTAAGATGTTGCCCGGGGATATAAGGTACCACCATGCAAAATTTCATTTAAATCGGTCCAATAGATTCGGAGATTAGCTCGTACAAACAGACAAACAGACATAGAAACAAAAAATTTGAAAAAAATCTAGATTTGTTCTACTTGTCTTCTTACATCCCCCTGACTCGGTTTTTATCATTTTTTTGCTATGTACAGACATTCGACCTCTACTGTTTTATTATAGGATAGATAGTTATATTAGTATTGAATCCATCAAACGATTGTCCCAATACGGTTAAAACCAGCTTTTGGCATGGTTTTTTAATATACATACTTAGGCAAAGATCATTTTACTAAGCCCTCTGTGTACAGCGTCTGAGCGTCATGAAAGAGCAATATAAATGATTCGATAAAGAAACTAGTGGTAGTAAGTTCCATAAGGTTAAGTTTTTAAGGGCACGTAGGTATGTTAGTTTTAGCAAATCTTTATAGGTACTTTATATGGATTACAGGCTTAAAAATGATCCATTATTAATCATTAGTGCTATAAATAACAAATAAAAACATATGGTTGCTTAAAAACAAATACAATATATAATTAACATTTTAAAATTAGGCCCGTTTAAATATTTAAACTTTACAAAAGATAAGCCTAAAATATTGTGACATTTTCGCAATTAAGTTCAGTCAACAACCTATTAGGCTCTACCCCTCATAAATTGCGCCTCCAACCATGGCATGACTCGATCGTCGCATATTGCTAATGTTAACAGGCAGTTGTGAAGATTATTATGTGCATAACGAGCGAACTTGAACACTAAATAAGTTTAAGTTGTATGTGAAGTCTATGGGTGTGGGGGCGCAACTCGGGGGGAGGTGCGCGCGTCTATTGATTTTACCCCCGGCCAACCATTGCCCTATCTCGGCAAATGTCAAGATTATTATGACCACAGCTATATATAGAAATTTAAATTAAGAAAGGAAGACATTGAGAAAAAAAATAATTAAAAAAAAGAAGAATTAAGTATAATTTACGTATTATACTTTTTTTCCTGTACGACACTTTTGTAATACATATACATACATATATTGTTAAATCTACTTATAGGCTTTTTTTGCTTAAAATATTTTTCTTGGTATTTTTACCGTAGACTCACAAGTACGAACTTTTTTATGATATGTCCACTCCCGTTATCCATTTAAAAGTTATATATTGTGCTAGAAATCATTTGAATGTACATCTAAAGTAACTTTAAGTACATTTATTCCATCTCAGTTTCTTGGCCTAGTGACTTGAGCACAACTTGAACAATTACGGTATTAGATCTGCTTTCTTTTTTACATAAATGATTTATTTAAAACACAATAAAATTAGATACATATAAAGTTCTATTCTATTCTATTTAATTTAATAGATCTTTAAAAGACAAAAGCATTTTTATTTTTATTTTGTAACGTATTAATAATAATAAGTAAAGGGTAAGTTGGTTTAAAACCAACAAGACGTTATGATTAACATTCAAAGGTCGCAGAACTCACGCTATTGCATGCTGGCCAGAGGTTTACATCATTTATGAATTATGACCTGCCCCGTGAATTTATCCCCGCTTTTACTTTCAAAGGCAAACATTTCGTGCTAAAACTGAATTAAGAACTAGGTAGAGAGCATAAAGAATTTTAAATTTACATATTTCGTCTTCTAACTATGTCTATATGTATGTATCTAGACGAACTTTGATTATTACTCTGTAACTTATGATCTCAGTAACATTCCTTGAATTTCTTCTTTACTTATCTCATCCCTATCATTTTTTTTGGAGATTTTTAAATCAAATAAATTCGAGATAAAATTTGATAATTATGTAGGTGTCTCATCAACACGATTGGCTGGCATGAAACGCATGCCAATCGTGAATTAAATAATCCCATTATCCCATTAATATTATAAATACAAAAGTTTGGATAGATGTTTGTTATTAAATCACGCCAGAACGGCTGAACTGATGTGGTTGAAATTTGACACAAAGAAATTATAGTCTGGAATAGCACATAGGTACTTTTTATCCCAAAAAAATATACCTACGGTTCCGAATCGATTTATTTTTGTTTTTAAAACTTGTGTTGCAAAAACGTACCAAGGGACGAACCCGAGCGAAGCGAGGGTGTCGCTAGTGAAAAATAAAAACACTTGGACACGTAAAAACTTATATAATACTACACTTAAGCTTGTTGTTTTTGATAGGCCTTTAAAATAATTGAGGCGAGTAATTTATTAACAAATTTTATTCAAGTCAATAGTTGCCGAGTTATACATATGATTGTAAAATCAAAAACATTTTATACTTTAATAATAATAGTTTATTTTTTATAAGTAAAGACGATATTTACAGAGCATATTAAGAAAAGCCCAATAGGCTTCATTTGGCAAAACAGTAAGGTTTCGATGGCCAACTTTTAAATCTAAAGTAACAATTCCTTTTGTAATAATAAATTCGTAAATGAATACGAATACTCAAAGATGAGTTGTATATTTTATATAACAGTATCACGAACAGTTATAGCGACATGGGTGGTAATGACGCAGGTGAGTCGCCCCCATCCTTTGTTGAAGCGATCAAGGTCGCTTCACCACCCTTCATTTATGCTCCCCAAGTTCAATGCACATGGACTGTTTATTAAAAGATTAAAACGAAATTAAAAACGTTGACGACCTATATTTCGTTAAAATTGAAACCTTATTGCTTTGCTGCGTTGCATAAATGTAGCTGTTTTGACTTTAATAAAATGTACCTACTTAGTACTTTCTTTTTTTTCACAAACATGTATTATAAAACATTCTCATGATAAACATAAAAATATTTTGACTTCTTAATAATATGTTAAATATACATATATATAATAATTTCTTAGCCTCTTTTTGAGTGGCCACAATTACTCGTAAGAATACAATTATGACATGCTTAATAAACATAATTTGCCATTTTATATCACTGGTTACCTAAATAATTACTATGGAATGTAAAACTAAATTAATTAGTTATAATAATAATAAATGGTAATTGTTTATTTAAAACTTCACATTTTATTAAAATATCAGACAAATAAATAGCCTATTACTTCATAAAACTCGTAGTTATCGAAAGACCGACGAAAAGTGTTATTGTTGAATATCATTTGAAAAAACTTTTTAACAAAAAAATAAAAAGCGACTTCAAACAAAAGCACTAAAAAGTAAAAAATAACTGATTGGTAGTTTTCATTTACTATACATACCTAATCAAATATTTTCCAAGTCGTTGTGATTTGCTTTGTATGGGCTGGCACCGATTTCGAAAATATTTGTTAAGGTATGTATTTAATAGGTAGGCTTTAATTACTTAACCTCCTCCTTTTTGAAGTCGGTTGATAAGGTAGTGAAATGGATTCAAATCCCGGGTTTCGCACCTCTGATATTTTCATGTGCAAATCATTTCTAACATGATTACCACTTGCCTTACGGTGAAGGAAAACATCGTGAGGAAACCTATATGTCTGTGAGAACCTAGCAAGTTTTCGAAAGACATGTGAGGTCCACCAACCCGCACTTGGCTAGCGTGGTCGACTATGACCTGATCCCCCCTAGTATTGAAGGGAGGCCGTGCCCAACAGTGGGATGTTGAAAAGGGCTGTTTACATGAGCTCTTTCATCTATATCTCGTATTCTCTATTCTATATAAAAAAAAATAATTAAAATTGAACTAATATTATTTTGAAAATATTTCTTTATATAAATAACTTTCAAAATTATAAATGAGAAAGTTTGGATGGATGGATGTCTGTTACTCAATCATGCTAGAACGGCTGTATGGATCTGGATGTGGCACAGTGATAGATTAGTCTTGAATAGCTGTAGGCTAAATTTCATCGTTTATTTTAGTTTTTCACTATAGGAATTGAATCCGAGCGAAGTGAGGGTGTGCCAGTAGTTTTATAATAATACTAGCGGACCCGACAGACGTCCTGTCTACACGTCTTTAATTTGAAAATTTCAAACTTTTTTTAATAATTTTTTTGATGAAAATTATTATTCAAATTGTGAATCTAAACCATTCCCAGATCCCCTTGAACACACACAAAAAATTTCATCAAAATCAGTCCAGTCGTTTGAGAGAAGTTCAGTGACATACACACTCACAGAAGAATTATATATATAAAGATTGATTTTCTTTTTGTTATAGTCATTACAGTCTTGATTTAATAATTAGTATTATAACTAGGAAATGTATATTATTAAGACTTAAATTTGTAGATACAAATGCAATTCAGTTAAGTTAAATAAGTAAAAGCTCATTATTACACTTAAAGTTATTTATTATTGACAATAATAACTCACGACTAGAGATCTTATGAAAAAGTTTAACACCATATGGTATTCGTTATTAGTTTGTTTTTTATTAGCTACTGTTATCATCCTCTGATACAGCTTCATTTAATACTGATAACATTTTGATTTTAATAGCAATTTTTTTTTGTTTTGGAATCCTCTGCAAAGTTTTATGCAATGACAATAGGAATAAGCGATCTTCATCTTCCTCTCTATCACTCAAAATGTCCTCATCCATTGGTTTATCCACATTATTGTGTTCAATAGAAAGAGCAGAATTTACTTTTATTTGATTATCATCATAATGCACATACTCTGCTTCTTCATCAGACTCCTCTTTTTCAACAATATTCATGACATTTGTTAAAAATATTAACTGTTTGTAATGTTTATATTCACTCTTACGCCCAATTCCTGCCCCATAATTTTTTTGCCTTTTTAGTTCTCTGCCAAAACTTGTTCTCATGTTTCTCCATCGCTTTCTTAGTGTATATTCTGAAAAGTGTAAGCTTAGGTTATAATATAGACCTATATTTAAGGTAATTAGTATTTAGTGTTATTATTGTTTGTATTTATTTCCAAAAATTATAATTTATTTTATTTATTTATAACATTCAAATGAAATATTAAAATTCCCAAGGAAGGTTGACGTCAGGAAGCAGCCGTTAGTAAAACTTTTGCCAAATCCTATCAGCAGTACAGAAGATGTACTGCGCCGATCCCAAGTGGTTGGGAAATGGGCAGGGAGAAGAAGATTCAAATGAAATATTAAATCAAATTTCATTTAAAACATAGATACCTAATTTAATTTAAAAACACTTATTGCAGTATTACGATGATATATATGCACTTGCCTAATATTTTTTTATCACTCGCTGTCATATTTTCGCTTCCAAATATTTCGATAACTTCATTCCAGCTCTTCCTTCGTAATATTGGATTATCGTGATCTGGAGAAGACGTATCCCAAATAGCGTTTCTCTTGTAAATTTCATTTATAAACAATTCTGCATCGAAATTTGTCATCATTTTCAAGGGAAACAATATTTTATGACTACAGACTACTTTTGACAATTTAAATACAGATAATGTAAGAATGCCTGAACTCTGAAGTAAACTGTCATGCGCAGTAGAAGCGGTTGGTTATCAATTAATGTGAGAAAGAGAGAGGAAATAGTGGCGCTATTGGACCGGTCGAACTGCAGCACGCAGGGGGCAGACAGCTTGAGGATGCGATTTACCTACTTATTTCATGTTGCCTTACGTATAATACTCATTTCATGTTCATAATAACTAAACAAAATAAAACTAATACAGAAATAATTAAGAAAGTAGAATTATTATCAATGAAAATAGGTTTCGAAGATTTTATTATTATGAATGAGGTTGCTGCTCCATATATTTTATGAATGAGGTTACTGCGATATACTTTAGACTTAAACTAAAGAATTATATGTCCGTCAGTCCGCCAAAAAAAGTCAAAGTCGAAAATATTTACGTGATTTTGCTGTTACTACTATTTTAAATGTTGCCATAGATATCGTTTACTCTTAACAGAGAGATTTTTTTTGTATTAATCGTATAAAGGATATTATTTTAAAATGGGACTATGCATAATAAAAATTATAAACCTAAAACAATATTATTTTGCGTTCTTTAAGCATTATTTACTTCTAATCCCTTTAAAGCAGGGATGGGCCGAAATTCGTTTTACATTCGGTTTAACCGAATTTCGCCAGCTTGAACCGAACTGCGGCATTCGGCTGAAATTCGGTTTGATTGCCGAACATTCGGCAATAGAAAATAAATACCTACTTGCACTATTTTGACTGAAATTAATAGAAAACATCTTTGTCATGGCAATCAAATAAAGTCTTTTATATACATACTCATTAGCCCGATCGGAATCCGGTTTGGAAATAAAAAAATTAAAACCTGAAGTTTTATATCTTCAAAACGTTAGCAGGTATATAAGGAACAAAAATCCATTAAATGCCCTCGATGTCCAGGTACCCCCAAGAAAAGGGGGGCAGGAGGGTGGAGGGTGGAAAAAAAAATAAAAAATAGAAAAATGTTTTTTTTTGCAAACAACTCTGAAACTTTGAGGTTATTGTAAAAATTGTCATATATAAAAGTTGTAGATTTTTACTAGACCTACAACTTTTGTGGAGAACATTTTTCGATAGGACGTCACAGTAAGCCGGAAATTGAAAAAAAAAACTATTTTTCAACGCCTTTCATCCCCTTATTTCTCGAGGGTATCTCGACGTCGCAGGATTTTACAGATTTTTGTTCCTTGTATACTATTGCTAACGTTTTAAAGACGTTAAACTTCTGATTTTAATTAAAAATGTTTCTATTAAAAATAAACGGATTCCGATCGGTTTACATGGTCATTTATTTTAGATAGGAATATGTAAATATTAACACGTATGCGATAAAAAAATTAATTAGTTCTTCTTAATTTAACAGTCTCAAATATCTTTGCCTAATTAAATGGACAAAATGAAATAAACTTAGTATTCGTATTCTTAAAACAAACATCTTAATTAAAATTTGTAAATTGAATAAAAAAATCACGTATATAGTTCACAAACTAAACACTCAGAAACATTAAGTATGACACGACATGTAGTGACTTGAGAAATCGCGGCGAAATTCAACCGAAGTTCGGCCGAATTTTTTAATCTCACCGAATGTTCGGCCGAAGTTCGTATTCGGTTCAAACCACATTCGGTCCATCACTACTTTAAAGAACTTTTACAATTACATATTAAATTGTTTAAGTTTAATTTTTTATTGCAATAAAACTGTAAAATATAGCAAAATTTATCACAGTACATCATGACTATTCTATTTATATTTATATACTGTTTTAAAACATTTTAAGCGATAAAGTAATGTTTTTGTTTATTGTTTTGATATTTTACAGTTCAAAAACATTTCGTAATTAATCGATATATGTACGAGTATATCTATCCATATAATAAAATTCTAACTGAGGCGAATCGGTGTACATTAATTATTGTTTGAAAAATCTTATTGAAATATTCATTATTATCGATACAGAGGCTGAATCTATAGTTTTTAGAATTTTTGTCTGTCTCTCTGTCTGGGAACGCATCACAAGAAAACCACTGGTATGATGATACTTGGTTACCCGGGTCAACATTTAAGATACTGGTGGTGGTAAAATATTTCATCTCTGAGAAATCTAGACTAGCCGTTATAATTATAATATATTAATTTGTATAATTCATTAAAATATTACATATCTAGCGAAATTATATCAACACCTGGTAACTCTACTTACAATAAATGTGAACACTTATCATTTTTGTCTTCATGTTTAGTTCTATCACGGGGTCTCATCACGAACTAAGAAAAATTTGTTCAAATAAATGTCAATAGATGACGTACATGTATCAATTTCTTATTAAAGTTGTTTTAAATTTACTAAACAAAAAAATAGATCCCAAAAAGGTGTATTATTGTTTTAAAAATATTCTAAGTGAAACAAAATAATGCGTCTGTAAAGCATAATTTTACTGATTATTGAAATATCAGACGATGGGTTTGTAGTGTACATTAAGAGATGGCGTTATTACTTTTTATGAATTGTTTATCACGGTTAAAACTTATCAAAATCACCGAATTTTTTTATTCGAACGCAGGGTGAATTTTAACAATATTTAAGATACGTGAGTTTGCACATATTTATGAAATAAAACAGTTTAACTATTTGCGAATCAACGACATCTTTTATCTGTTCAAGCAAACAAATATAGCCCGAATAGTCGCTGTACAATTTCTTTGTATGGGATGAGGCATTTGTACTAAAATAGTATAGTATTATGTGATCTATGGTTCTATGTAACTCTGCCTTTAAAACTCATATCTCTATTTTATCTCTCTATCTTTGTCTATATTTTTCTTCGAGATCTTATATGGATTTTATTTGATTCGATGTTTTTTAATTATTTTTGGTTCTAATATTATATAATACTAGCGACTTCCCATTGCTCCGCTCAAGTTCGTCCCTATCTACGTTTTAACATTATAGTGTATTTATCAGAGATGAGACATTTTTCCGCAGTAAAAAGTATCCTATATGTTGACCTGGATAATCAGCTATCATCATACAAAATTTCATTAAAAACTGTCCAGTGGTTTTCTCGTGATGCGTTTCCAGACAGACAGATAAAAATTGTAAGAACTATAGCTTTGGCCTCTATATCGATAATAATTACTATTTTAATAAGATTTTCCAAAAAATATATTATGTACAGGTTCAACTCAGAATTTTATTGTATGTATGGATTATGTATTTAGCCGTTTACACAAGATTATAGTTCGTAACTGTTTCTTAATTGCACCTGTAAACTTTAATTGAAACCCTATCAGTAATCAAGACATAATCATTGTTTCAGGATGCCTGCGGCAGTACCACCCGCAGAAAATGGAGCGCCGCGCAGCGAGCTCGAACAAATCCAATTACGTGCCGGACAGGTGACCGATGAGGTAAATATCACACAGAGTAGGCAATTTTTATATCAAACTTTATCGTTTTTTTTTACTCGACTGCGGCGATGCCCAAAGGAGGGCTATATGTTTGACCTATATGTATGTATGTATTTATGTCCGATCGTATGTTCCCTCATAATTGCTAAACGGCTTAACCGGTTTTGATAATTTATACGTCGTTCGATTCCTCTTAATAACGCGAGTGTCATAGGCTATATAGGTATCATTAAAAATCAAAATGACGGATCGAAGCCACAAATTTGTATGCCTCGAAAAATTTTTTTTAGTAAGAATAAATCGAGTACGGTATCAAAATCAGTTTTTTAGAGGCAATTACAAAAATATATAAAACTTATATGTTTAATAGTAATTTAGGATAAGAAATTGCTAAATAAAAATAACAAATCGATAATTGGTTCTCATCTTTTTAGTTTATTTTTAGGCAGTCGGTTTTTTTTATAAATTATTTTTGTATATCCTGGTATACTAATGCATATAGTCGTCTAACGAAGATCTAGACATGGCAACTACACGAGGTGAGACTCGGGCGCACCCGACTATAAAATGAAATAAATAAAAATACTTTAATTGACTTAAACATTACATTAAAAGCTAGTCGCAAGGGGGCACCTGTACTAGATGTGGACCCGTATTATTGGGTTCCCCGCTCATCCACCGAGACAAAATTAAAATGTGCATGTATAACTGTGTGAGTTATACATGAGATACATGCGTGTACATGCATGCGTGTGCCCGTGCGTGTGCGCGTGCGTGCGTGCGTGCGTGCGTGCGTGCGTGCGTGCGTGCGTGCCTATGTGCGTGTGTGTGTGTGTGTAAGTGTGCTTGTGTGAATGGGTGCCTCTGAAAAAAAAATTAAACTATCGTACTACCTTTAATAATTTTGGCGAACGGCTTTTTTTTTATTCGATATCGATCGGCATGTATGGATTATATTACTATTTTTTTATCTTACCTACACCGTTTGTAATATTTTCAATATACTGTTGTATACATTAATATATAAAAAATATTATATAATAAACTATTTAAATTTCAGTCCCTGGAGTCTACTCGACGTATGATGCAGCTATGTGAAGAGGTAAGCTTTCAATATAAAACATCACTAAGTGTCTTAATACGTATAATAATTTAATTGTAAAAATATATTTAACTGCTATTATATAACCATGCAACATGTTGATAATTGAAAATACTAAATTTCGCTTTTTCTAAATTATACAAACGGGATTACATCATGGCAGTTATTATAATTTTAATAATAATAATAACATAATAAAAATATGAAATATCGAGAATACCTTCTGGAATCTAATATAATTTATACAATTATAATTTTATAAGACCCATGTATTTGACAATACGAAAGGAAGTCTTAAAGAATAATATTGTTGTGATTTTAATAAGTAAAAATGTTTTTAACCTTGTATTTCAGATGATATAATAAATGTATTATGTATAAGTTAAATATTTTATTGAATTTACAAGCGAACAAATCACTGGAGAGAGTTTCTATTTAATATCCATTGGCAATTAGATGTGATATGCGGAGTCGTTCCCTAAACGTGCCTAATTTTAAGTAACTTTATGTTTCCCCGATAGTTTGTATATTTATGTTGAGTTCCGTTGTTATGTAATTATTTGTAATCTGTGAGAGAGGTGTTCTCGATGCGAGGGAGTGAGGGGTATAGCGAAGTGTCCCGGAGATCCCCTAACTCGGTTTGACCTCCAAAAACCTCCCCCCCACCGACCCCTTTAGGGCGCAGCCTTTGCTATCCCTGGCTGTTGTGTTATCGATGTCGCTATTATATATTATTCGATGTGTATGTATCTATTGTAGCTGTCCAATTATGTTCTTTCCTTTTTGTTATTTTTTGTTTATATCCTTTTGCCAAGTGACATTTATTTATGATAACCATATGGGTGTTGCATGATCCGTGCCTACTTGTATCCGACATTGTTAGTGAAATCTATAGCCCTTTGTGTTGTTCGTAGCATTGTACGTTTTATGTGAGTGATTAACAATCCTATTACCTATGAATTTGGCGTTGACAGTTAATTCAATAAATCAAGATTCAATTTGATAATTATTTGCTGGTTTGATTTAAATCAATTAATGAAATATTAACTGTCAGCACCCAACAAATCTATCCAAATAGTCTGTTTTTGAAGTTACATAACCACAGCATGTAAGCCCATGTTAACTAGATTTAAATCCAAAATCCCTAATAGTTAAAAGTACTTCTCTTCAACCCTAGATTGTTGTTTGATCCAGACATGCTTTCCTATAAATATAGTCTGTTCGATTGTGCTTGGGCTTGCTTTCAAAATAATACTCCTTGTTAAGGGCGCATTTTTCTAAAGTGACAATTCGCCCGAGTGGCAAAAATCACTACTTCCAAAGCACGTTCTACTTTCTTACTTCCTTATTATTCCTTTTTGTTTGTTTTAAACATTACGAAACCATTTAACTTCTGATTTTGTTTCCAAAATACAGCATAAAAATAATTCAATACTTCATAAATTAACATCCCAACAACTTAAATGATTATCAAATTATTTTATTAAGTTAAGTTCTGTCTCTATAATCTTTAGTTCTATCTTTATGTAGGTCTCTGTGTAGTGGCTGTTCTCTGTTGTTGACTGTATTACTATTATGTTGTATGATTTACGTGCCTTCTCCAACATTCACAATACTGCAAAAATGGGCGTCATCACACGCCTTACCTACTACTTAACTCCAACAGATATATCGAGCTACACCTTGCAAACTCTCACAACAAATACAGACCAATTTTCAATATGTATATTAATATATATTATTTTCATCCTGTTTACTTCAGTTTAACTTACAATGTATAACATATTTTTAGTTTTGTATTTTTACGTTAACGCATTTATCAACATTTCTTCAACATTTTACTTTCAATAGAAACCTGTACCAGAAAGTCTGTACCAGAGTTCAATTCAAAATTAACACAGTACAGATTCTCCATAACTCCAAAGTGACACAGTTCAACTTCAATGGAGTATATCTTTACAAATGAAGTATTTCAATGGTGTATATACATAATATTATTAGTCAAACAAAAAAAAATTGCACCCAATACTGAATTTGAAAGATATCCTCCCGACACTGTTTTATACCGTAAACTAAACACGCCGCGGTGCTCGCGTGTCGCCAGCGCCTCACGGCCTGGCGGAGGCACTCACTCCACTGTACCCCTCACAACTAACATGCTCTCTGACTTTTTGTTTCTGCGGCTGGTGTAGAGCAAGGAGGCCGGCATTCGTACTCTGGTCGCTCTAGACGACCAGGGAGGTGAGTGAACTGCAATTGCAACACTAAATAATTTACAATTTTATCTTTTTTAATTTTTCGCTAGCCTTATTTGGAACGTCATACATAGGGTTTACAGCCCTAGTTTTCGTCGATAATGAAGAGTTTAAGGGGGTATCGCATCTACTGTGTACTTGATCGATCGTTGCAATGCAAAGGTGCGGGCATCCTTTAACTTAGTTTATCGACATTTTATTACTCACACACCGAGATGATCACGGAAAACCCACATCTTTGTATCATTATTATGCGTTAAGTAGCTAATCTACACCAATTTGCACTACTTATCAACGATCGCTGTTTTCGTCTACGCCGGCTAGTTCAAACAAATTGACATGATCGTACGAAACTTATACATTCTGCATTTCAGATGTTCGTACTCGACTCTAAATTGACAACCTATCAATCACATATATAAAAAAAACCGAGCGAAGTAAATTCGAAACGCTTCTCCTCAACGCACGACTCTTAAACATTACACAAAATAATCATGATTCATATGAAACTGAGCACAGATAAGACTGAATCTGGTTTTACTTGCAAGCTTCACTGCATGCATGTCGTTGTTCGAGTAGTGTGTGTTACCGCGCACGCGCACGCGCACTCGCACGCGCACGCGCAGCACGTCGCGCCCTAGCGCGTCACGCTGCACTCCGCCGCAACTCGCAAGCCCGCAATTGCCACTCGCTACTCGCCCGCCGCACGCACCGCACGCGCGCGCGTCCCGTGCGGTCCCACGCCGCCACCACGCGTGCACCAACCCGCAACCCACACACCCCGATACTCTCTCCTGCGATATATTATTTTGATTTGTATTTTATGTATAGAGCGAGGACGCCGGGGGGCAAGCGCTTCATATGTTGAGTCACCAGGGCGGTAAGAGATATTCTGAACACTGGGTAGTCGAGCCGTGAGAACGTCTGTGTTGAATGTGCAGTTAAATAATTAATCTCTTTGTTTTTCTTTGACGTTTCTCTTGAATAACGACTTATCTCAGATCGATGTTGCGTATGTTTCTATGTTTCGATGGGGTTGACTTTGACAATATAGTGTAAATAGAAGCCCGATGGCCGCTCGTTGCTAATTGTCGCAAAAGACTGTTACTCTATCTTTTGCTGAAGATTTAATTTGTATGAGCTGCGCAATCTGTTTATTTCTTCCGTTGATATTATCGACCGGAACGCTTTTTATAGGTATATTTATTTATCTTTCCAAATCTACTCCTCTTCTCTTAATAAACTGCGGTACTGAAATGAATGCGCGTTTACCGAGTGTGTCTGTTGACGTATAGAGCAAATGGTATACGCCTTCATCTCCATGGCTAGCAGCGTATTGTTTATGTTAGAGCCGTAGGTCTGTAACTGTTAGCTCGATGCGATCTGTGTCAGCGCGAGGCCGGCGGCACCGCCTCCGTCCGCTCGCTCCTCCACGCCATATAGTTGTTCATTTCCTCTTCAATCAATTGATATAATACTTTGCTATATTCACATTTCATCCAGGAATGGCTTTATAAAAACGCTCATTTGCTAATTTATATCATCGCTCATTGACTGCGGAGGAGTGGCCGCCTGCCTCGGCGTGGCTCACCGCGACCATGTTCATGTATTATTTTATTTTTTCTTTAGTTGTCAATTTGAGTTGTGTTGAGTTGTTGAGGCGCTAGGCGCGAGGCGCGCGCAGGCTGAGCGTGCGCGCGCGCCGCTCCGTGCGCCTCGCCGCATTCGTTTGGCGAGCTATAGTGACATCATTATTGTGTTGTAGAGTCACGAGGTGGGCATGAAAACCCTGGTCATGCTGGATGAACAGGGCGGTAAGCATCCAGTAGTACTTTATACCATCACTCATAACTTAGTAAGGCTTCTGTCTGAAATGCCAGTTCCAAATGTTTATAAAAATTCATTGAATGGCAACAAGTTTAACATTCTAATATCAATTGAAAACGTGCTAACAGTTAAATAATAATGGATAATTAATAAAGGTAAAAATGTCACCACCATATAATTAAATAGTTTATAAATCGTAACTCCATTCGCATTTTTACCTCGATGTGAATGGAGCCGTTCAGAATTAAATTTTTATCATCTGTATTGTTTTATTTAGTTTTTATCACGCACCTAGCCATGCACGTACTTCAATCTTGCTGTTGAATGCATGATTTTAGTATTTATTATTATTCTAAGTGTTAGTCATAAAGTATTTTGTTATTATTATCACTTTGTTATTATTATCACTTAGTCTCAGCACATACATCATATATATCAAAGGTAAATTTAAATTTAGTTATCAATTTTGATCGGATCAAGTGTAAGACAATACAATAACACACTAACACGAATGTTCTACAATCAGGAGGAAGCCAGAAGCTTTATGAATTAGAATTGCTGTTTTAGACTACGTACTGAATGCATGAATATAGAAGTTATATATACTAAAGTCATCTCAAGAAGAATATATGTTGTCTTACACTTAGCTCCGATTATTGTCGAGAGCGTTGAGAATTTACAAAAAAATAATTAAAAAGTCTACATTAAAAAGTTAAAATTTCGCGAGTGAAAAGTAATAAAAAGTAAATTATAAAAAAGAAAAGAAAATAGTAGGAGCTTAACACGAAACAGAGTAGCTGAAAGGGCAAATTTAAATTTTTTTGTTGGTGTATGTGTGGACAGAACAATTGGACAGGATCGAGGAAGGAATGGACCAGATAAACGCTGACATGCGCGAGGCCGAGAAAAATCTTTCAGGAATGGAAAAATGTTGCGGCATCTGCGCTCTTCCCTGCAACAAGTACGTACGAAAAGAACCTATTTTGTATTATAATAAATTCTGCTTGTTGTAACGGCCATAGTAGTTCATGGTTTTATTATTTCATTTATCCTGGCAATAGTTCTATACCTGTGAAACTTTGAGCAGATATTATATATTTACCTAATTATCCTGAATAATATATCCACAAACCACTAAGATTTATTATTTAAATACAACTATAGATCTTTGTAGCAAAAGATTTTTAAAAGGATTTACTTATCATATTGTCTTATTCCACGTACCTAACTATATGAAAGGGGCAAAGCTATGTTTGTGTTATGTTCTTCATATGAAATCACATTGTTATTTTTAGTATAAAATTAATTATATTTGTAGAGTCACTATGGCTTGAGAATTGCTAATTAAAACAAATTATGGTATAACAGGGGTGCATCCTTCAAAGAAGACGATGGCACATGGAAAGGCAACGATGACGGCAAAGTGGTAAACAACCAGCCACAACGTGTGATGGACGAGCGTAACGGGATCGGCCCACAAGCTGGATACATTGGAAGGTAAGCTAACGATAATAAACGATATGATCAGAATATGTAAATATTATGATGTATTGTATACTAGCATTGCCCGCGGCTCCGCCCGCGTTCAGAAGACCGAAAACCAAATTCTTAGGTTTTACATATTAGTATACTCTTACATTGCAGTATTTGTATTTTTTCTCAGAAATGAGATATTTTCCCGCGGTGAAAAGTATCTTATATGTTGACCCGGATAGCCAGCTATCACCAAACCAAATTTCATCATAATCCCTCCAGTGGCTTTTCTGTGATGTGGTAACAGACAGACAGACAAAAATTCTAAAAACCATAGATTCGGCCTCTGTATCGATAATAATGTTTATTTCAATAAGATTTTCCAAAAAATATCTAATGTACAGATTTGGCTTAGTTACAATTTTATTATATGTATCGATAAAGAGGCAGTGATAGGTCAGTGGTAATATGCTTGCTTGGGAAACTAAATAAAGCGGGTTCATACCCGGATATTTTTATGTGCAAAATCATTTTCAACATTATTATAAGTAATAATATTATTTTACGGGGTAGCAAAGCTTGTACGGAAACTTTCATGTCTGGAAGATACAAACTAGTTTGTCAAAAACTAATGAATTGTAAAGTCCAAATGATTTGTAAAGTCCAAAAATTGACGTGGTAGACGCTGACCGTCGTGGCTTGATCCCCCTCGCGTTGATTGACCATCTGTGCCCACCAACTGGATGCTATAAGGCTTAAAGTATTAAGATTAATGTAAATAATATTTGAAATAAAATAATAACTCAAATGATATTACGTTACAGATTCTTATAAATGTTAATTAAATACATTCATACAGTCAAATTTTAGTTTTGCAATAAAGGTTCATTTAATTTTATGATAATATTATTTGCAACAAAAATTAGCATGCTTCTTCGAAAGCAAAACAATAATAATTAATTACTCCATTGCATCAAGATATTAATATATTATTAAGAATTTAAATTCATATTTACAAAAATAAAATGTTTTTTTTTTATATTTAATATTAACATTAAATCGTTGACCTTAATTTTTAAATATCGTTGCGTTTATGTGATGCGTTTATTCAAAAGTAAATTCAACTTTGACCTTAGATCAAAAGCTTATGTCATTTGCAAGTGTGAGGCTGACCTTTTTATCTATACGAGTACACGAGTATGTCGAGCTAAATCAATACTGTTCTCGGGCGGCTTCAAAAGATAGAAGATAAGAAGAAAACCATTTGCGCTCGTGTGAACTTATAATTTTAGATTTTGATTGATTTTAAGACGTTTATATAATATTATAAATACAATATAAAATGTAAAACTTAATCGGGAGTCTTTCCGTTGGTCTTTTCTCTGTCTTTTACCGAAAACGGGGCAGGGGGAAATATATATACTTATTGTACAGATTCAAAAATCTACATATCTATTTTCTTATATCCATACTAATATTATAAATGTGAAAGTGCGTTTGTTTGTTTGTCTTTCTTTCACGTCGAAACGGCTTAGCGGATTGGCGTGATTTTTGTGTGGAGATAGTTGTAGTTCTGAAAAGTGACATAGGCTACTTTTTACCGCGGGAGATTATATCTATCCCACGGGAAAACATGATAAATACAATCCAAAAAAAAATATTTATGATCAGAATTACTTGAAACTTGGTATAACTGCTCTTCAATAAAATTAAATAAATACATATTTTAGCTTTTTTCGAAATTTATCCTATAACAGGGTAAAATAAGGCATAAAAGTTTCTATGAAACTACCTTTTTAGACACTTTTTGTAGTTTTAGCGCAAGCGAAGCCGCGGGTTCTGCTAGTATGTATATAAAATAAAGTAGCAGAATAACTATTAAATTTCGGAAAAATTCACGAAATAAATCTATTCCATACTAAGCTTTAAAACTTACCTAGGGACGACCTGAGCGAAGCAAGGGTGAGTCGCTAGTAAATACATAAAAACGTAAATGAGACAAATATATATACAATGTATATAACTCGCTAGTTTATTTTATATGTATTAATATACATAATATATAAATACATATATACATATATACTAAACTAGCGATTCACGTCAGTCACTCGGCGTCCCTAGGTACATTTTAAATAGATATGAATAGTTGTTGCGAGTGTACCTTATGAGAAAGACTTGCTATTTCTGTAGGCCTTATACCTACAGTTTTCTAGTATATTGTTCTGATGTATCTCGTAAGGTTTAAACTCGATAGAACCAGTTATTGGGTTTTCCTGTGAAAATAAAAGATTTTACTATAATAACCTAAATATTGACCCGAGTAATAAGCTATCACTAAACAAAATTTTGTTAAAATCTATTCCGTACTTTTTGTCGAACGAAATTCATTTTAGCTAAGTTACTGTTTTATTATATGTATAGATAACATTGACAACAAAATATCTAATAATTTCAGGATAACGAATGACGCCCGCGAAGACGAAATGGAAGAGAACATGGGTCAAGTGAACACCATGATTGGTAATTTGCGCAACATGGCCATCGACATGGGCTCCGAACTGGAGAACCAGAATCGCCAGATCGACCGTATCAATCGCAAGGTAAGAACTTGGGGGTCTTCTTAGATTGGTTTGATACGCGAGTTTATTAATTTTTTTGTTTGGGATTTAAGGCTATTTTACACTGTTGATCATGGCTGATGGTAAATAGTACTCCTAGAAGGGTTTAAGAGCAAAATATTCAAAACATTTTTTTTTCGGTTTTCTGTATAACTTTAAATAAATAATATGTCTGTCTACGACTAAAACTTAAGTCATATACAAAGACGACTATTATATATGAGAACCTAATGATCTTATTGTCAATATCAGGTTTTCATTTAGAGTATTTTTATAATTTACTATATATGTCCCCTTAGTCCTTAGGTACCTACGTTTTAACGGTTAGTGATTCCCATACAAAATAAACAGTTCTGAGCTTTTCGATTTTTCAGCTGTTCTTTTGGGTTTTCCCAATTTTCTTTAAACTTAAACCACCACTGAAACATCCTCAATAAAACAAAAAAGAATTATTCGAATCGGTCCTGTCTTTGAGTTTTAGCGACTGTTAAGTCTCCCTATTGATTTATATATATATATATATATATATATATATATATATATATATATATATATGCTTCTGTTTTAAAATATAATTTTAACTTCATAAAGATAAATAAAATTGGGGAGAGTAAGTTAAACCTTTTTAAAAGAATCGTGTCATTATTCATCACACAATTAGTTAAGGGGATTATGAGATTTTGATCAACAGTGTAATGGGAATTGGAAGGGATTGAAAGTTACACGTGTACTGTAATTTTGAATATGTTTATATTTTAAATGTTCTTTGTTTGTTTGTCTGATAATCGTCTGGAAAATTACACGCAAATTCGTTAAAAATTACATGTATTAAATTATTATAATATATGAAAAATTATAATTTTGTGCATTGTTTGTGTATGGGTTTTAAATTCATTTATAGGTACTCTGTGTATAAAGATATTTCAAAATTTTATTTACTAACTTCATATTATAGTCCAGTTTAAATACTGAAATACTGCGGGTGACACTTGAAATTCAATCATTCTAGGAATATGGAAGTGAGAATTATTACATTGAATCGTTCAACTTAATTGTACATTCTTACATTAAATTCAATAATGATTTTATGCAATATATGTATATAAAGACTAAAGACTAATCTTTGCTTCGCTTTGGGTTCGTCCCTAGACAAAAACATACCTTTCCCACGGTAACCGTACATTTTCCGGGATAAAAAGTAATCTATGTGCTATTCCAGACTATAATCTATCTCTGTGCCAAATTTCATCCAGATCCGTTCAGCCATTCTGGCGTGGAAGAGTAACAAACATCCATTCATCCTCACAAACTTTCACATTTATAATATTAGTATGGACTAGTTATATTTAATGTTCATACAATAAAATGATATTATTTCTCTTCAAATCGTAATAGATTTTTTAGAGAATGAAGAATGCTCATTAGAATTCATTCGTGTGATTGATTAAAGTGTGACCCGCGTCTTATCATTTGATTTATACAAGACGAATTCGCGTGTAAATTAATGTAATATTAAACATATATTTTATAATTCTAATAAACTTTTGTTTTGATGCTTTCTATATTTTTGAGAGTGTACGGGTTTATTGAAAATAATGAATTTTCTCATTTCTTGTACGTCATAACATTTCACCGTTCTAGTGTTTGTTTCACTTTAGATGTGAGCGTGGGTTTCGTTTCTAAAACTGTATTTACGACTATCATCTATCGCTTAATGGCCTTCGAGATTCTGAATGCTTTCCTGGCATCTAAATTTCACTTAGCAAACGTTTAGCATGTTTCATACATAAGTAGTGTATGGTTTTATTAGTTGAATGTTGTTAATTTCCATCGTATCTCGGACATCGGATGACCAGTGAAACTCAACACATTTTCACATCATTAGATTCATCAGTGACTAACATGTCTTTAACCTTTAAAACTAGTATAACTCATTACTTATGCATTTACTGTAACTCACAAAACATTCAAAACTAACAGTCCATTTACTTACAAAACCTTTATCATTATATTATATAAGGACATTTCAAATTCATTATATAACCTTTAGCAACCTTTTTTTTATAAACACAACATTTATACGAGTTTATGCCAATCATTAATATATATATATATATATATATATATATATATATATATATATATACCTACAATATGTTTTACATAATGAATGTATGTATATACATTTATTGGTAAAGGTTTATACTAAATGGATTGTACATTACATGACGCAAAACAATTTTAATCGTAGGGCGAATCGAACGAAACAAGGATAACGCTGGCCAACCAGCGCGCGCACGAGCTCCTCAAGTAAACGACGAAGCACACACACGCAAGCACGTCTCGTGGTTAGGCCGGTTGCGTATAGACAAGACATTTGAATCAGTTTATCTAATAATAGTTTTGATTTTACTTTAATTATAAATCTTTTGTAATGATTAGCTAATTTCACTATAAATTATTTATTAGGGTTTTTTTTGTTTATGCTCTGTTTTGCAATAGCTGCTTACTTTAATTTATCATTGTTTTTTTTTTCAAGGACAAAACAAATTATATTTTTTTATTATTGATATATTTCTACATAGATACACATTTCCTAACAAATATCTCTTAAAAAGTGGCGACTTCAAGTCGATAATTCTAATTGTCCAAACACAAATTCGAACTTACACAAACCAGCTAAAGTAATTTTTTAAACGAAACAACGTGCGTTTCAATTTTGTCATTCGAAAAACAATGAAGAAAAGGGATTTGAAAAAAGAGCATAATTTCGAGCTATGTACATCTTTTCAGACGCTAATTGTGTATCTTGAGTTTTTGTATATCAATGTTTTTAATATAAAAAAAACACTAATGTTTAACTTATTACTGTGTCTTTTATCTTCCTCTGCTTAGTGTCAAATTGTATTAATATTTAATTAATTTCCCGCAATCGGCCATTATATTATCTACTTTCAGTATTTACTATTAAGTGTAATCCAATAATACCTGCATTACCTGTTTATTATATCGTCAGTATCGTATGTTGCTTTCCTATATAATCCAAACGCTCAACAAAAAAAATATATACTATGTTTGGTGCTCGTTTTGTGTAGACCAATTCGTGTTGAAATTGTTCCAATCATCTAATTTACCTTGTAGATACGTAGGAAGTTGAATATTGAGATTATTTTGTTAAAATGCATTTACCCGTTGTTAAAATTACTATTAGAATGTGCTTTATGCATGTTGAAGATTTAACAAAAATAACCAAATTATTAAATATGTCTTACTCATTCTCTTTATTCGACTACGTGTTAGAAATTCATTTATAATTTTTATTCAGAATAGAATTAAGACGGCTAGATCGAGATGGATGTTGATATGTGATAATAGTTCGAAATTAAGTAAATAGTCGTATAGTCTTGTGGAATTTTGAATCTGAGCACCAGATCTCGAAAGCATTTCATAGGAGCATTTATGTTAAGTCCAATTTTAGTTGTAAGAGAATTAATTTTGCGCTTTATTTATTCTACAATAAATACTTTTTTATCTATTTTCTTATATTACACGTTTTTTTAAGATTTTATTTTTGCTATAGTATAAAATTGACATCCTAAAATAAATATCCTTACAGATTCTTGCATATCTCCAAACATATCTGCTTCTATGAACTGATTGATATAAACACTCAATAACTTAATATTTCTAGTATTTAAATGTTTATAGAAAAATTATTAACAAGAATAAAAAGAAAGAAGAGAATGACATTTATTTAGTTACATGTACTTTATTTATGATTTTTTGTACATTTCTAATTTATTTCTTTTTAACTTTCTTTGTATCCATAATGTTAGTAAATGCGTGTCAATAAACATCGATAGATACTTTAAGTAATAAAGTTATATAATTACGTAGTTAATAAAATAAAGTAAAAAATCCTAAACTTACTGTTGCATATAAAAAGCAACAGCAAATATATTTATTAGGTGAGTTATATAATCGTGCACGAAAACTATTATTATTATAACTAGTCACTGCATACATTTAAATGGACAATTATAATGTAGTCTTATTCCCAAACCACGAGACAAACACAAAAACACAAACACAGACAAGTCTGCGACGTACAATGTGAGTATCTACTTTTGTTTTCTCAAACGCACTAAGCTACGCAACGCACTTCCCTATTTAAAAACTCCAATAGGATCTCATCAAAAGCGACAAAAGCCACATAGAAACCAATAAATATTTTTTGGTTTTTAAGTGACTTTTATTGGTTTCTATGTGGCTTTTTTGGTTTCTATTTGGTTTTTGTCGCTTTTGATGAGATCCTATAGGAGTTTTTCAATAGGGTTAATGATACAAGCTAAACTGCCTTTGTGTTATGAAAAACTAGCGCTTGCATATAAGCGTGTAAATAAAAAAATATTATTATACCTCATAAACCACAATTTACATTAAATAAAATAGTAGCAAAACACAAAGTAAAATCTTAAATATCTACATTTTTTGTATAAACTAATAAGGCTTAAAGTATTCAATTCCAATAAATTTGCCATTAAGCTACATTAAATTGACAATATTTTTATTATTGCAAGACACTACCTACATAAATTTTTGAAAAACACATTGTTCAAACTGAATTCATTATATCGCCAATAAATCACGATCATAACCATTTCATTATGGTGTTACCAGCTTAAAAATATATTTAATTCAATAAAATATATTTAATTAATTTGTATTTAATAAATTATAAAACTTGCACTATGAAAAAATATAAAATATTTTTTAAGCTGGCAACAATTAATCATAATCACCGTCTATTACTTTTAATATAATGATGTTGTTTTGTATATTATAGGGTGAGAGTAACGAGACACGTATAGCGGTTGCAAATCAGCGAGCGAATAAACTACTCAAATCTTAAACACACCTTGGAAACAAACGTTGCAATCATTTACAAAATGGTGTTGCCATGTACTTCCTTTGATTCCAACACAACGAACTCCGTGGCACATTTTATTTTCCTAGTCAAATTAGCATTTTAATATTAAATTCTTCCCCTGTAAATAGTATAGATTATTAAATAATAAAATGAAAATATATGAATTGATTTAACGTGGCAACATTATTTTGTGCCATATTATTTATTTGTGACTAGATGTAAAGATAGAGTACCAATCCTGTACATTCAGAATATTTTGAAATATGCAATATTAAATTGGAGATTAAAATAAATTTGTTTTTCAGTGTATTTTATTCAAAAATGTGTAACATCTACGCTTTTTTCCAATTATAAACGGTCACTTGCGTATTTAATTTGCACGTAACTTTACGTAATGTGCCAAAGTTCCTTTCCTTTACATAAACATGGTGGTACATATTTAAAAATATAAAAAACACCAATTGAAATCTTAGAAACCTATTTATTATAAGAAAGATTTATTAGCTTATATAAATTATTTGCTTGATACAATAACGTTGTAAGGAAGTACCAATTTAGCTCAAAGAATACAGATATTTTCGATAGAATGAAATAGATACACTCAGCTTTGGCTGATATTTTCTCGAGACGCATTTAAATAATAATTTAGTGTATAGAGATTTGAATATCTAAACTATAGTGAGATCTATATTATTACGGTTCAATTATTTAAATTAAAAATTAATATAAAAATATTTGCGTGTTTTGATTTTAAAATAAATTATTAAATTTTCAGTTCTTATGATTTTAGCATTCGGTTCGTATTTGCCGTACGACGCTTTTTTTTCTTAGGTTAAGATTATTGTGCCTAAACCTTTTATGTACCGTTAATTTTTAATATGTAATATAATATCTATTTGTAATTTATCTATGCTTTTGGTCCAATTATTTGGTAATTTGTATAGTAATATTTATTACGCTTATATATAGAACATGGAGTTTTATAATTAAATAATTAAGTGAAACTCTAAGTTCTACATGAAAGAATTTATACTCGTATATCCAGTTACAAAAATAGTAATGTGATTACAGTTTTAAGCAATAGTTCTATATAATAGTTGAATATTTAAAAATTTATTACTTAAAGTATGTTGTTGTAAGTATGAAGACGGGTCGCATTGGTGCTATTGCCACATTTTTACAGTTTTGAAAAAAAAATGATAGAATTAATATTAAAATTTTTGTATAAACGTAAAAACAAATCATAAAAGCACATTAAATTTAAAATTTTAAATACGGTGTATTATATTGAAAAAAGTTATAGTAAATATAATATTATTTTAAATTCAAAGAAGATATTTCCAATTATGTCACCTAGTTACGTAAAATTTACGTTTTGTTGGTACTACGTGGTTATTAGGTATTTTAAGAGTCTGAAAATATGTATATATTATTATTTATTTTTATGTTAAAATGTGGCTATAGAGCCGTGTGTCCGCTTAATAATGTTGTACCGGCCTTAGCAGTAATGATTATAGGATTGTTAAAAGGAATGGCTTGACTTATTATACTCATGTACAGGGGGCCTCAACGATTTCCATTTCAAATATATTTCAATATGTCGCATATTTAAAAAACGGCATTATGTCTGAAAAACGACTACTTAGTATAAAAATATATCAATATCAATCAAACCAGTTAATATATAGAATTTGAGGTTATAATTTTTAAATTTTATTAAATAGTTGTATTTCAAAAGGTTTTAACGTGACAAGATTGCGATATTAGTAAATTAAAAGTTATATCTCAGTAGTATTTTCATAATCGACCCTCTGTACAGGCGTTAGTTTTAAGATTTTCGAAATTTCTCTATGTCTCTTTCGATCGTTAGTTTAAGTAGCGTGTACGTTGGGTCACACGTTCTATCTAAGTACCTACATATTCCAATAATAAAATATTTTAACCGTATCTTAGATTTGTGTTATAATATCAATTTAATCAATAGTGTACGATTATACTTACCGCCTGCGCAAATATTCGTTTATATTCTGCCTAATATAATCTACTAGATAACGTCTATTTTCTTTAAGAATAGCATAGTTAGTTAAAGTGTTAATTTCTAATTAAATTATTGATTTGTTAATATTACCTATATACTGGTGTATTATTTATAACCTCTGTCCTATATTTTATTAGACACATTAGTTTGGACACAGCAATATTGCTTATATGATAAATATATGTTAGTTATATATATTTTACACGTTTTTAAAATTACAATTTCATTACTCATACTCTCTCAATTTACGAATTTGCGTTTTTATTAGTAGTTATATAACCGAAAAAGAAACTGATATAAAAAAATATATCAAACATAGGTACTTATTTTAAAATTAAGCACAATTTAAAGTGATAAAATTAAAACTTAACAGCTGATGCTTTCTTTGCATGCTATAGCAGTTAATTAATATTAATTATTTCATATCTGTTTAAAAATTTGAATTTATTAGGTACCTATGTTATTGAAATAAAATTTCAGTAAATGTAAAAAATCAAGACACATTTTACTTATAAATTTTTATTTAATAATATTATTTACATATATTTTTTCAGAGCCCGAGCACACTCGACATTGACCATTACGAATTTGCATCGTATACAACTTCTAAATATTTTACATGTAAACTTGTAAAATTTGACAACAATTTATAAAGAACTCGTACTAAACTTTACTGCTGTAAAACTAAGGTATACGGGGATCAAACGACCGCGAATTCATTTAACAATAAACAAAAATTATTATTATTAATTTAAATAAATTTCGATAGATGGCGATATACATCGATTTATTATATAATGAAAGAATAGAAACAAAATGTCTAAGCAAATGATTACACATCTTCAACAATTATAAAATAAAGTAGTTACGTTTTATCGACACCTTCGTGTCATCACCATCTATCCGTCTATTCAGGACAAACAAAAATGCGAATTATCGCAGTCTTATTTCTTTGTATAGAAAAGGTTATTTGTACAAAGTGTATTATATAAGTATTTGTTATTTGAATTTTTTTATATAGAAAAGTTGACAGTCGTTAGATGTACTTCAGAGACGCACAGTTATAATACGAGTACTGGTAAGAAAACTTAAAACGATAATACATTTTATATTTACATTTTTAAATGTTACTTGCGTGCCGCACTTCTGACTAGCGCCATATATCCGTCCTGGATATTTTGCATACAAAATATGACGTTGGAGACCACAAAATAACACAATATTTTCATGTTTTCAAATAGGAAAAATAAGAAAATCTAATATTTAAATAATAAATTTTGTTTCATAAAATATATGTACCTATATAACTATATATAAGTACAACAGATGTAAATGTAGAAAACCTTTTATATCATACAAGAGAGTAATCCGTATTGAACCAACTCAGGTAGACCAGGTGGGCAATATTTGCAGCAATTACACATTTATAGATTTAAATGTTATCGTATTATAAATAAATGTTATCGATTTAACGTAAAATACTTTAAAAATTGCACAGGCCCCAAAATGAACATTTTCGTGGTGCGCACGCATCCACTCTTGGATGTGGTCTTTGTGATCAAACTATCGCTCACTTGGAGACCAAACATATACTGCAGTACTTTCAAGCAACTGAAAAGATGTAATTATAATATAAATAGAGCAAACTTTGGTTAAGTAAAGATAGAGGAAGAGAGAATAGTTATATATAAACCACTTGGGTCCTTAAATGCTTTTTTAATTAGAATTTTTAAAAGACCTCCAAAAAGGAGGAGGTTCTCAATTCGTCGGAATCTTTTTTTTATGTATGTTCGCCGATTACTCGAAGACCACTGGTGGTCCCATTTAAATTCTATCGAAATCGGTCGAGCGGTTTTTAAAAAAAAAATCTTAATCAAATATGTTCTATACTGTTTAGAGATATATATTTTTATTTGTCATCCATGATATATATGTAGGTAGCGCCATCTCTTAAGCAATTTTTATTACTAACAGTATACATGGACAAGTATTACCTAAAATTATAGTTTATCTGTGGACTAAATTTTATCCAAGTCGGTGCAGCCAAAAAGTGTAACAAATATAATCATACATAAAAACTTTCGCGTTTATAATAGTATACTAACCTATTTCAACAACGGTATCCAGTGACACCATAACCACAAAGCCAAGCAAAGAAAATGCAAACGATAGCAAGCCTGTGTTATCTTGCCTCCATATTTCAAAGAATACGACATACATCAATGTACCGCATGCGATACCCTGGAAAAAAAGAAAATATTAAGTTTTTACTTTTTGTTGTTATTGAGTTATTTATTAACATACCTACGATGTGTCTACATTATTATATAACAGGAAAATGCGATTTTTTAAGAGCACTGGATTACATATCAGTCTCGCACCTCTGATATTTTCATGTGTGAATCATCTCCAACATGATTACTACTAGTCTTACTATGAAGGAAAACATCGTGAGAAAACCTGCATATCTGAGAACCCAGCAAGTTTTCGAAATATCTACATGTGAAGTCCGCCAACTCGCACTTGGCCAGCGTCTATGGCCTGACTCCCTCCGTATTGAAGGGAGGCCCGTGTCCAACAGTGGGACGTTAACAAATACTGATTACATAACACTATTCTGTACTAATATATAGTACTGTATACGTCTCATCCTATACAAAGAAATTGGACAACCGCTATTATGTTTTCTTAAATAGACGACAGATGGCGTTCATTTACATTTTTATTTATTATATATTATTAGCAGATCCCGCAGCTATGCCTACGTTCAGTCTAAAAAAACTCTTTGGCTTTATGCTATGTATTTATATAATATTGTTCATACAAAAAAACTAAAATCGCGATTAAAAGTTGGGGGTAGAAGTGTAAAAAAGTACTCTATATTATGTTGACCCGGATAACCAGTATCATCATACCAAATTTCATCATAATCACTCCAGTTACGTTACGAGAATAATGTCAATTTCAATAAGATTTTCCAAAAAAATATTAATGTACCGATTCGGCTTAGTTACATTTTTATTATATGTATAGATTATCATTTATTTGGCAAATATAGTTTTATCGATTAAATTTTATCAGGCTCATACAAGTTATTAAGATAAAATAAGTATATATTATATGGAAATTCCAGTTTTGTAGTGACGACACGTGATGATGAAAAATATGATACGCTAATTATTTTTATAGTTTTTTTATCGTATGATTGCAATATCATTATCTTATCGTTATAATATAAGTACTTATTTGTGTAGCCTAGTAAATTTTGGGCTACTGTCCGATTATTTTATTCTTTCCTAGTCTCTTCGTTTGCCTTTACTCGCGTGAAATTATTTTCATGCTTTTCTTTCAGCGTTATTGAGCAGCGCTAAATAAATACAGTACCTACTGCTTATTTACTTACCCACTCCCGCATATTCATATATGGAACATAATATTAACATTCACCGAAATTGCAAATATATATGTGCGAAATATTCTATTACATAATCATTTTCTAATCAGTCCTTCAAATATTATTTTAAATATAATTTGTTAAACTACGTTAAGCGTTAAATTAAATAATGACATGTGATTTAAAGTATTAAACATATGTTAATATAAAGAAAACATCTCTATTAAATAATACACATTGAAACCTATATAATATGTATATTAATTTCAATATTTTCGAAATAATTAAGTAGGTAAGTACATAATATGTTGTCTAAGAACGCTGTAGCGGTTACCTTTAGAAACGTAAGTTACTATGTAAAACTAAATGTACCTATGTGTAACAAAGTCGGTTAATAACCTAGTAGCTCTTGTCGTTTTTACCCGACTGCGTCAGGAGGGTTATAAATAAATAAGGATATTAACACACAACACCATCTAGTACCATATTAAGCTACGAGGCTTGTGTTATGGATACCAGATAGTTGATACACTACACATATATAACTTTAAATACATATGTACATATTATAAATGTAAACACCCATGACTGAAGTACAAATATTCGTGTTCATCACACAAATGAATGCCCCCAGCGGGCCTCGAACCCGCGACCGCTGGCGCAGCAAGTAGGGTCACTACAAACTTAGCCAAACGTGTCGTCATTTATGTTTTTCGAGTGTATGTACATTTGTTTGGCACACTCTGTAACCTAATAGGCTTGAGAGGTGTCGTTAGATTCGTCTTAATTGTGAGTGTTAGGTAAGTGGTATATCAAAATTATAAAAAATAAAATGGCCGATTTTTGGCGCCATTTTATAAGTAGGGTATCAAATTATAGGAAATTATGAATGACTTACAAAAATATACAACTTACCTATAGGTATGTTCAAACGGAGTTTGGAATGAGAAATGCTAAAAAATAGCAAATAAAAGAAATATTTATAAAAATAAAAAAATAAACTAATTTCGTAAAAAGCGAACTAAAAATATGAAAACAAGTTGACGAAGAAATAGTTACTATGCAGTCAGAGACATTTGTTATGTATGTACATACGCAGCTATTATAAAACATGTACCTACATATGTACATATCGCACACCTAGATCTAAACAGAGCTTATTCAAAAATCTCATCTTTTTAGTTACGCATACCATCGGATTCCTTAACTTACTAGCTAGCGACTAATAAAACAGATACAAAAATAGTTACATTTCTCAATGCTAGGTGACACTAAAACCCTTTTTTGTTGTATGAAAGAGCCCGATTCTTCTCCACCAAAACTGGAACATAGCTAGTTACTGTCAGTATTACACCCGAAATGCATGTGCCTGTCGTAAACAAACTAGAGTTATTTTGAGTTAATTCTGTATTGTTGAGTTGAGATAAACATTTTTCAAGTTAGAGCTTTTAAGATGGGTTACGCTATATAAAATTTCACTATATCGAAGTTCATCAGTTGGCAGACGTAATTAGGTTCATCAAATCGATGTGGTGTAACGGATCAGATTTGTTTGTTTAATTTTACTTTTTTTTAGAAAAAGAATGAATCGTGGACTATTTTTAGTAAATATGGTTGACCAGGGGACACAGAAAATATCGGCCCTAGCTTACTGACTCAATATGAAAATATGCAACGAGATACTAGATCTTTATAACAAGAGCTTGAACCAATAATACAGAAGAAGACGGTACTATAAAATAAGCAACAGCAAGAAGACTACATAAAGAATATATCATCAAGCATATCCGTGGCTGATAAATCTAATCCGAGCACATCTAAACAACTGAAGTGACAACCAATCCGAAGTGACGAAAGTGAAATTAACAACTCAGATGCTCATCCCAATTTTGGATTTGTTCATAAAAATAGACATCATCTAAAGTCGTTCTTACTAGTTCATCGATATCTTCGTCCAGCACCAATAGTAGCAGCTCTAGTAGCTCATCAAGTTCTGGTAGTTCATCGGATACCAAAGATGATAGTGCGCATGTACAACTTGACTCTCAGAATGCAATGGGTGTAAATAAAACTATCTTTTCGGATGTTTTCGCGAATTTATTTTGATTATTGGTTCCCGACGAATGCTTTATAGTAATCATGGTCACGAGAGAGACTCGGTCTCCTAGATTTAGATTAGAAGATAGTTTTATTTACCCACGTTACCCACATCAAATATCTTGGAGTTATATTGGATGAAAGGCTTTCTTGGAATATTCACATAGCATCGCTGGCGACCAGGATCAGGAAAACAATTTACATATTTAAAAATTTACGTACAGTGGCCAATAAACAGCTATTAATCCTAACCTACAGGGCGCTTGTTGAGTGTATTATTAGATATTGCATAAGTGCCTGGGGTTGTGCAGGCAAAACGCACCTTATCGTGGCCGAATTGGCTCAGCGAGCTGTACTGAAGGTGTTATTGTACTTGCCCTTTAGGCATCCAACCACCTCCTTATATGAGAAAGCTGGTGTACTATCTATACGACAAATGTTTATTTATGAAACAATCCGGAGATATCATAAAAAAATAGTGCCTACTTTACAAGTTGACTCTAAAAGGGTAGATCGTTGTCCGATTCCACAAGTTAAAACCTCCTTTGCTAAAAAGCACTTCACAGTTGTGGCTCCACGTATTTATAATATTTTTAATAATAAATATAAAGTTAAGAAGCATCCTAACAATAAGCTGAAAAATTTTTTAATTACCTGGCTGAAAAGTTTAGATTATGATGCGACAGAAGAAATTATAAAAAATGCTATATAGTATCTACACACACACACACACACACACACACACACACACACACACACACACACACACACTGCGTGTGTGTGCTAATTTTTTTTCTTAATGTTACTCTTGTTGTCTGTACCTACATATATCACTGTGTTGGCATAAACCTGTCATTAATCATATGGGGATGACACTGGCTCCTGCAATACAGTTTTTAACGAGCGCAGGGGCTAGGGAATTCTTAATCACCTGTGTATGTAAAAATTATGTCAATAAAGAATTTATTATTATTATTCAAGACGTGGAAAGTAAGTATTAAAGTATTTCTATTGTATTTTAAATGTCAAATATTCGCGTAAATCTAAGAAAGTATTAATGCAATGGTTGCTGAAAAAAATCCTAGCAGCCCGCGATAGAACAAAAAAAGGACAAAAAAAGAGTACATAAACCAGAAATGTATAAAATAAGTGTCAGAGAAAAATGTCGGCTACAATGTAAAGTAAATTAGGTGGATGAACTATCAAGGCAATGGCTTTTTGATGCATTTTAAGGAATTCGCAAATCTTGAAAAGCAGAGAGAATTCGTAGTAACTACGACACTCAAAAAAAATTTAAGTTATTATATATTTATTATATATTTTTCATTATTAATAAAGAATTTTGTCTGATTGAGGACTTAATTCAGTGTTTTCTTGCTAATTCCTAATAATCAGCCAATCTACCCCTACTTTTGGTCTCAGACCCTCTATTAGTCAGGTTATTATAAATACATTCAAAATGCTGTCCCTTTTAAATTTATAGTGACTCTTCGAAAGAGAGACAACTAAACACTAAATTCACCAACACAGGTTCAACTACGAATAACAAAAAATAAACTTACAATTTGTTAAGCAATACAGAAACAACTACAAAAACTTTGAATGTGAATACAGTTGTATTTTTTTATACAATATGCATATATTTTTATCTATACTTTGTATGTGCCTGAAATCAAATACATTTCGTAATTAAATGAAGTCATTGCAATTTTCGTATAAGTATATAATATAATAATACTTTCTATCTCTTTTTCAGTGAACTAGCAACTTACCCTCGCTTCGGGTTCGTCCCTAGGTTGATTCCCCATACAAACTTTCATCCCCATTTTCACGCCCTTAAGGAATCATTTCCAGTATAAAAAGTATATTTATACCCTTTCCAGGGTCTCAAACTATCTTCTTACCAAATTTTATCTAAATGGGTTCAGTCGATCCAGAGATTACCCCCTACAACGTCACAAACTCGCAATGTCACAAACTTTACCTGTTTATAATATAAGTACAGATAAATTTTACAAATTAGTAAAAGTTAGTCAAAGACTTCAAGTTACGACATTTACTACAATAAATATTGGCCAGTCATATCTAACTTGGTGCATAACGATCTGTTTTGAAATCGAAATTGATATGACCGATAAAAAACTCAATTACTTAAATATTTATCACAAAGAAATACTATTCATTTATAACTTTTCCTTCAGTTTCTTGAACTTCGCGTGTTGTTTTACAAATGTCGTTTTGCCTTATAATAATCGCCTTAAGAAATAGGTACTCCTATATAGCTGCGATCTTCGACAAAATATACCAACAGAAAGCAAACCAATAGGTACGAATGATTTCCAATTTAAATCTTTTATTCTTTGTAATATCAATTCAAATCAGCGAATATTCACGCGATGACCTATAGAATAGATTTTGTTTTTAATTACTTAGCCTACTATGTTAATTAGATTTATTATAATGTGCAATTACTGTCATAATATCTACATAATCTATAAATTTTATGGTGAACAAATAGTAAGGTTTCTATACTAATTGGTTAGGTATTTTACAAAGAAACGAGGCTGGTATTATTTAAAAATAAGTATTTAAAATTTCAGTTATAAAGGGTTGTCATTGTAAAGTCCGTGCCGATTTTTCGTACCTATTCCAATCGAAAGATCAATTTCATCGATATTGGCTTATCTAAGTAGGTCTATAGTAGTTAAAGTAAATACTTTTAAATTACCCCGAAAGATATTAAAATAGGTAAAAATAATAAAGATAATATTACGAGTATCTACGTGTAAGCAAATATCTACGAGTATACATAACTATAATAAAATTGTGAGTCGAATCTGTACATTAAATATGTTTTGAAAACTCTTATAGAAATTGTTATTATTATCGATGCAGAGGCCGAATCTATAGTTTTCAGAATTTTTGTCTGTCTGTCTGTGACCGCATCACAAGGAAACTACTGGACAGATTTTGATGAAATTTGGGACTATGATAGCTGGTTGTCTGAGTCAACATAGTAGGATGTATGTGTATAGGATACTTTTTCTGTGGGAAAATATGTCATGTCTGAGAAATCTATACTAAACGTTAAAACGTAATATAGGGACGAACCCGAGCGGAGCGAAGGTAAATCGCTATTTTGGTATAAAATGATTATAACAGATAACTACACGACCGGAAAGCGAACAAGAGATTTAGTAATTAAATAGAATAGAGGCGGTAATTAAAGAAATTGTTGTCATCGCAAACTAATCTACTTAATGAGATATGAAATAAAAATTATTTTAAATAGCCTTTATGAACTGATAATTTTTACAATCTTCAACAATCTACAACATATATGTGCTTAATTGATAATGTACATATTAAAGTATGCTTATCGTTACACGTGCAATATACAGTAATTTTGGCGTTATAACTGTTTTTAACCGACTGAAAAAAGAGGAGGTTTTACGTTCGTCTGTATGTATGTATTTTATCAATTCATTTTATTTCCGAACGCACATTCTCTGCGATTGTTTTTATATGTCTCCATTCTATATTTTTTGGTATATTTATGTGTTTTCCCACGGGTCTACTAACGTAGTTTATTTTTGTTAATTGTATCGATCCGTAAAACCTTCCTAAAATAACCAAGTTTTAACATGCAAAAAAATTCAAATCAGACTTTACGCGTTTTTTTAATTACCTGTATTTTTAGTTACCTGTAATACAACAGAGTAGACGCCAGCCCCCGTCGCGCCAGCGCCTCCTACCAATAATATACCAATACCAATTCCCAGTGCTGAGACAAAGGAAAATGTGAAGATGTACACTATTGATAGCCATTTCTTCGTACCCGCAACGAGAAACTCTACTCCGATGCAAAATGCTATGATGTATTTGTGGGCAGATACTGCGCCAAACATATACCTGGAAAAATATAACATTTTATCTAGTCAGTATAATGCGTTTTGGAAACAAAAAACATAATAAAACATAAAAAGTAGAATTTTCTCTTCTAGTAATACTTTGATATTTATAGGTGAGTAGTTGAGTACCTCTTTCCTTTTTAGTGTGTCTCAGTATTTTTAAAATGAGTCCCTGAAAACACTATTTCTCAAAAAATCTGCAGTTATAATCTACATATATTTTTCTTTCTTTAACTTTAATATCTAAAACTCTACGGTTCCTTTCCTGGTTGGTATACCTATACATACATATTATATGAAAATATGTAATACACAATTTAGTTGCTTCTATCGATTAAGTGGGTAGATATTATTGGCAATGAAAGGATTAAAAAGATCTCTATCTATGTAACTATTTTATCAGAAACTTCGTTTTGGCATAATTATATCATAATTACATCAAGTATTTTATTAATTTTAGATTTATTATAATTATTAAGTTATATGCTTAGATTATTAATAAATCTAAGGTTATATGCTGTACGGGGAGTTACACAGTGAATGTAAATGACTCAAACTCCCATGTAAACAGTGGCGGCCTTAGGGGGTGGCAAGCAGCCAGCAGGGCAACCGCCCGGGGCCTCGCTCTTGTAGGGGCCTCGCGCCTTCGCATAACAACCCAAGTGTATCAAAATCTCCTGCCTTACGCCGGACATTACAAAACCCATATCGCGCCAGTACAAGCATGTAGCGCTTAAGTCAATAAGCCATTAATATTAAATTTCACGTAATTGTAGTAATTATAGTAAAGAGTGAATTCGTAAAAAAACTGCGTACAACTGCTTGTAATTTTTATTAATTTTATGTGCAAAAAATATTTTCTAATTGAGTTCGCGCGATTGTGATGCCCGTAGAAATATTGAGTTTGGTAGTTCAAAAAGGCATCAAGCCATCAAAAGACAGCAGATAGAAAAAAATCTGTATGCGTCTGTATATAAATATATAAAAGGTGATGGTCAAGAAGCTTCTAAGTCCTTAAGACCTTTCAGTGACTAAAAGTGACATGTTATTGCATTCTAAGCCTAAAGCAGCTGAAATAATTTTTTCGACGTCGTCTGGAATGTCGTTGCTACCAAGCGGTGATAATAGTAAGTAAGCAACATCATCGTTACTCCACCGCCGCAGCCGTCGTCAGCACTATCCAGCCAGAAGTACGTATCTAAATTTATGTCTACATCCATGAGTGGCGGAATTGAAAATCTTATACTCCATACTTAAAATGACCCAGGTTTATGGCCATCAACAAATACTGATGCAAACCGAACTGAGATTTCATTGAAAGGTCCAATCCGCGCTAAGACAGATTTTTTTTCTGTAAACGATAGTGGACGGCGATTCAATGAATAGGTATCATTACAATAAAATATGAGCTTATGGGGAAAAATTGGACACTGGATGATTTATTCACAAACAAAACATGCCATTTACTTCTTCTGTCGATTGTTCAAAATAGAATATAAAGAATTGGGTCCAGTGCAGAACTTTGCAATTGGAAGCACCTCGGTAAATATTTAAAGTTCGGCTGCACAAAGATTGTATTTTAAAACGGTTAAATGTAGAGAACGGATTAAAAAGCTGTACAACTATTGACTCTTTAGCCCAGAGGCTTTCCTTCATTGGCCGTCCAGAGTGAAGCGCAAGAGCCAAGTCCTTGAAAGGGTAGAAGTGCTCAATCGGAAAAATAACGGGGAAACCCACGAGCACTTGCGATGGTGAAACCGGTGCACACTTCTCGATAACCTTAGCCGACCACACTGATGTTGTGCCCGGAGGCGCTATGCCACTAGTGGGAGGTGAGTCACCGTCTGCCAAATATTGAATCTGAGGCTGTTGAGAAGGCGGACATTCGGTAGTCTCATCCAATAGCCCAGTTTTGTAGCCCATCCAAACTCCATTCCATAGACTCTTTTAGTTTTCCATATTTTCCATAGTCCCTAAGCATTGTCCGGACCATATTTAAGCAATTCCTTATGGGTTACTCAGAGATGGATGCCGGCATATGCGGATATTAAACATATAAATCTCGGAAGTGGTCTCTACGTGTTGGACCTGTGTCCCCACACAAGCCTTCCAAACAACCGAGCTCCTTCGAGCTCGTGAATTCTAAAGAGCAGTGCCGGATTTAACCTTAGTGACACCCCTGGACAGTTTAAAAAATGCCGCCCTATTATCGTAACTTTGCATAAAATGAATAGTTACGATAAAAAATTTAAATTTTTTTTGAACAGTGCAAATATAATAATTCATATGTGTATGTGATATTAATTGTTCGAAAATTGAATCTACTAGTTAATCTTTTTTAATTATTCATTTTTTGGGTAATAAAAAAAGCATTTTCGATAACGTGAAGAATTTTTTTCCCCACCCTCCGAATTTTGCTGCCCCTAAAAATTTGCCGCCCTAGCTGCACTACCCCAGAGGGCCCCTAGTGTGATCTAGCACTGCTAAAAAGATACAAATAATGTCCACTATCTCTGAAAAATTATTCAAAATGAGCTAATAGAATCAATGGCAAGTCACGCAAAACCTAAAAATGTTGACAAAATAATTTTGTTTTCTTTGTGCTTGTTAACTTTTCTAAATTTCCAATATACAATTTTAAAACTCTAAATTTATTTATTTATAACTTTTACATTTCTCGTCAAGCATCATTATTAAAAATATTTTCAATTCACATAAATTTCATACAAAACAAGGGCCTCGCAAAAATCTCCTGCCCGGGGCCTCGCAATGGCTAAGGCCGCCCCTGCATGTAAAAAATAGATTTAAAAAATATATCAAGTAGTTATATAGGTTACATTTTATTGAGAATAGGATTTTACTAGCGGCTGTTTAATCAAGTGTTCTTAGTAAGTAAGAACAATAAATAAGTAGGTACGCCAATTATACGTGATGATAAGAAAATATTTTCTTAAACTATAAACAAGACTTTAAAAATTAAAGAATTCATTTATACATTTAACGTAGATTTTTTTAATAATAATTCATAACAATAGATTTTTAATCTATTGTTATGATTGGCTCGCGTAGCTAAATTTATTTTTAATTAACATTTCGCTTTGTATTTTTTTTTAATTTATACCAAAAAATACCGAAGTATGAGTCAGAAGTTTATTTATAGTTCAGAAGTATTTATTCTACCTACTTACTTTTAACTTAGAAAAGTGTTGGGACACGTACCTAGTACCTACCTACTTACAGGATACCTAATTCAAAAAACCTGATTAACTTATTCATGTAGCCCAAGATATTGCGCAACATACACATAAAAACACACACAATTAAATTGAGTATTAGCTATTCATTTTTGAAATATACCTATTTTTATCGTTATTAATTTTTGTAATGTTTAAGAAAATTAAATAACGAGAAATACTTACTGTAAACTTAAGTAAATTAAATATATTTACGTACCAAACATTTCTAGATGACGCTTCCAAGCCAACTGCAAGACCTTCAAAAAGTTCGTGAATAGATAGAGCTAGGACGATGAGAAGTCCTCTCAGGGCTGATACCAGATTATCTTCGGTTTCAAAAGGTAAATGACTATGACCAGGTTGATGTACATTCGCCTCCAACTCTTTTATTGATTTATCTACAGATGATCCAGCTTCTGCACTGTTTTTACGTATACTCATTACCCGAGAGAAGCTAGAGTTAGTTTTATTCTCTCGACTGTGGATGTAGAGCTGTACTAACTCTTCAATGAGATACATCATGAAGAAACCGGCGCACATTAAGAGAGAAGCCAAGTATATTGGCATTTCTGGCATATCACCGCTTTCTGAATAAAAATAAATAATATAATGAATATAATATATCAGACTAATACTTTTACGCTGTCAATCACAGGTTTAATATTTGTGAAGATTATTTGAATTGATCATATAAACATTGCTCTTTATCGGGCTAATACAAAGTGCTGAAACTGCTTCAGCTTAATAAAAAAGTTAATCTCGGTCATATGTATATATGTAACTACCTCGTTAGTCTAGTGGCTAGCATGTACATGTACAGATGAATGGCACATGGCTCAGTTTGAGAGATCTTGGGTTCGACTCCCGGATCGGGTTTAAATAATTACTGGGTTTTTCTGTCAAATAGCGTGTTAAGCTACCAGTTTTGAGCTTTATAGAGTTTTTGTCCCATCAGAATGTGAGTTAAAGAAATTGAGAGTGCACTTGTGCACAGACTTCTGCACTATACTATGTCCTGCGCAGTTAGCTATTCTCAGTGAGACTGGCCGCCTAACCGAATTTATTTAGGAGGACATTATGTACAAACAACAATAAAACAACAAACAATAAAATTTAAATACAATGTAGGTAAATTTTTCTCCTATCAAAAGGTGTAAATAACAACAACATTTGATATTTCCTACGTACAGCATTACAGTATTACTAAGCCAAATTGCAGGTAAGTATATATTTTGATTATTTTATTCACTAAAATTGGAAATTGTAGGAACTCCCATTTTTGATTTTCTTAAAAAAAGTTATTGAATTTATAAAAAAAAATATTATTAGTGCTTAAAATAACAATCACCTACTTAAAATATTTTTATTTAGATAATTGATTTTAACTAAAATTATATACAATTCTATATAAATAGGTACAGTACCGACCTATTATTGCAATAATACCTATAAGGAAAATAAGCAAAAAATCTAGGGTCATAAATAACTGTCCTATGGATTGAACTTCCCGGAGAGAAATTAGACAATTCAACAGGGAGCAATTGCGCTAAGTAGTTTAAGCATCAATAACCGACGCTAGAATCCTGTGGGATATCCCCTTTGACGAATTGCATACGACTTAAAAATTGTGAATCTTAAATTCGTCGAGATTAAGTTAGATACCGCAAACCACCATAATAATAAATGATCATGCTTATAAATTGCACGTAAGTATTTTCGTATGTTTTATTATAACAATTAACAAACCATAAGCTAACTATGGAAAAAAGATTTTTTTAAATATTCAAATCATAAACTATACCTATGTAGGTACCTAATATTTATTATCATAAATCACTTTTTTAATTTCGATAATACAAAATTATTCATATATAAATTATATTCATACAAATTGCTAATCTTATCATATCGGAGCAATAGTTCAATCAATTAGGTTTTTAAAGCTTAAACAATTAGGTTTTTAAAGATAAGATAAAGAGTTTTTTAATTTAATCATAGCAATAATCTTTATGTGCCATTTATCAATATGCGCTCAGAATACAGAAAAAACTTCTGTATTCTGAGAATATGCGTATCGCATCTTTTCTACGTGGCATAGATTTTTTTTTTACGTTAACATTTTATCAGTTATGAAAATGAAATGATACTCTCCGTACATGCATTTTCAGAATTTCGCAAAAAACTCAAGTTGCTCCCAATCCGCCTTTGCAGGAATACTCATGTACTTCATCTTCTCTACAGCGTGCTGTTCTATCCTTCTCCTTTCTACCTTAGAGAGCGATTCGAGTTTTTGAGTGATACCCATACTCTTTCACTTAGCAGAAAAAGAAGCGAACGAGAATGCGCTAAATATTATAATAGTGCATTGCATGTGGATTACGCCTTCTGGGCTAGAATACGCAAAATTACGCCAAAACGCATGTTGAAGTACACTTTGCCTCTCTCGTACGCCAAAACTATCGATTTTACAAAAAAAATTGTTATCACATAAATTGTAAGAATTTTTCTCTAACTAAATTTTGTAAATTAAATAAATTATATTAAATATTAATGTTTTATCGTAAAAAGAGTGAGAATAGAGATATTATCAAAAACTGTAATTAGGCGCCATTTTTCCAATATGGCGATAACGCGAGAGGTAAAGTTATGAGGTGGCAAAATTGAAATTCGGAAAAAGCACATCGAAATCTATAAAATCACCAACTTTCAAGACTCCAGGAAAACTTTCCAGGTAACCTCATTTTTGAGCACCAAATGACTGTACTAAAGAACGCTGTATTTTCGTAATCCAATCGGCAACGAACCGAAACTCAACGTAATGTAGCTACGATCCAATCGAAATTGAATCACAAATGTAACATGTGTCTGCAGTCATCATATTATCTGGGTGTTTTTTGGTTATTGAAAAAATGTTATTTATTTAATCTTTTATTTAGAGTCGTAAGATTTAAATAAAGTTTAAATTAAAATTTTGATTTAAATTAGCACAATTTTTTCTTCAATCCATACACGTTACATATAATAAAATAGTAACAAAACGAAATCTATACATGAAATATCTTTTTAAAAACTATGACTGCTAAGTATTGTGTACGGAATATAGAAGCCAAAATAATCGTAGTTGAAATTTTTCTGTTTGTCCGTTTAACTGTATGCATTTCACGCAAAAAGTCCTTAACGAATTTAAATTAAATGTTGCATAGTGATAGCTTATAACTCGGGTCAACATTTAGGATTCGTTTTACTAGAAAAAGCTGTCATTGTCACAGGATAACATATGAAGTGGTGGGTCGAATTGTCGTTCATACAAAAATTTCAATGATTTATTACACAAAAACTTTTAGTAATTAATTGACAGTTGTAATTGACAGTTAAAGTAACTGACAGGTAAACTAACTGACAGTTAAACTAACTGTCAGTTACCTCTACTGACAGTTAAAGTAACTGACAGTTACACTTACTGACAGTTAAACTAACTAACAGTTAAACTAACTGACAGTTAAAGTAACTGACAGCTAAAGTAACTGACAGTCAAACTAACTGACAGTTAATCTAACTAACAGTTGAACTAACTGACAGTTAAATTAACTGACAGTTAAAGTAACTGACAGTTACACTAACTCTCAGTTATATTTACTGAAAGTTAAAGGAACTGAAAGTTAAACTAACTGACAGTTAAAAAACTAACAATGCAAAGTTGCAGTAGCTAGTAGATAGCATATAAACTTTTAATTCATACGAAAACACTTACCAACATAAAAAAAGAATTAAACTCAATGTAAATAAGTGGTCTTATATATAACTTTCGGATTTTAACAGATTTGCACAAACAAATGAATTTTTATTTACATGGATACATTCTCCGTCTTTATCTATACTAATATTATAAAGACTTTACCAAGTTTAAATAAAATAAACTAAAGGATTTAGGGACCCCGGGCTGGGCATCACAGCTCGGGCCCTTTGCTTCATGGCGGGCGAACAAACGCATTCCCAAAGAGGGTTGACGTCAAGCAGGCGGCCGGTCGGAAAACTTTTGCCAAAACGAATAAGCAGTGACTCACTGCGACGACCCCAAGGAACTTGGGGCAGGAAGATTATAAAGAGGTAAAGTTTGTGAGTTTGGGACGTTGTAGGGAGTAATCTCTGGATCTACTAAACCGATTTAGATGAAATTTAGTAAGAAGATAGTTTGCGACACTAGGAAGAACATAGGATACTTTTTTTATCCTGGAAATCATCCCTTAAGGGGGTGCAAATGGGGGTGAAAGTTTTATGGGTAATCAAGACGAACCCGAGCGTAGCAAGGGTGAGTCGGTAATTACATACTCGTATATACTGCAGCAATTTTTAAGGGTGCGTGTAACGGTTGAAAAAATAAGAGCCGGTACTACCCACTAAAACCCGACATTCCCCTCCCCTCCGCCTTAATAGGACGCCGCAGGATCGCTTGCGCATAACTACTACAGAGCCAGAAAGACGACCTAGGTTAAAGGGACTCAATCCTTCGATACGTTATACTTGTCGTTTTTTTTTCAGCATACCTACTAATTACTAAAGTTATATCAAAATCTAGCTTTTTACGAGCGGCTCCGCGTGCATGTTTAATTTATGTATTAAAATTCCAATAAATGTTTTTTTAGCCGATTCTTGTAAATTGTAATGATTATAAATATCAATATCCATATTTATTACACTTACAACGACAAAATCTCTTATTACCGTATTTGTCATCTTAGGATGTACTGCCTAAATAGTATAACGGTTTTTATGCAAACTTCCTATTGTATTTTACCTTTTTAAGGGTTGAATTTCTAAAAACCTTTTCTTAGACCTACTCCGAATGAGGATTCTAGCCGCTAAGTTTCAAGTTTGTAGCATTCATACTTCTGAGGTTGCGTGAATAATCTGTGATTGAGAATAATGAACTGAGATACAAAGTTTTAAATTACTATAGGCGTAAGAACCTCCGTAGAATCCGCAGAAATAAACGGAGCATTGTCATAAATGATGGATACAATCAGATATTATTAAATTAACCTTATTAACCCTCTTATGTGAAATAATCGATAATTAAAAGAAATAATGAGGTCTTTGTTATTTTGTGAGGGTGCAGAAGTCGATCTTTTATGGGCCTGAGGTATGAAATTATGGCTGAGAAATATGAAATTCTACAAATTGTCTAAGATACCATACATATTTAAAAAAAAATCTAATTTACTAATCACATGACATACTTGTCATGTCATTATAGAACACAAGAACAAAGTGTCTTCGTCTAACTAGAGACTTTAAGAAAAATGCCATTGGACACATTCTTAGATATATTATTTTATAAAACTAAGTTAAAGTTAAATTACTCATTAGGCTTGTTGGCTAGATCGTAATAATATTAGGTTATAATATTTTAGTATTGTTACCTAGAAAAAAAAATATTTATGACATACTTGTCAAGCTTATTTAATCTCCTCAACGGTTACCTCAGTGAGATCGATTTGAAATAAACTTAAGTACTTATTGTGTAGTACATAGGTAAGTTGCCTAAGATTGTCAAAATGTTATTTATAGATAACCTAATTCTAAATAACTAATTACAATTTTAATCAACTTATGCCATTTATTATATACTAGCATTGCCCGCGGCTCCGCCCGCGTTCAGATGATCAGAAACCAAATTCTAAGGTTTTACATATTACATAGTATACTCATACATTGCAGTTATTGTATTTTTTCTCAGAAATGAGATATTTTACCGCGGTAAATAGTATATGTTGTTCCGGATAACCAGCTATCACCATACCAAATTTCATCAAAATCCCTCTAGTGCTTTTTTTTGATGCGGTAACAGACAGACAGACAAAAATTCTAAAAACTATAGATTCGGCCTCTGTATCGATAACAATGTCTATTTCAATAAGATTTTCCAAAAAAAAATTTAATGTACAGATTCGGCTTCGTTACAATTTTATTATATGTATACATTTCCACAGCAGGCGTTTTTTATCATATATATACCCTATTTAATCTTTTTAACTAAAGGTAATATATTTTTCTAATCCAAAGTAGGTAAGTCATGATTGAATAAAAATTGCATCCGTCTAAGGAGAGTCATGGGCATCCACTAGTTAGCCATGTGTTTACATTCCAAATGTTACCTTTAAATGTCACAACAAGTTAGCTGCGTTTATGTTACTCATTTAGAATTTAATAAATATTTAATGTGATTCAAAATTAACAATTTGCAGACACCTTATCTAACGGAAAATGCCAAACTACTTCAACAAAAATGTTTTAATTTGTCGGTATCAGGTATTAAGAATGTTATTTTAAGTTATTAATGTTATATTTCTAAATCTATACATATAATCAAATTGTAACTAAGCCAAATCTGTACATTCGATATTATTTGGAAAATCTTATTGAAATAAACATAATTATAGATACAGAGGCCGAATCTATAGTTTTTAGAATTTTTGTCTGTCTGTCTGTTACCGTATTACAGAAAAACCACTGGAGGAATTTTGATGAAATTTGGTATGGTGATAGCTGGTTATCCGTGTCAATATATATGATACTTATTACCGCGGGAAAATATCTCATTTTTTTTTTGAGAAAAAATACAAAACCTGCAATGTAAGAGTATACTAATATGTGAAACCTAAGAATTTGGTTTTTGGTCATCTGAACGCGAGCGGAGCCGCGGGCAATGCTAGTAAATATATAATAGGCATATTACCTATTAACTTGAACTAACGAATTAACTTTAATTTATAAATTTACTCAAATGCATCTGAAAATCTACGCAGGACATAAGAATATACCTAATATGCATTTTTAGCAATGTACCAAAATCTCACCTTGTAATAATTTAACGTTTTCATCGACTTCAGGAAGCAAATGCATGAAGGTAGTTGCAAAAAGCACACCTCCTCCAAAAGACAGTAAACCTATTATTAGCTTGTTTGAAGTCCTCATATTAGGGCCATTTGATTTCGTAAACCACCCATACTTATACGAAATTACCATGGGAATGCATCCGAATATCATGGAGATACCGAAGAGGCAAACCATGGTAATTATTTTCGCCTGTAACACGTATCCAAGGTCTTCCGCACTCTCCATCGCTGCACTCATTATAATGTCAGTTTTAATTTGATCGTATGAGGTCACCGGTGTACGCGGCTACAACGTGTCTAGTGCCGTCTCCTCGTTCAACTGATCACTGATCCTACGCCCCAGCTGTAGGCGGGCTCATGATAACATAATAAATGATAAAAATGACTTTGTCTGTTTGCTCATCGTCGGTGCTATTATGTTTTGCTTCTGAATCCATACTAATATTATAAATGTGAAAGTGTGTTTGTTTGTTTGTCCTTCTTTCACGTCGAAACGGAGCGACGGATTTGCGTGTTTTTTGTGTGGAGATAGTTGGAGGGCTGAAGAGTGACAAAGGCTACTTTTTATCGCAGAAGATTACCTCATTCCCACGGGAATACGCGTTATAATACAATTCAAAAAAAATTTATGATCAGAATTATTTGAAAATGCTGTTCAATAAAATTAAATAAATGTGTATTTTAGTATTTTTCGAAATTTATCCTATAGGGGGATAAAATTGGGGGTTGTATGAAACTTCTTAGACATTTTTTTGTAGTTTTAGCACGAGCGAAGCCGCGGGTTCTGCTAGTATGTATATAAAATAAAATAGCTGTTGGTCTGTGGTTTAAATATGTCCTATTCTTTCCAATTTCGAAATTACAAAAGCAAAATAATTGAAGTTCAAGCTGTAGCTACGTAGGTATATATGTCGCAGGGATATTGTAAAAGTCGAGCAATTATAATAACACTAGTGAAATTATAATCTCATGGCTTTTTAATATCTTTGCGTCATATACATATGTATATGATAGGACAACAGCTATATATACTCGTAGGAGAGGAAAACAGCTTACTTTATGTCTTTACTACCATTGCCCGCGGCTTCGCCCGCGTTCAGATGACCAAAAAGCAAATTCTTAGGTTTTACAAGTTTTTGTATGTTTTCTCAGAAATGAGATATTTTCCCGCAGTAAAAAGTACCCTATATGTTGACCCGGATAACCAGCTATCTCCATACCAAATTTCATCAAAATCCCTCTAGTGGTTTTTCTGTGTTGCGGTAACAGACAGACAGATAGAAAAAAAATCTAAAAACTATAGATTCAGCCTCTGTATCGATAATAATGCCTATTTCAATAAGATTTTCCAAAAAATATTTAATGTACAGATTCAGCTTAGTTACAATTTTATTAGGTATATGTATAGATATCTATACTTATTATAAAAATAAGTCCCCCGGCCGCGTCTTTCTGTCCTCCTGTCTGTCCTCCTGTCTGTCTGAACGCGATAAACTCGAAAACTACTGAACGGATTTTTATACGGTTTTCAACAATAGAAAGAGTAATTCTTGAGGAAGGTTTAGGTATATAATTTATTATGCTTTTATGTAAATTAGCTGAAATACGGCGACAAATGTTGAAGAGGTCGCAAAAAATCTCGCCAAATGGGAACTTTCCACGCGAACGCCGCGTAAACTAGCAAAGATACAGTTAAGTAATGTACTAGAGAATTCAAAATCTATAAAAATGCTACAAAAAAGTCCGCGATAGCATATCTCTATCTCTTACGGTTGACTTACAATAACCACTTTTATGTTAACATTTTTAATTAAAAACATTACGTTATTTTCAAAGTTATTTTCTTTAGTTCGGTATTAATCCTTATCCAAATGAATATTTTAGTTAGCTTAGTCATTTAATGCAGATTAAAATTGCTCTTTACACTAAATCAATCAGATGAATAGTTTTTGAGATATCGTTGTTAGAAGTAATTAGTAGCGAAACATTTTTAATGCTTGGCGAGCATTGAGATGCCTACGGCGAGTCCATCCCCTCTGCCCCGCATCGCTCGACCGCCTGCTCAAGCTATATAAACCGGGCGATGTAGCGCGCGATCCTAGGATACTTTTTACCGCGGGAAAATATCTTATTTCTGAGGAAAAATACAAAAACTGCAATGTAAGAGTATACTAATATGTAACACCTAAGAATTTAGTTTTTGGTCATCTGAACGCGGGCGGAGCCGCGGGCAATGCTAGTAACATAATAAAACTACTACAACGCTGAAGGCTAAACTACATAGTATAACTTCGGAGATGTGTACATATTTTTTAAGCAATTTCCAATTTTTGTTTTAAAGTATTATTAGTATCTCTACGTGGAAATTCTAAAAATACGTTTGTGATAACAAATTAGCGAAGAGTCAGTTTTACTTATAAAATGCCTGCAGACAGAAATAAATCAAACATGTTAGGTATATTTATTCGTTGCATTCCTTTATTTGTTCGATAAATTGTCAGAAAGTTTAATGAATTTTAATGTTGTATAAATAAACGAAATTCTTAGGCTGATAAAAAATGTTTGACTGATAATTTTAAGCAAAAAGGCTTAACATTTGATATAAGATAAGTTTTTTTTTCCTAGCTATTTAAAAATAAAAAATAGGTTTATAAAAAAATCCACTAATGCTCCTTTACAAACCCTACCCTTATTTGGAAGTATCACGGTCTAAATGAAGCAAAAGCCTACTTCTCTTTTATTACCCGACTGCGGCGAAGCCCAAAGGAGGGTTATGTGTTTCCCCCCCAACGTGCGTTCACCTTGTCGTGGTGGCGGGGCTCAGTAGTGCCCGGCAACCCAACCGGGCGCGAAGCCAAGAAACGCACAGGGAGGTGGCCCACTTCGGTGGGTGGTGGGTTTCGGAAGGTGGCCCTCTTTGGAGGGCAGTGTACCATGCGGGTTGCTCCTGGTACTTCTCTGATAGCAGAGTGGACTGTGGAGCAACCCCATGGTTGTTGTGGTCTGCTTCGGCAGACCTGCCGTCGGGGCGTCGTAGTTGAATGCGTAAGCGATCCTACGCGCCCCATTAAGACGGGGGAAGGTTTTGTTGGGTTTTAGTGGGTAGTACTGGCTTTGCCGGTGAGTCCCACACCTCGTGCTTAAATGCATTTCCCAACGTTATAAAAAAAAAATGGTTATGTGTTTGACCTTTATGTATGTATTCCGACCCTATGTTTCCTCATAATTACTAAACGGATTAACTGATTTTGATGAATCGTCATTCGTGTCGCCTTGATAACGCGAGTGTCATAAGGTATATAAATATAAGGTATTTATATATATATATATATATATATATATATATATATATATATATATATATATATATATATAATTTGAAATTTAAATGGCGGGTCCTTTTTTTTAACGTTGGGAAATGCATTTACGCACGAGGTGGGACTCACCGGCGAAGCCAGTACTACCAACTAAAACCCAACAAAACCTTCCCCCGTCTTAATGGGGCGTCGCAGGATCGCTTACGCATTCAACTACGACGCCCCGACGGCAGGTCTGCCGAAGCAGACCACCACAACCATGGGGTTGCTCCAAGGTCCACTCTGCTATCAGAGAAGTACCAGGAGCAACCCGCATGGTACACCGCCCTCCGAAGAGGGCCACCTCCCACCGCCCACCGAAGTGGGCCACCTCCCTGTGCGTTTCTTGGCTTCGCGCCCGGTTGGGTTGCCGGGCACTACTGAGCCCCCCCACCACGACAAGGTGAACGCACGTTGGGGGTGGATCCTAGACGCAGTGTCTTGAAAAAAGTTATTCGTCCGAATCAATCGAGTAGGGTATCAAAATTCGGTTACGAAAATAAACATTTTTAACCGACTTCCAAAAAGGACACCTCCTTTCTCCGTTCTCAATTCGTCGGAATCTTTTTTATGTATGTTCACCGATTACATGAAGACATCTGAACCGATTTGGATTATTTTGTTTCGATGAGTATACTTCCCAGGTGGTCCCATTTAAATTTTATCGAAAATTGGTCGAGTGTTTTTAAAAAATCAAGAATAAATTATTTTTTTTAATAAATTGCTTAGTCAAATATTTTATTAAAATCTTTCTTCTTACAAATTACTTTCATTACATCTACACTAAAAATGGAAAAATAAAAAACCTTTAAAAAAAAAAAAAACCGACTTCCAGACACTAAAATGTAAAAAATAACTAAATGGGTGTTTTCATTTAGAATCAGATATTTTTGAAGTCGGTGCCAGCCGACAATATTTTAAGATATGAATATCTAATAGGTAAATATGACAATTCTAAATCTAATGGTATGAACTCTAATTATAGTTCAAATACTAAACTGCCTCGGTGGTGTAGTGGCTAGCATGTACGGCAGCACACCTGGAGGTCCTAGGTTCGAGTCTCGGGTCGAGCCAAGTTTAGTTATTGAGTCTTTCTCTATAGTAAGCCTCAGTAATAGCCTGGAGTTAGGAAGTTGGCGGTATTTTACCCTCGTGCCTTTTCTTTCTATCTTCTTTCTTTTAAGCATAGAAGCCTAGAAGGTAAGCATAGAAGGTTGTAATATCACGGTACTGTTATGTAACATTACCGTGGTAATATACCTACTGTTCTTCTGGCAAATAAGCGACCATTAAATTTGGTCGTATAAATGTACTCGTACATATAACTACAACGTATCTTAATATTTCGATTGGTATGTAAAGTTAAAAACAAATTAAATAAAAATCAAATAATCTTCGTCATATATTACAAAAACATATCAACAACATTTTTACTTATCGAAAATACAAATTTCCGACTTTTTTAAGTTTCTAAATGTAATAATTCTACATTTTTTAATGAACACTGACCGGTCTATAGGTCACGCAATTCGACTTTTTTTAAAAAATCGGTCAAGAGTAAAATTTTTTACGATGAGCGCACACACCGACAGCCAAAAAGCGACATGATGAAGATAGCTGCTTCCTTTTACAAACAGAGAGTTGTGAGACTTGTGACAATATACCGCATACGGCTCACGGGATGAAATCTTTATCAATTTTTGTTCTGTTACGCCAAAGAAATATAACTTCTTACGTGCGTACCTGAGTACATACACACGTTTTTTTTATTATTTGTTTTCATAGCGGCAATAGAAATACATACTCTTTAAAAATTTCAACTCTACCTACTACGATTCATGAGATACAGCCCTCTGACAAACGGACGGACAGCGGAGGCTTAGTAACGGAACCCTAAAAAGGTGATGCTGATGAGACCCCATGATAATATTATGAATGCATTACTTATCTATACTTCTTTACTAACATTATAAAGAGGTAAAGTTTTTGAGTTTGTGACGTAGTAGGGAGTAATCTCTGCATCTACCAGACCAGGCGCGGATCCAGAGTTAAATTTTGGGGGTCATAGGTTGAAATATACATATAATAAAACAGTAACTTAGCAAAATCTGTACATTAAATATTTTTTAAAAACAATTGAGACCAGGGGCGGATTTAGTTTTCCGTTTGGGGGGAATATAATCTTCAAAATACATATAATAACTATTTATTTTTAAATTGAAATGTTTATCCGTTTATTCCTTGCTTTCTTAGACTTCAAAGTTCAAACTTCTCTAAAAAGTATATTTGGGTTTGGGGGGGGGGGTCATGACCCCCATGACTCCCCCCCCTGGATCCGCTCTTGCTACTGACCCGATTTAGATGAAATTTGGTAAGAAGATAGTTTGAGACCATGGGAAGGACATAGGATACTTTTCCGGAAATCATCCCTTAAGGGGGTGAAAATGGGGATGAAAGTTTTGGGTATTATTTATGTTTTGGGTATTACTAGTTATGGGTAGTAGGTAGTTATAGGAAGCAAGCTAGGGGCGAACCCGAGCGAAGTGAGTCGCTCGTGGAATATAGGTATTAGGTAGGTAAGGTTGACAGCACTCAGAATATGTCAATGGCGAAATGTTGGTATTTCTGTTTAATGTCAAAAACAGCCCACTGTCGATTGTCATAATAATACAATTTACGTGTAAATAGTGCCCAAACCTACCCAAAATAGTGTGGGAATGCCACCCAGAGACCATTGAAGTGAACATAAGAATTGAATTGAATAGTAGTACGGCTGTTTTTATTTATTAGGTATTCATCTACCATCTGTAACATCCACTTTTAAGTACGTGCTACTATAAATAAAATATTATAGTGTGTAAATCAGACTCTTATTATATGGGATTATACTTTATAGGAAATACCACATAGCAAGATCAAAATAAAATTAAATATGAATAATAAATAAAATAATGTTGTCTTTTGGTCAAAATGAAACATTAAAATATGCAAAGTTGATTTAATAATTTTTCTAAAATCAAACATTGAAATTTAAACTTCTAGCAAAATGTAATTTAAAGTTTCTACATTAAAAATGACCAAAAAATTCGTATGTTTAGTTATAATTGCGTTGTTAACATTATTAATATGGATATATCGTAGCTCCAATTTTGAATACAAGAGCTCAATACTAATGCTTAAACAAAACAATTACTTTAAAAGTACTCTAATAAAACCGAAGCTTAAATTATGTACTGGTAAGTAATCAGAGACTTCGTTTAAATATAATATAAGAACAAATCACTTCATTTCATGTAATAGAATCAGGAAGAAAAGAAGCATTACAAGCAACAACCTTATATATTACATTCAAAAATACTGAATAAATGTATTGTACTAATTTGCAGAATCCCCTTTTATAGTGATTTTAGTTACTTCTTATGTTGGACATGTAGAACTTAGAAGTGCCCATAGGAGGGCAATGTCTGCTGACTATTTGTCATCTTTAAATATAACAAGAACTTTTCTCCTAGCAAAGATACCTTCAAATGAAAAGTAAGTACTTATTATAAGATATCTATGATTTATGATAAATAATTAAATCATAAGACTATCTGTATTAACTTATAATGCTGAAGAATGTTTGTTTGAATTGGGCAATATCTGGAACTACTAGCTTGATTTGTTGCATTTAATAGCTTATTTATTGAGAAAGGTTATAATTTACTTAATATTACTCCACATAGTAATATTATTTAAATTTTAACCCTTAGGGGTGAAGGACTTGTTTATAAAATTGTAGTCATTTAAGTCTATACATATTATAAAATTGTAACTAAGCTGAATCTGTACATTAAATATTTTTTGGATAATCTTATTGAAATAGACATTAATATCAATACAAAGGCCGAATTTATCATTTTTGTTTGTCTGTCTGTAACCTCATCACGGAAAAACCACTGGAGGGATTTCAATGAAATTTGGTATGATGATAGCTAGTTATCTGGGTCAATATAGAGGATACTTTTTATTGCGGTAAAATATCTCATCTCTGAGAAATCTATACTAAATATTAATACGTAAGCATGGACGAACCCAAGCAGAGCAAGGCTGAGTCAATAGTATACTATATAAGTTATATGAAATATATAGTACCACAATCTTTTCAGGTATATTACACAGGAAGCTATTATTGATGAAAGCAATGTATTCAATGACATTCTCCAAGGTTCTTTTTATGAAAATTACAGAAATCTTACTTACAAGCACCTCATGGGATTAGAATGGGCATCCAGGGAATGCAACAAAGTATCATATATTTTGAAAATTGATGATGACACTGTATTTAACATTAAAAAGACTTATGAATTTTTAAAATCTTTACCAAAAAATGATGAGCTATTGATGGGATATATTTTAAATTATACTCTACCAAAAAGAAATAAGCAAAACAAATGGTATGTAACTTTTGATGAGTACCCTAGAAATATATATCCTCCTTATTTATCTGGTTGGTATTACATAATAAGCCCCAAAGTGGCTAGTTTAATCTGTGATGAAGCTATGTATAACTCATTTTTCTGGATAGACGACATATTTGTCACTGGTCTTCTAATAGAATCTCTTGGTTTAAAGCTAAAACAGCTACCTGATAAATACTGGTTGGAATATTATGAGCAGCTTGAATGCTGCCTTCGAGATATGATCACAAAATCTATAAAATGTGAATATGTTATTGGTCCTAATGGGGGAAGAGAGAATCTAATAGTGGAATTCAGTGAAGCTTATGCAAATTGTGAGAGATGGAAAAACTGTACAATAAGATCAGATCGTGACATTAAGAAAGCCTGTATTGTTACTAAAGAAAGAACAATATTCAGTAATGGACAATCTGAAGTTCTTCACATAAATCTATAATTGCCAAAACAAAGTGTAAGCAACAATAGGGTCTTGGACTATTTTATGAAAAGTATCCTATTGTTTACATAAATAAAATGCTGCTAAAAATATTTTCCAGCAAAAATTATTTTATTCTTATGTAAAAAAAATCGAAAATTATTTTTCACTTTTGAATTTGGCGCTAAAACGCCACTCTTTTATCAATCGTCCAGCGTGACGTCACTTGTCATACAGAGCGTGTAGACTGTAAAGGGCTCGATTATATTCCGTAATCTGTGGGCTCGATCGATTAATTATTAATTGAAAAAGGAACAAGAAAATCGAAAATGAGTGCAATTAATTATTGTCAGTATTGTTCAGTGCCCTTATGTGAAAATAATACCAATAAGACACAAGACGAGATTGGAAAAACCAATCCATAAAATCCATGATTTCCGTCTGTAAAGATACTTTTGATGTAATATGCAATTACAGTAGTATAATATGATCTGCGATTACAGTATAAATTATTCATTCAACTATACTTAGGTATTGCCAGACGCGACACTGGTCACTGCTGTAGGTATGCTATTAGACTGTATTTTGTTTTGATGTTATGCTTAGAGATTATTTAGGTTCCTTGGATTAAAGACTAATCAGATTTTTGCACCTTTTAATTTGTGTAATACCTAGTACTTAGAAGTTAGATAAAATCAAGGGGTTTTAGCAAAAAATTCGGCCACCATCATGACATAGATACGTGATTTGTCAGCTCGAATAAATTTTTTCGCCATGGTATTGACCAGGAACATAAGTAAATTTTAATATTACTTTACTAAACGATTAAAACTTTGAGATTACAGATAATTGAATTTTCGAAACTACTGTATAAACAACAAACTAGCACAGATCATATAATACTATACTTGATACTAGTGACAATGATAAGTGACGTCACGACGTCACCGTAATTGGCGTTTGTAGTCACGTGATTTTGATATTAAAAAAAAATAATTATGTTAAAAATAAACCACTATACAAAACATAATATCATTTTATAACTGCAGTCCAAGACCCTATTATATCACATAATAAAACAAAATAATATTTATGTACTGTAACATCTTTATTAAAAAAAAAAAAAAAAAATTATTTTACTAATTACATTTACAGACATTTTATGAAAGAAAAAGATCATTTATGGCACCAGATATCAGATTTACTATATATAATATTGGACTGAAAATAAATTTCAATGTTAATAATAACAACTTGTAGTAACAAAATGTTTTTCTATGTCAATATAAACAATAATGATAAGTTAAAATCAGTCAATGTTGAGCATTAAACTAGACAAAACATAGGTATTTTTGATATACACAATATAAAAAATTTCCTATAATTTGATCCTAAAGTGGAAGAATTATCTTCAAGGTTCAAGCCACATATTTGTCACTGAATGACCATTAACAATGCAATCTTTAAAACCTTTCATTATATAGTTAGATTGAAACCACTTAATATCATTAGTAGATTCAATTTCAGTGAAATCATCGTCTAAATTACAATTTAACTTAAAGTTTTCTAGGTCCTTGGTAATCATATCCCCAAATATTTGAAATTTGTTGCAACAAGATATATTTTCAGGATTCTGATTCCTAAAGTCAAGAGTAACGACTTTGCAACTTTTAGGAATTCTATAGCCATTTATAAGCACAAAACTATCATTATCCACTACATCTAAGCTACTTATAGTACTTTTTTTCATGAAAAGATACATATTAGTTGGATGAAGTGAATCAATGAATACTTGACTTAATTTTTCAGATGTTACTAAATTCCTGTAATCAAAAATAAGGCATGATAACATACAGTTTTAAAATATGCAAGTAACTACATATATTGGAAAATTAAATTTTAGCTACTTACTTGAAGACATTTCTTTGTATCTTTTGATCGCTTGCAATATGGTTAGAATGACACTGAAGTTTGTGGCATACAGTAGGTAATAAAATGCGATATATTTCCTTACAAGTCACAGGCGTTGCGCCAAATGCAATGCAAATCTCTTCAGGAAGAGATGAACCATTTATCTCATTTAAAAGATTCTAAAACAAAGATATCTCATTGAATTAGTATAACATTATATATTAGTCATACTCTAAATAATCTGAAAAGCGTTCGAAAATTTATAAGAAGTAATATTTGTCTACCTTTATAATAAAGTCGAGATTACTCAATGCCGTAGATGCGACATGAAAGTGCCGTTCTGATTGATAACTCTCCTTTTTGTTTTCAAAAGACTTTCTTTTATTAACAATTTGTTTTAACCACTGATATGTGTATGGAATTTGCAGTCTTTGATACGCTATAAATTTAATAATTTCAACTATTATGTGACCACAAGATATATATGTTAACTGATCTCCAATGTTCATGTCTATTTTAATTGCTATTCTTTTATTATTCATATTGTATCAATTAAACTAGTTTTACACTTTACTACATAAATAGGGTACGTTACAATTTTCAAAAATTCTACAAGTTACAACGGTAAACTCGCAATGACGTTACCTGTTCACCACAGATTAGAAAGTTATTCCCTTTACCATAAAGTATGTAACCCTAGTTAACCTAGGCACTGACAACAGATTAATTATTATTATTTCATTGATTAACCTTGCTAGATAAAACCTTCGACACTTTAATGTTATTGTAACATTACCGTGCTTTCGAGCAATTTATAACAAGCATGGAGCAACTGTATCTAATTGAACATTTACAATATGGATCGAGATCCGGCTGCAAGAATGATTGCTACGATTGCTACGTTCATAGCGTATTTAATCAAAATCACTTTTTTATATACAATAATAAAAAGAACAATATGTTTTGACCGGGGTGCCTATTAAAATGTGCCCGCTAGTATGTTTAATTAAATAAATAATAATTGACTTTTTTGAACAAAAACGATGCATTTATTATTAAAATGAATTATACTCCACAGAAATATGCGTATAGATCGTCCATGGCGTATATTCATCATTTATATATCAAATTAAAGCTATTTTTTTCTGTGCATGATAAAATACCTCTACATTTGTAAAAGTGGCCGCAATGGAAAGAAAAGAAGCACAGAATATAATATTATATATCTTTTGTTTTTTGGCGTAACAGAACAAAAAAAGCTGAAGAATTTATCCCTTATGTCACAACTCTCTGTTTATAAAAGGAATGATAAATTAATAAATTAATAAGATAATTAAATAAGGCATATTAGGCATATTACAATCATATATTTATAGAATATCATTTAATGAAAGAATATAGTATTATACATCTTATTTTGTCAGACAATAACAACGGTTACCCTGGCAACAAACAGTTATCAGCTAACTTCATCATGTCGCTTTTTGGCTGTCGGTGTGTGCGCGCATCGTAAAAATTTTACTATCATAATTTTTTCCAAGCGTCCCAAAAGAAGTTTTACTTCAAAAATAAAATTCAAATGATCACCTAGTTGCTAATTTTTCTTTTCATTTATATTAAAAATTATAAATGTTTTTTAATACTTTATTTATATATACATATAATAAAATCGTAACTAAGTCAAATCTGTACATTAAATATTTTTTGGAAAATTTTATTAAAATAGACTTTATTATAGATACAGAGGCCGAATCTATAGTTTTTAAAATTTTTGTCTCTCTGTCTGTCTTTCTGTCTGTCTGTTACCGCATCACGGAAAAGCCACTGGAGGGATTTTGATGAAATTTGGTATGGTAATAGCTGGTTATCCGGGTCAACATATAGGATACTTTTTACAGTGGAAAAATATCTCATTTCTGAGAAAAAAACAAAACTGCAATGTAAGAGTATACTTATATGTAAAACCTAAGAATTAGGTTTTTCTCATTTGAACGCGGGCGGAGCCGCGGGCAGTGCTAGTTTATAAATATAAATGATATATTGAACAAAGATATAAAATTTCCCGTACAAGTTATGTCAACATGGAATTATGATAAGTGTCATTTAAGTGCTATATTTGACACACTCGATTCTTTGCGTAAAAACGAGCCAGCTCCTTCATTACCAGTAGAGGCAATAAAATATTTTTTCATGAAGTTTTCAGCAAACATAAAAAAACACTTTCCCCTTCATTATAAAAGAAAATAAACTTACAACTGTTCCATTACTTATTAAAACTACACATTTTATATTTCTAAGTATATTTAAAGACAACATATTATTAATAATTAATTGATGCAATTTAAGTCATAAATATTAGACCATTAAAAAAAATTTACGAATATTGAGATAAAAAAAAATTAAAGAACATTCTAAATAAGAATATTTTAAGAGGCTGTCAGTTCTTATTATTGTAACAATATTTCACATTTCTTTGTCATTAATAATAATTTTAACATGCAAAATTTATTCAAAACATCACGCAAGCACTATTATTATTCTATTTTGCAATATCGTAAATATGCGAAAGAAGTGCGTTTTGGACCTGATGTAAGATCTCTTATGTTAAAGGGAGTTGACATACTTGCTGATGCTGTAGCAGTCACAATGGGACCAAAAGGTCGTAATGTGATTTTAGAACAGGGATTTGGTCCACCAAAAATAACAAAAGATGGGGTAACTGTTGCAAAAGGTATTGAATTGAAAGACAAGTTTAAAAATATAGGTGCAAAACTTGTTCAAAATGTTGCCAATAAGACCAACGAAGAAGCCGGTGATGGTACTACAGCTGCTACTATTTTGGCTAGAGCAATTGCTCGAGAAGGTTTTGAGAGCATTTCAAAAGGTGCTAACCCTATTGAAATAAGAAAAGGTGTAATGCTAGCAGTGGAAACTGTGACAGAACATCTGAAAAAAATTTCTAAACCTGTTCAAACATCCGAAGAGATAGAACAAGTAGCTACTATTTCTGCGAATGGAGATAGGAGTATTGGAAAACTAATAGCACATGCTATGGATAAAGTGGGAAAAGATGGAGTTGTAACAGTTAAAGATGGTAAAACACTAGAAGATGAATTAGAAATAATAGAAGGAATGAAAATTGAAAAAGGTTACGTTTCTCCATTCTTCATTAACTCAACTAAAGGACCGAAAGTGGAATATAGTGATGCTTTGATTCTGTACTCTGATAAAAAGATATTTTCTGCTAATCAAGTTGTGCCTGCGTTGGAGATAGCTAATAGCCAAAAAAGGCCACTTGTTATAATAGCTGAGGACTATGAGGGTGAACCATTATCAGTTTTAATAGTTAATAAATTGAAGATTGGCTTACAAATCGCTGCTGTAAAAGCACCTGGTTTCGGTGAATATAGAAAAAATACTTTAATTGATTTAGCTATTGCTACAGGAGGCGTTGTATTTGAAGATAATGAAAACTTAATTCGATTGGAAGATTGTCAGCTTGAAAGTCTTGGAAAAGTTGGTGAGGTTATCATTACAAAAGATTCAACCATCTTATTGAAAGGACAGGGAGATAAAGAAGAAATTGAACGAAGAATTGAACAAATACGTATCGAGTATGATGAAACTCCTAGTGAATTCGATAAACAAAGGCTTTTAAATCGAATTTCTAGGCTAAAATGTGGTGTAGCTATACTGCACATTGGAGGTTGTAGTGAAGTAGAAGTAAACGAAAAGAAAGATCGAGTAAATGACGCTCTTAATGCTACGAGAGCTGCAATCGCGGAAGGAATAGTACCTGGAGGGGGAGCTGCTTTGGTGCGATGTATACCTGTACTAGAAAAGTTAAAACCAATAAATTCTGATCAAGCAATCGGTATTAATATTATAAAAAACGCTTTGCGTACACCGTGTTTAACAATAGCCAACAACGCTGGCTATGATGGTTCTGTTATCGTATCAAAAGTTGCAAAAATGGGCTTACATTTTGGATATGATGCCTTAAATAATGAATATGTTGATATGATAGAAAGAGGAATTATAGATCCAACTAAAGTTGTTAGAAGAGCCCTAACTGATGCTAGCGGAGTTGCCTCATTACTAACTACTGCTGAAGCAGTTATATGTGATTTTGTTTCGGAAAATGAGCCTGTCTCATCACTAAGCCGCGAAATTCCAGGTGTAACAATTTATTAAAATATACATTTTTTTTTAACTATTTCATAAAGCATTTTAGCATAACTTATTAAAATATATATATAACTGCTTTAAAAAGAAATTTTATTTCTAATTTTCCGGTTATGCTTTAATATATAAATATCCACACTCGATCCAAAAAAAAGTACCTTTTTCGCTATCGTTAAATTTGACATTAGTCATGACACAGATCGTGCGCTGATGTCAATTTCAAGGGTACGAATCCTAACAAAATCGAGTCAAACTCGATTGATTCAGAACTCGAAGCTGTCGGGAGTAAGCCGGCTGGTCTGATTTTATATTTATAATTAAAAAAATCGGTAGTTCATACAGTTATAATAGGCAAAAAATCCAGCTTCTCTCTATTCCATGTAAACGAATATTTTGTCATATCGGGGCCCTCGTAAGGCTGGGGGCCTTGGGCCGGTGCCCCGTGTGCCCTTATTGTAAAGACGGTACTGAAATAGTGTAACTAATATCACTATTATTCATATCTAGTGTGTAGTATCTCACTAGATATGTCAATTTTAATTACGCACCATTTACGCGCTAAAAATGGGTACTTCTGATAAATTTATCTACGTCCGGAGTAGGTTTAAATCTATGATCTTATCATGTTATATAATATGTACCTATGATTTATGCTACTCATACCAATATCACTTAGGAGTCGTCCATTAATCACATGATGTTTTTAGCAACTTTTTAACTTGGTCTAGCCGCTTTTTTTAACGTTGGGAAATGCATTTACGCACGAGGTGTGGGACTCACCGGCAAAGCCAGTACTACCCACTAAAACCCAACAAAACCTTCCCCCGTACTAGCAGCAACCCGCATGGTACATCGCCCACCGAAGAGGGCCACACGAGGGCGTTTCTTGGCTTCGCGCCCGGCTGGATTGCCGGGCACTACTGAGAGCCCCCCACCACGACAAGGTGAACGATCTTGTTCTAGACTCTGGTGATACGTGGTGAGGTTTTAGACTAAACTCCTGATAACCTACCTGATATCAAGCCTCTTGGGAATGCAATTTTATATCGCGGACAGGTCCAAAGGTGCGTTGACCAGCACATCTAATTTAGATTTTTAGGTATATAAAATTATCTAATTCTACTAATTTTTTCACCACTTTCATTGGTTAGGCGTGCCTTAATATTGGAGAGTTCTTAAATTGACGTCTTCTAATATGCATATTTCATACTGTTTTCTTTTAAAACATTTTATATAGTATTACTCAGAGTTTTAATTTAATTTTGAACAAACAGCAAAAATTTATAAAAGTATGATGTGATCATAGATGAATAAAAAAGAATGGCTATCATGGATGACAAATAAAATAGATGAATTAGTTCCATACGAGCTCTTGGTGGATCTATCTATCCCTTTCATTTGCTTGGTAACTAGCATGCTATCTCTACATTTGGCGACAACGAGTGGGACAACAACTTATTTCTGTCGCAGTTACATACGTCACTACTGTGACGTCACTGCAATATTTTGTCATTTTTGAAATTTTCAAGTTTTAACCGTTGTTATTACTCGCCCCTGGGGACTAGGGTGTGAGGGCTTGCAGTTTTTATATTATTTTACACTTTAAATTTACATTTTATCAATTTGTAGATTAGTATTGATTAATGTGGATAAGTGCTGATTAATGTAGATCAGTGATATAGTTAAGATTTGTGCTTGGATACAAAATTTGTGATTTCTTCATTAGTGTTTCTCTTCCTTTTATTGGTTTTTTATTAATGTTGTGTAATCATGGGAAAGCATTATAATTTCGAATTGTCAGGAAGGAACAGGTTTTTCATGCCATAGAATGCCTTATAAAGATGCACTTCAATTTTATAACGTATACTTATAGAAATTCTTATAAACAGGGTTTATTTCTAGAGTAACTCTATCTGACTAGGTTTCTGCCAATGTAGCTGCAATAAATTCATTAATTTCTGATACTAAGGTAAATATACTTTGTAGTGCCAATGATGCATCAAGTGCTATCCATTATGAAGTTAATGGGAACAAAACCTATCATAAGTATGATGTACCTCATTTACTGAAATGTTTCAGTAATAATTTTCAGAAAAAGAATTTGCTCCTAGGCAGTCAGCATGCTCAATGGGATTATGTTCATATGTTGTATAAAGTAGATGACCATAAAGGTGCTGCAAGGCTAACAAATTTACTGACAGGCATATTTATCCAAACTCTTTTGTTAAGATGAAGGTAACTATATTGTTAAGTTAAGTAAATTAAGATATTATTATATTACTTTAGATCTTGGATATTATCTTATATTTAATATGAAATTGTTTTTAAGAAGGAAACTTCTTGAAGCTATTGATATTATTATACTATTTATTATTATACTATTCTATTCTAATATGTAAAATTGAAGAGTTTGTTTATTGTTTGAATGCACTTATCCATGTAATGCTCAGTCCATTAAAAATAATTTATCAACTATATAGCCTATCTATTGTATAATGTTAAAAGCTATTTAAGGGCTTAATTGGCTTATCTACCTAGACCCTAATAATAATAAACTAATACTATATTTAAATAAGCTACTATTCATCTAAAGTAGTTACTAGTACATATACTATAGTTATGGTGACTATTTGTTGTATTACATTAATTTATTATAATAATATATTTACAGGTGAAGTATATGCTGCGCAGGTGTTTCAGCAGTTGAAGTGTTTCAACATCTATAAGTCTCCTGATAAAGGCTTTTAGTTTCCAGGAAGAACACAATTATTGTAATACATTAAATGTAAATATTGAGAATGGCTTATTCACAGCTGAGATTATTTTATTCATTAATAATAAAATACATGATCCTTCTAAGAATCTGTCATCTCTAGTATGGTATGCAATTTACATAATTGAAAGACAATTACCAAAGATTTGTGAAGTTAACATATTTCCCGATTTAATAAAAGCATTTGAAAATCTTGATACCTCTTGGTACACTTGTGTAGATCATAGAGAAATATTTTTAAGAGCATTCTCATTATTTATGATATGTATAAAAGTTAAACAAAGGTGTATAAATTTTAATTGAAGAATACATAAAGTGGATTCGAGAAAAAAGGGTCTGGAAATAGAAAATTTGCTTAATATGAAAGTTTCAGAAGGGCCTAGCTATGGTTGAACTCATCTAGTCTTCAGAGTAGTGAATGATTTTCCAATATTTTTTCATTAATTAACTTTTAATATTTATTACTCTTGTTTGTTTCATTTCTTGGTTATTTAAAAGATAATCACTTAGAATTTTCCATTTTCATTATGTTTCTATTAAGTATAAAAATAATGTATGAATATTTCATTTGATTTCTGTGAAATAATATTATAATTTCTTAAAATATACTACTATAGCAGTATATAATTTTAATATATTAATTATAATTGTTACATTTGATAGAACTATGTATTTAGAAATTTTATTTTAGAGTATGTTTAGCTGTTATTTCTTTTTACACCAAATTTTTACTATTACTATGTACATTTTGATTTTAAATTTCTTAAGCTTTTAAGAAAATTAATTTTATTATTCATTTTTTTTACTGAAATTTGCATTTTTTTTTAAATTTATATAAGATTAAAATGTTTGTTTTTTCAAATGCGCTAATCTCGAATCTTTGCATTTTATAAACTGAAGATGAAGGTGGTTCTAGAGCTAAAACTTCAAACAAAAGCTAGATTTTAATTTATACCTACAATTAAACCTACTACTCGCTTAATATGATATTGTTATTAACAAAAACTATTGTTCTATGTTACTTCTAATTTTATTGCATTGTAATATTTTATACCAAATCGTTGTACTAATTTATATTTTTTGTATTTTGTATTCAATTGATAAAATTCTTTAAAAATGTCCTTTTATTGTAATAACAATGTGTTATAAATGTTAAAAAAAAGGTTATCCCGTCAAGGACCTCAGTCCTTGCTAATTCTTCTCAGGTCTGAGGCATTTTTCCAAACTAGTGGTAGCATTAAAATAGTAAAATAAAAAAACGAGAAACCTATCTTTGTATTTTATTTCTAATTATAATTAATATCATAAAAATGAAAACCTTACTATAAAACCGATAACAGTTGTTGAATACCGATAACATTACGATAAAAACATCCCTACTTAATCGTAATCGTAATGAATACCGATTTTCACATCACTACGAACTAAATTCTCCCAGATTCGCATATGACGTCATACCCATAGAAAGAGATGCGTGGCGACTCAAAAGAAATACAATAGCCGTGAAAGTGACAGCATATTTTGACTTGCCATTTATGCCATAACTGTCCCCATATTAAGGCAAATATAATGACACAACTCTAAAATATAAATCAATTTTTATAACATAAAAACCTATGTTAATAGATATTTTATGTTTGATATGAAATATAATTAAAATATAAGATATTCGATAATAGTTAAAATCATTTAGAATATAATTATATAAATCAATATATAGCACATATGATTTATAAAAAAAATCATTATAAACATATTTAACTTAAGTATATTTTATAATATAATAAGATATTAATTAACATATCCCATGTAGCTATTTTTAATTTATAATGGTTAAATCGGGAAAAATCTTTCTTTGACTATTTTGACCCCCCCGGCCCCCGCTTCGTCTTATTCGCCTTCGGTTTTATGAATATGCGCTTGTATGGAGCTCGGCCGGGGCTGATGGCTATTACATGATGACGTTGACTGCGGACAAACTGACACTTGACACTTGACTTTGACAGTAACTGGAAAGGCGCGAAATTCTTGAGTCAGGAATCTTAAGAAAATTAAGAATCGCTCTGTTTCTACAAGTCATCAGATACGATTTGTGCTTTTTTTCTCCTTTTTTATCGGTTATTTTATATATAAGGTGCCTTCTCCATTCTACGTGACATGGGCAAAGTAAATTGTGCCCAAAGGCACTCCTAGAAGCCACAAACCTAAAGAATAGAATCTTAGTCGTGTCGTGCGAGAAAACAAAGAATGGAATAATATTTTATTAAATGATAATTAACACTTAATTTGAAAATTGATTTAGGTGATATACCTTGTACATTGTATTTAACGATATGAACTATAAAATTGTGGGATCTGTTAATAAATTACAACACAAAAATGATGAATGAAAATAAGTTAACTCTTGATGAAAAAGCTCTAGAAGTAGATGATGTTCCGGAGAAAAACCTTAATATATTTATAAGTGATGATGACGACGAACCCATAACTATTGCAAGGAAGAGAATTATAGGCTTTTCGGACAGTGATAATGATATGAATGTTGATAACGAAGTTATTGAAAAACACAACACACATATCAAATCTGGACAGGTATATAATGAATTTGAATCATCTCGAAAAAAAATATCTAAAGGGACAAGGATCAAAATAAATACGAATTCTGATAGTGACAGTGATTCTTCTGATAAAACCTGCAGCACAACAAAATACGAATCGTTGAGAACAGAAAATAAAAAGAAAAGACTTAAAGATAAATTTAAGAAACTCAAAGCCCCTCATTCCAAGAATGTCATAATAGAAGAGAAAAATGATTATAATTTGAATTCCAATAGTGATCAATTAGATGACGATGTGTCTTGTATTAAAACAAAACAAGTATGTAAATATGTTATTTTAATTTATTGGAACAAAGGTCCTTATCACATGTTATACTCTGTACATTTGGCATATGAGAGCTAGACCGAAAAAAGTGTAATATTTTGACAATCATGATACTTTTTATCATTTACTATGAGCACCCCATGTGACATCGTCATAAGTACCAGGCAATCATAAGTGTTAAGGAATTTATGTAGTAAGATATAGGTATTGTAAAAAATTGTGTGCCCTCTATGGAGCTTTACTTTGATAAGCCGAAGCTATATTGTAGTAAAGTTGTACATGTTTACAATGAATGTTGCTTCATGTTTGTGATACTCTTGTACTCGGAACAAGTTTATGAACTATTAACTTTATGAGCTAAGGACAGACAGTAAAAGCAGCTTTGTACCTACTGGACGTAAACACCTCTAAACTTTTTTTTAGTTGATTTGATGGATTTTAAAATGTTTAATTTAGTTACTTAACTATAAAGATACTATATATTTAGTTATATGGTAAAATATTTAAGCTGGTCACTTTATACTATTATATATTTCTATTGCATCATGATCAGCAAATGTAATATTTTGAATTTTCATTTACTAACAGTGCTTACAACTTTCTGTCTTAGAACAAAAACAACATCTCCACTAAACTATTACATTACTTTTTATTCTATGTAGATCTTATTATTCTTCATTTAACTTTGAATTCATAGATATATGTAACTTGTTACTGGATAAAGTGAATCAATAAATACATTTTTTGTAATTTAACACTGATTTCTTTGTACAAAGTGTTTATTGTCAGCACATAGTAGTTTCTGTATTTCTTGAATATAATTATCCTTAATCATTGTAATCCCCATCTTCTGCTTTTGACACAAAGCATACAGGCTATATTTGGTATATCATTCTTGGTAGAGATAGACACTATGCAAAAATATATGTACAATTTATATGGAAATGTCCACAGAAAATTGAAAATTCTATACACTCAATGGAATCTATTTGTGATCCTGATACTTCAGACAAAGAGAGCAATGGTGAAATTGTAATAAACAAAAGAAAATGCAGCATAAAAATGACAAAATCTACATCACCAAAACCACTGAGGGTAAAAATCTTCTTATATATTATATTTTATTTAACAATTTCTTCTTTTATTACAAGATTTAGATGTTTTAAGAACTACATTCATTAATTAAATCAAAAAAAAATAAAATTTTAATACTTTTTAAAAGGATACTTATTGGTACTACATTTAAGTCTATGATAATATTGATGATTCTAATTTCAAATTCAATTTCTATGAATTCTAAATAAAAATATAGGTATTTTAAATTCTAAGTATGTATGTACTTGGATAATTAATGCGTGCGTGCGTGCGTGTGTGTGTGTGTGTTTCTTACTCCTTACTACTCCTACAGTCTATGACCTGAAGTATCATACAACAATGTACAAGTTAATTGATAGTAACTAAAACAAAATCCAATAAGTATTCATTACAAATTGTAATTATTATAAAGTTGTCACTGTAAGTTTTTACATAATTTTTAGATGTCTGCTAAGCAAGCGATGGATAATATGCAAAGAATAAAAAGTGAATCTAATAGGATGTTACGAGAACGGGAAGTGTCACTACCTTACCATCGGCCAAAAGCCTTGTCCTTAAAAGATATTATGAGTAGAAGAAAACCAGCAGTTGCTTCTGATGGTAAAGCTTTGCCAATTAAAATGAATAGCGACCAGTTAAAGCAATATGCGTAAGTTATTGTAAATGTTTACTATTTCTTATTTTATATGCATTGTTCAGATTTAAAAATATAGTAACATTGTTATTGGGAATCTATTATGAGAAAGAGTTTCTTATAGAGACCCAGATAAAGTAAAGGAGTGTACCCATAAAGCAATCCTACTATTCATTACAGCAGCTGGGTTCAGTGGGTTACTATAGTTTAATATGCAGTCCAGATACAGTCGCAGTGATACTTCATAGCTACAGCTTAGAAGTAAAAAACAAAAACATTGTATTTATAAATAAAATCTATGCATTTCAGGATGATGTTAGAACAGAGACAGAAAGAAGTCATACAATTATGTAAAAGTGAGTCAGAGGAAGAGGAGAATTCAGAAAATGAAGAAACTTTTAATATTGATACAGAAAATACAAAGAATGTAGAAATATCAATTTTGAATCAACCTTGCACAGAAAGTGAATTAATTACCCACTGTGATAAAGAAGACAACCAAGAAACTAGCTCTTCAAACATTGAAGAAAATATCAAATCTGACCGCTTACCACAAAACGAAGATATTAATCATGATCCAGAACAAATGCCTTGTGAAGATAACACATCCAATATTGATGAAAATTCTTTGCCAGATGAAACAAAAGATAATCAAGGTAATAACGAAGAAACTGGAATAAATGAAAAATCTTTATTACAGTATTCAAGCGAAGATGATGTGCAAATGAATTCAATAAATGATGACGATGGCATCCAACCAAATGTATTACCAAATGATACGCAAGAAAAGAAAGCTGAGGAGGAAAGTCAAGTAATGGTATTGTATTATGATTCAGAAGCACACTCATTTTTAGATAAGGAAAATAAAACTAGTGAAACTTGCTCACTTAATGATGCTAATAAATCAAAGGAAGCGAACAGTGAAGCAGATCAATTTATGGACAATGATGTGAATTTTGATGAAATCAGCAAAATCATTGAACAAGCTGAAACAACTAGTGGTAAGGCCTTTTAAATCAGTGTATTGTATTAAATGTAATGATGTTAAATTACATGTTAGATGTAGTTAGTTAGTATGTTTAGATACATATACATTCTTCTACTTATAACTGTTGACATTAACACCATACATACACTCATAATATTTAGGTTATAGCAGAAATATTTTAACCATTATTAACTAAACAAGCAAAGCATCTCTCAAAATTTGCTTTCCTCTGTCAGTTTGTTAGTACTCCTCTATAGGCCGTATATTACAACCGCTCTGGACGAAACTTGATATACAGGTTTTATAACTTTATTGATTTTTTTGTCGTCGGGGATTTTTGATTGAAGAGGTACTTTCTCCAAAAAGGGACAAAAAAGGGGCTACTGGTTGTAAATCATAGGAATATTCAACTGTTTAATATACTACTGTTTAATATACTACTATCATAAGTACTTTTGCAGATGAAATTGAAAATGAGAAAAATAAAGAAACAATAAATAATACCATACAAATAAATCCTACGCCAAAATTGACGGGATGTCCAGGTACACTTATTGATTTAGATGATAACGATGAAGCCCCTCGTAAATTAAGTGGTATTGAATTGCTAAAAGAGAGATTCGCTTACTTTGCAAATCTTAAATCACTGGAAGACATGGAGAAAGATAGAGAAAAAAAGTAAGTCGCATCACCATAGGGAATGTGTTTATTTTTTTATATGATAACTTCTATTGTTATGTAATTGCAAAATAAAACCGGCCAAGTGAGAGTCGGATTCGCGAACGAAGGGTTGACGGTTGGCGTGACGTAATTAATAATTATCTACGACAACATTGCATTCAACGAGTAAACTGGTCTACAAGTATTAAACAGCTTCGCTCTTATTATGGACCTTGGCTTTACTTGGCTACTTTGAATTTCCCACCTATAGTTGCACTTTTAAATATATTTTTTTAATCAATAAGGAATTACATTAAAATATCAATATATTTTATTATATATCAATATATAGGCTCTGAATTAAGCAATGAAGATTATAAAAAAAATATTTCACCTTTTTTTAAATCACACATATTATATTCCTTATTGTTGTGGTATAAATTTCAGTGAAATATTCTTAGGTAATTTTTTTTTCTTACTATAACTCGCATCATCTAAAAAGAACGCTGGCTGTCAAGCTGCGCAGAAGCGATTTATCGGTCAAATTGGTGGGAAGAAGCGGGGCGCGGGGTAGCGAGGCACGCGCCGCATGCTTGCCGGCGCGCTGTTGGTTCGTCAGTTCGAAATACCATCGCGCACACAAAAGCTTTTAATTACGAAATGGTTTTATATATAGAAAAGAGAAAATTGATTTTGACGTATATTGTTTTACAAACAGAGAGTCTAATAATAATCTAATAATAATAATAAAAAAAATGTATTAAACGTATTAATTTAATTTTTTGTAAGTAGATTAAACATTCTGCACTGAATCAAACATATCTAATAATGAATAGAATTCTATTTAATGATATATTATCTAAATCTTTATGAAAAATAAAATAATAGGCTTAGTACTTTTGTGCGCGAATATACCCATGCGCAAACATACTCTCTCCACTTTCTTCCAGCGTTCTTTTTAGATGACGCGAGTTAAAATATTATAAATATTTTAAAATATGTAGGTACAAGCCAGGAACACAACATTTGAAACTCAAACAAGAATTAGAACAGCAAATAGCTGAGCAGAGATCAGTAGAATGGGAAAAACGTCTTGAAGAAGAAAATAAATTGAAATCTGAAATGAATGAAAATATATCAGATGATGAAATTGAAAAAATTGAAGCTAAATTAGAATCCATTGAGAGTGAAAATAAAGTAGAAGAAAGTTCGGAGAGTGAAGAGGAACCTATAGAAAATGATGTAATTTTAGAAGATAAACCTAAACAACGGAATCCAATGCTAGATGATGAAGCTGAAGTTTCTGAATGTGATGATGAACTGGCAGAAGATAAAACTGAAGAATCTGACAAAGAAAATAAATTAGACGACGATGAAGATATGGATGACGAGTCTAGTGATAGTTCAGAATCTGAAGAAGAATTAGATGAAGAATCTAAACCTCGAAAAGGAAGAATATTAAAAGCATTTGAGGATTCTGATGATGAAATTAATGATGATAAAAATGAAGAAATAAACAATAAGGATTTAACAGCTTCACTGGAGATAAAAATAACTGAAAATGTTATAAAAGATTCACAAGGTAATTAATTGTAATAAAAACTATTAATTAAAATATTTTTATCTTATCCTTAAAATATGAACTTTTGTTCTTATATTTTTTGGTAGTTTAATTTTAACGCCATTGCTTTTCAATATCACCTCCAGGTAGATTTCTAAGAAATTAATTAAAATTCTAAGAAATCTATTGTTAACTGACACGCCGGTGTGTCCGTGGTCGTGGAGGGAATATTCTATGGTACAAACATTTATTATGATCAAACTACTTAATTTTATTATTTTTAGATTGGTCATTTAACCATTTTTTTTTATTTACAGATGATGAATTGCAACTTGCTCAAACCAATAGATCTTCGGAAGAATTATTCTCAACTCAAGAATCACACCCTACACTTGTATTAGCAACTTTAAATAAAAATAGTGAAGAAAATGCTAGTGCCGATTTAGGAACATTCTCTATTATGAACTCAGTCAATGCAAACCAATCAAATGTAGATTTAATATCAGATAACTTGATTCTTGGAATGCAATCACAGGAAGTAAGTATTAATGTTGCCTTATTAAGAGTATCTAAAAAGGAAATAGGTAAATATTTTTAACTAAAAAGGTACTTCAAAAAGGTAAAACATTCAAAAGGTTAACATTAAAATCAGTTCCCAATTGGATAAGATATTGCTTAAGAATTGATAAACTAGAAAGAATATTTAACAGAATTGAGTATCTCGTCTCTTTTTAATTCAACAAAGTTTTTTTCCCGAGAAAAAACCCTAGGCTATTTTCTTTGGAAAAATTGCAGAACTTCAAATCATAATCCCATAAAATTTAATGTTTTGACTTATATTAAGGTAATTTTAATAGTGCAATAATTACAATTATCATCTCCAGGTAAATTTCTAAGAATTTAATTAAATTTCTAAGAAATCTATTGTTAACTGTAACGTCGACGTGTCCGTGGTCGTGGGGGGATTAAAAAATAAGATGAAAATGAAACTATACTTAAAAATAAATATACAAATAAATGTAAACTTAATACTGATAGCATATTTTAAAATTTAAACCACTATTGTTTAAATGTTTACAAGTTTCAATATTTAATTACAGTTGAATATTGTTGAAACTGGACTATCGCAAACTCTTACGACGTCACAAAATCTACAATCTCAAGAAATTGGCGAAGATATTGCCGCTTTATGCACCGGAAAATTTTATGATAACCCATTTGTATCACAACATCAAAATACAAATAGTACTCAAAAATCAAACGAACATGCAACTGGAGATATGAGCGATGATGTGGTCGCGCTTTGTACTGGAAAGTTCTACGATAACCCCTTTGTGTCTCAAAATGATGAATTTGCAAAAGCAAAAGAAAAGAGTCCCGAAAATTCTCAGAATCAAACAACAGATGCTAAAAATAGTGTTGATAAAACAAGTAGTTTCGATACCTTGAAGAGTAATGAAGCAAAAGTTGTTAAAGAAAACATTATCTTAAAATCAATATTAGATGAGTTAGATGGACCAGATATTGCTCCTCAGAAAAATAAATACTTCCTCAATATTCAACGTAAAGAAGAGAATTTGAAGAAGAAATTCATCATAGATTCTGATGATGAAACAAATGATGATGACACACATAAAAAAGTTAAGAAGCTAAAGAAACGTAAAGTGGAACAAAGGGCACTACAAATATCAGGTATAAATTTTGTACATGTAATGAAAATGAACTATTTAAGAAAAAATATTTATTGTGATTGTATTTTCGTTTCTTTACATCTTTTGTTTCCAATGTTTTGAAGTATCTTCAAAACATTGGAAACGTCGGGAACCAAAAATGAAAGAAATCCGCGAAAAAATCCGAAAAGATATATTTATTTAAATAATCAATACTTTGCAATACTTTGCAGATGATGAAGAAGACCAATTTGATGATGAGCAGGAAGATGATGAGTCGGAAATAGAAGAAGACAATACGAACAGGGTAGTTGAATATGATTCTGAAGAAAATGAGGTAAACTTAAGTTGTTACATATTCAAAACAGCCTTTTAAAAAAACAAAATATGAAATATACATTTAATTTTCATCATTTTATTTAATATAGAGAGAAATAGATATTTTAGATCAGGGTTTCACAACCTTTCTTTTGTTGAGCCTCTCTAGGAATATATAAAATATTTTCATTTCCCCCTTTTTTTTATTACAATAAAAAACATTATTTTAATGATTTTTATTTATTTTAATTTTAAGTTATACAAAATAAACGCTGTCTACACACCCCTGGTTGGGAGCTCCTGCTTTAGATGAATCGAGTTGGATGAAATGAATGATACAATAACATAATATATAAAATTCTCATGTCGCAGTGTTTGTAACAAAACTCATCTGAAAAGTCTTGACCGATTCTTATGAAATTTTGTGTGTATATTCAGTATGCCCGAGAATAGGACGTAAACTGTTTTTCATACGTCTACGCGAGTACGCCTTCGATTCTGATGATCTAATCTTTTATTAAAATCTATTATAGGTGGAAGTACAAACCAAACCTTTGAAGAAGAAACGTGTCGGTGAATTCTTTGAGAATGAAGCAGAACTAACATCTGAAGACGAATGGATAGGTTCGGGAGATGAAGACGAGAGAGACCTGGACCGGATGGAACGCGAGGAGGGTGATGATGACACCTTCCAGCAGGACCAGTTGCAGAGGGAATTGGGACAGATACACATGTATGTAATAATAATATACTTAGTAGATACGCGGATTTGTTCACAATTTCATGGATTTTAATTTTTTTGCACAGAACCCTAATTCTTTATTTGTAAGTTACTCCTTAGGGGCTATTCATTAATCACGTAAGGATGATTTTGATGATTTTTGAATATTTGAATTGATTAAATAACCTTAAAGTGAATAAACATAAATCAGGTTAAACTGTCTAAAAATTTTCAAATTAATAATACAATAAATTAATAACAATAAAAGAATCATTTTTTAATTTCCAAATGATTTAAATAAAATTAATACGCGGGAAGAATTCACTATAATAAAAACATATTTAAGATTTTAACATTGTAATAAACAATAAAAATTTGTAAAATAAGATGTAAATCGAAGTGCACATTATGGAATGAAGAAAACCATTCAGCATCCGAAATAGAAATAGTTAATAAATTACATTAAAATTTTGACTTGTACAATATTACGTAGGAATGGGTTTAACCCCCTCCAAGATAAGATGTATAGATTTTCTTAACTGGAATGAACTATAGTGTAGGTGGCACTGATACTGAAAGTGGTACTGACATTGATACACAGGAAAAATATAGTTTTATTTAATTGATTCATTATACTTTATTGGATTTGTAATTTTAGTAAACTGTAAGAAATTAGAAAGCATACCACAATAAAACATGTAATTTCCTATAGATTTTTTTAGTAAAAAGCTATTATTTTGACATACAAAGAGACACTTCAGTTTTATTTATTTGTGTAGATTATACACTATCAAAAAAAGTTAAAAAAAAAATACACGGCATTTAATGTAAAATGTTCTTGAAATGTGTATATTTTTTTGTCCACATTCAACACATTTTGACAATGTGCCTGGCTGTGCATTGAAGTAGTTTGTGAATATGCCTAAACAAGTCATGAGAAATAATCTGAATTAGTTATTATGTTAATCTGTGGTAGTAATATATTAAAAAAAATTACATGCTGTTCTTTTGCGATGACTCCTCTGTTGTTGTTTTATTATAAAAAAATATATTCTGATATTTACTAAATGTTTTAAATTTAATTTTTTTGCAGGCGAGAAGTACTGGACCAGGACAAGCGTGAAGTGAGATTGTTACAAGAATTACTGTTTGAAGATGGTGATCTCGGTGATGGACACCGGCAACGTAAATTTAGATGGAGAAATGCAGGTATTTTTTACCTTACGAAGATAATTGTGAAAAATTGAATGTATAATATTTAACTCTATATATGTATGTATGTATGTATTCAGCCCTTTATAATGTCCCACTGCTGGGCACGGGCTTCCCTTGAGTATGAGGGGAATCAAGCCATAGTCCACCACGCAGACCGAGTGCGGGTTCTATATAGAATCTTATTTTGTAAGTAATTTATAGGGATTTAGTGCATTGAATATTGTTTTTAATAATTAACAAAAACAAAATAGATATGTTTTTGACTTTTAGTCTTTCATAAAAGCTTAATGGGGGTACAGAATTGAATGATGACTTATAATAAATCTTATTTTTTTATTATTTATTATTATGTTGGGTGTGGTGCCGAGGTCGGCCCTAGCTACGTCGACCAGTTTTGGTCCATTGTAGCTCCCTTTAGAATGAGTTCAAAGTTCTCCGCTTAGTCCTGTTGACTCCAGGAACTTCCAGATTTTCTGAGCGGGGAGCATCTGTAACTCTTCCGGTTGCATAATATGTTGCCGTAGTTAGATACTTCTGCGGTGCATGAGTGGACCGCACGAGCAGAGGATGTGCATAGCAGTTTCCTCTGTCTCATGGCATAGTCTGCACATTGCGGTCTGACTGAGGCCGAGGGTAAACATATCTTTATTGAGTTTGCAGTGACCAGTAAGTATTCTGGTTACCGCACTGGTTTTATACTTTTTGAGTTGAAGCAACTCTTTTGTAAACGTTTTGAGATATCCCTTCATTAGCGCTTTAGATTGTGTTTGTCCAGAAGTGGATTGCCACTCTTTAAGTGCTTGGCGATTGCAGTGATTTTTGAGAATTGAATAGGCATGTTGTTTTGCAATACCACAAAATGGCTCGGGGCCACATTCTGGGGTTTCAGCGCCCATTCTTGCCAATGCAACAGCCTTTTCATTCCCACCTATGTCTGAGTGACCCGGGACCCATATGAGGGTAACTCTGTTGGATGTGCCCAGGACATTCAGATTATCCATACAGTCTTTGACCAACTTAGAGTTGGTCTCAAGAGAATTAAATTAATAAACCTTATTATTTTTAATTAGTTAAGTGTTTAGAGCACACTATGTATATTCAGTCTCATCCCATTAATATTATAAATGCGAAAGTTTGAATGGATAGATGTTTGTTACTCAACCATGCCAGAACAGGTAAACGAATCTGGATGTTTGTCATAGAGATAGATTATAGTCTGGAATAGAACATAGGTTACTTTTTATCCCGAAAACTGTACACTTCCCATAGGATAGATTTGTTTTTTTTTTCACTCACTAACCCGAGCGAAACGAGGGTCAGTTGTTAGTTATTTATAATACTAAATTTTATATTATACATTCCGGGACAGGAAATAAAAATCAGAAAAATACTTCACTTCAAATTAAAACTTATTTAAATATTTTACAGATGGTGAAATAGAGCCTGGCACGAACCCTGACGAGTTGCTCGACACACAAGAAGAAGATTTCGAATCCGAAGAGCAATGGCGGAAACAGAGACACGAAAGAGAAATGTTCCTGAGACAGATGGTTAGTTAATTACATTAATATATAACATTTATAAATTTTCGAATAACAATTTAGAGATTTAATTCTAAAAAATGTTGTTTTTAGAGTACATTGTGAAATTATTTTTTGTTCTTAGTTATCTTTAAATTGTAAATTGGACATCAAAAGTTCATTTATTGGTTTGCTCTTATTTCATGCTACAAAGGAGCTGTCTGTATATTGACGTGATGTTATACACAGGTATAGTTTACGGATCTTACAGTGCAATAGGTTTGTTTGTCCACTGGTATAACTGGTAAGTAGGGCGATAGTTCAGTGGAGCAATACATTACCATAACAGTATCTTATACAATATTTTAGAATTTTAATTATGTTTTACTTTTAAGTATGTACTAATAGAGTATCTACATAAAATAATAAAGATTAGAGCTTTTTAGCTCTCATGGCTATAAGAAACATGGGATATTTATCCATTATTTGGGATTGATTAGCCTGCGCCAAGGTTACAGGTACACTAAGCCATAGGCGATTTTACATAATAAAATAATTACTATCGATTGAAAAACAATATTTATAACACGTCTTTATTATCTTTACTTATGATTATCTATATAATATCAAATCTTGGAATCAATTCGAACCTATTTTTAATTGTGGATCATCATCGATTTGAAACTGTAAGCATGCAAAATCAAGATGGTTATAACTTATAAAGCAAGAGGGACTGGGTTGCTTCCCCATACAAACTTTCACCCCCTTAAGGGATGATTTCTGGGATAAAAACTATCCTATGGCCTTCCCAGTGTCGCAAACTATCTTACCAAATTTCATCTAAATCGGTTCAGTACTTTTGGAGCCTATTCGATAGAAACAAACAAAAAATCAAAACTTTCTTCTTTATAATATTAGTAAAGCATAATATGGAAGTAGATAGTGGAATTAAATAGTTACAAATGAAACCCTCTCATTTACAGTTGTTCAGAAAGGGTGTATTTCAAATTTTGAAAATATTAATAATTATTTAATGTAAAAATTATTACATTGCAGCAAGAAAAAGATGAAGTAGATCTGAATACAAGTATAAATAGGACAACAATTATCAAAGCTAATTTAAGCTCTCGGAGTATGTCCACTTTGATCTCGGAAAGTAAATGCGAGAAAATTGAGAACCCCAAAAAAACCACTCCAGAACAAGATCAAAAGAAAAAGACCAATAAAGACATACCTAGTCCTAAGAAGCCCTTTACAATATTGCAGGTAAAATAATTTTATTGTAAAATATGTACTTTAAATATAAATTACATCTATTTTATATTTATTATACTACACTTTTTTACTATAAAATGCGGATTTTACTGAATTAAAAAAAGTTAGTAATTTTAATAAAATTCAATTCTAGTACAACTATTTTTTTAATGTTGCCGCATGATACGCGAAATACAATTAGAGCAAGCAAGCGCAAATATGAAACTGCATAGCGTGAAACTGACTGATATTCTAACTGATGGACAATGCGTAACCTAAACTGTTAGACTAAGAATTTATCTATTTAAATAGCGAATAATAATGCATTTTATTATATTTTTTTCGACACTTAGCAAAACTACCATACCTCTCTACTGACCCGCGGTCGCGGAGCGCTAGCGCGTCTCGCCGCACTAGCCACTCCCTTAGCCACAGACGATGATGCTCCTAAAATGATTGGTTCAGGCAACAGAGGAAACTTTGTCTTCACTTCAATCACTCCTGTAGAAAAACCTAAGGTACAGATAGCCTTGTAAAATTAATAATAAATACATAAACTTTATTCAATTTTTTATCAAGCTTTATTTTAATTTATTTGGTAAAAAAATGTAGTTTGAGGTTTTCTATGGGTATTGTATAAATGAGGCTGTTGGAAACCCCAAATAATTGTAAACATTTTTAACATACACATGCACGGCATGGAGAAAGATATAGGCCTCTTATGGCAGTATAGGGCGTCTATATCTTTCTCCATGCCGTCTAGTGCATCTAGTGAGTCCTATGGGATTGTTGAAAAATTAATATTACATAGTTTTTTGAAATTAGTTTAGTAAAACAATAATTGAAAAATATGGTCTGTGTAAAGCTGAGCTTTATATTTAATTAATTATTTATTCAAATATTCTATGTTTTAGGCGACGAAACGTAAAGCGGAAAGTAACGTTGGCACACCAAGCCTAATAAAGAAAATCAAGACTGATGAAACAATTAAATACCTCAAGTCAAGTTTATTTGATCATCTAAAAACATAGTGAAATAGATGACTTAGATTGTAATTCTTTTTATAATATTTAATACATTATAACTTTTAGATATTGATAGTAAATATGTATTAAAATTTGACAGTATGTAATATAGTAAGAATAAATATACTATATAGCTAAAAGTATAGTTGCTTTTTATTTCTTGTACCAAAATGATACATCATTAAATAATAAAAAAAATTATTTTCCCTTTAATTTAATTTATTGAAGTAAGTTAAATATTACAATTATTTCTTCAAACAAGTTGTTTCTTTTCCATTCCAAAAGCATTTTTAAAGAAAGTTAGTTTTACATCCGAGATTGAGCGAGCGAAGCATCTGCTTCAAGTCTGGTAAAATTTGCTTTCCTCTCAGTTTGTTGGTACTCCTCTCTCTACAGGTCGTATTTTACAACTGAGCTGGACTATACGTGGTATAAATATATAAACCGATGTTTTACGACTTTATAGATAATTTTTGTCGTTGGGGATTTTTAATTGGAGGGGTACTTCCTCCAAAAAGGAGCCAAAAGAGAGCTACTAGATATCTTCGCCTTAAGAAATCTGATTTCGATGGTTCTTTTTATTATTTGAAAGATATATAGTTTCTTTAAGTTAGTCTCATAAAAATTTGGTGAAGTTCTGATGAGGATCTTCGGCGTGGTGTGTAGAATAGCTACTCAAAACACAGTTTGTGCTCGCGAGGTCTTCTGTTCGTCTACTAGTAATATTTAATTTGTTGTTTTATCTTCAATATAATTTTCAATAAGTATTGGGTACTATGTAGTCTAAAAAGCATAAATGATATTTAACTTAAATTTTGTTTCATATTAAAGTAGAAAAAGAAATCTCAAAGATATATTTATATTAGTTGATTTTAAAGGTATAATATATTAATAAATAACTGAATTAGCTGGCAATATTAAAAGTTATTGTGTATGTTGGATGCATTGATAGTAGCTACATCCTTCCGTTCTTTTATCTCCGTCGCTCTCTTCATGAATGCACCCATCCCGCTCCCTCCCGAGCCGGCACCCGCGCGTCCTTCAGTACGTCGAGTTCTCGTGTCTCGTTCAATCAATGCTTTTTTTCTGTGGTGTGGGGTAGTGTGGCGTGGAAGAATTTCTAGTCAAGTAAAATAGAAAATTTGATAAAAAGTACACCTGGTAAAGGTAGTACCTAGTAGAAATGGCTAATGAGAATAAAGAGATAGGTGACATCGTGAAGAAATGCAAAATTTTACTCCTGGACATCGAGGGGACAACAACATCTTTGAGCTTTGTTAAGGTAGGTCTAAATAATTGACCGGCCGGTGTTTTGTTTTAACACGTGATGATTTCTTATTTTGTCGCATCTAAACCCCATAGGATGTGACTGAGATAACATAGTCACTTTCTTACATAGTTTACGCGAAAATTCCTAGGTACTGTCTGGGACTGAGAAATGCAAAATGGTCGCGTTTTAGGATTCGCAACATGGAGGACAAAATCAAAATGGTACCTCCTTAGATATTCTGATTCCATTGTAATATATTATCTTTCGTTCAATCAACGTGAAAGGTTATTCAATTATATTTCATAATATATGGTTCCACTTTTTATTTTTACATTTTAATTTTCAATAAAGACGTCCATTCATGAACTATTACAATTTAGTATACATTTATTATTATTTTCGTGTAATACTTAACGTTTTTTATAAAACGTGTTTAATAAAAATTCGAGTCAACGCCTACCGGCATAAACAGCTGTTCATCGCAGCTGGCTGGTAAAAAAATGTGGAACGGTTAACTGTCCTTTTCAAGCGGACGTGGGGTTCAGAGAGTTGTCTCACTTGCACTCGTCATATTGATAGCTGTTATTCATGAGAAGGATGAAAAATGTAATTGATGTTTTGTATATGCTATACATTTGCGTATCGGTTTACGCAAGTATAGTGTTTTTTTACATTTTGTATTTTTAACTACATTTTGCAGTAAAAAATTATGTTATAGACTTGTTACTATATAATGTTAGCCTTTGGGCTTAACCTATATTTAATAAAATAAGTGTGTACCGTGATCCGGTCATTGTACCGGTAGCCACGATAGTTACACTTAACCTAAAAAAGTAACTCTGTTTTTGTGTACATACATTATAACTTGTGTGCTTCACAGAAAGTGAAACGCCGACATGTGATTGAACTTAATGGTACTTGATTGTGTGTCAAACTGCCTCAGTGGTGTAGTGGCTAGCATGTACGGCTGCACACCCGGAGGTCCTGGGTTCGAGTCCCGGGTCGGGCCAAGTTTAGTTATTGAGTCTTCCTGTATAGTAAGTCTCAGTAACAGCCCGGAGTTGGGAAGTTGGCGGTGTTTCACCCCCGTGCCTCGGAGAGCACGTAAAGCCGTCGGTCCTGCGCCTTAACTCTCACCGGTCGTGTCGAGTGGTCGTCCCACCGGAGTATGAGAGTGATAGGAATAGAGAGTGCACTTGTGTCTGCGCGTACACTTGAGCACTATAATATCTCCTGCGCAGTTGGCTAATCTCATTGAGATTGGCCGCCGTGGCCGGAATCGGCTAGGAGAACATCATCATCATCACTTGATTGTGAAATAAATGTTTTTTTTTTAATGTACATTAAGTCTTCCTCTATTTCTGCATACATAACTTATTCTTAAAAACACTATTTATTAGATTGATAATTATAAAACATATAAAAGAATTCACAATTTAAGAAAATCATACTCCCCCAACTTTGATGAGGCATAATTTACCTGTTCAACAAAACAATATTACAATATTCAAGGAATTCAGGTAGGTAAATGAATAAGGTCTAGGTAGACAATAAAACTGGTCATGCGTCACTTTCCCTTTTTGCCATTCACACTTTTATTTCTTTTGCATTCTGTCTTTAGTACACTCAAGTGGTATTGTCAAAAAAAATTAAACATGCATTTGAATATCATACTAGTGAATTAGGTCCTATTACTAAAAGTACCTACATACATAGAAACATAATATCTTTGATCTGAAATCATTATAGGGTACCTACCTATATAAAGTTGGTTGTGAAGGAATTAGGTATGAATTTTTTGCAGATAGTCTTTGTATTGTAGATTCTTTCTGTTTTTACCATGTTTGGCCAAATTTAAAGTCCGTTTATTGGTTGTTATTAAAACAAAATAACTTAAATAAATAATAAGACATGGATGCAATTATTTTTGTGACAAAAATTTATAATGTATAAAAAAATAATTTAAGTAAATAATTTTTAACAATATCCATTTGATATTATTCCATCCCTCATTTAAAAATAAATGAAAGAAGTATTTTTTATAACTATTTTTTTTATTTAATATAAGTTGAAATACGCATTCATAAAATAGTTTAAATGATTTTTAATTGACTTTTTATTCACTTCCGTAAAAACCATTTGCGTTAGAAAAATCGTAACGCCAATCTTATTTTTCTCACTCATCACGCGCTGGTAGTTTCTCTTTAAAAAAATACATTTAAAAAAATGCTTTTGGCTAATAAATATATGGAGCTCGTTAAAATATATCGAGAAAGTCCCAACAATAAAGGTTTTACTAGTTAGTCTTAGTATACATTTAAATAGTTACATTCCTCTTGGCTTTTTTATCATTGATTATATTTTTTCCTCATTGGTTCGTCATAGATATATATGATTGAAATCGTTAAACTAGTGAGTGGTACTAATGGGGTTAAATAGGTTACCTATTGTAAAGCAAACAGTGATATTGATACGAGATGGCTTATTTTATTTCATCTGTTTTATTAATAATGATAATATCTTTGTAACTTTAGTAGAAAGAGAAAACCATAGTAGATCTGTAACTTAGTACATAGATGTACTTATCGTATTACCAGTAATTACATCTATACATATAATAAAATTCTAACTAAGTTTAATCTGTACATTAAATATTTTTTGGAAAATCTTATTGAAATAGACATTATTATCGATACAGAGGCTGAATCTGTAGTTTTTAGAATTTTTGTCTGTCTGTCTGTTACCGCATCACAGAAAAACTATTGGAGGGATTTTAATGAAATTTGGTATGGTCATAACTGGTTATCCGGGTCAACATATAGGATACTTTTTACCGCGGGAAAATATTTCATTTCTGAGAAAAAAAAATACAAAAACTGGTATTCTAAAAATAGCTTAATTTAAAAAAAAAATCTGTTTTTGGTCATCAGAACACGAGCGAAGCCGCCAGCAATGCTAGTTTTCTATAAAATCGATTGCAATACAAACAGTAAATAGGTAGGTGTTTATATTTTTATAAAATAGGTAAATGAACTTCGTGTGGAATGGTTAGGTTAGATTGTAAAAAAAAATAGAGATTTTTGTGTTGAAAATGTATTTAGAGCATTATTATCGTGATAACATTCGAAAACAAAGCGGCTATCCCTGCCGAGCCGGTCGGTTGGCTAGGCTATCCGGTTTGGACGTCGCCTGCAGTTCGTTCACCCACCCCGTCGCATCGTAGACCAAGTTTCTCTAGTATCACGTTATGCTAAATTACGAGTTAGACCTGAGACCTATTTAGAGACGTTATTAAAACAAATTTATATTAACAGTACAAAGTTACAGAATATTTAATGTAACATGTATAGACTTCTTCAAATTGCGGTTTTGATAAGTGTTTATTCATTGTTCTATAAAAGTAATTACAATTTATTGTTTACAAGAGGCTCACCCAAAACGAAAACAAATCTATCCCTCGGGACCCGTATATTTTTCAGAATAAAAAGTTGCCTATATGTTATTCCAGACTGATCTATCTCTGTGCCAAATTTCATACAGATCCGTTCAGTCGTTCTGGCATGAAAGAGTAACAAATATCCATACATACTCACAAACATTCACATTTATAATATTTATACATATAATGCTCTAAAGGCATAAATCATAATACTTTAAAATTTATATTCACATTTATTTGCTCTTTGATCTTTATTTATAAATTGGGAACTCCTAAATATCTTTGTGAACTTTTGATTGAATTGAAAAAACTATACTAATGTAGATAGACTTTATAAAGTAGAATCAGCCGCAAACTAGTGAGTAGAATTGCGTACCCAATAATGCCCAGTGTCTACCGTACTCTATGGGCTTGTAGCCGTCTTTTACGGTTACTAGATTAAATTCCGAAACCTTTCATTCCGCAAAGGGACAACATAATATGTATGTACATAATTGAAATTATAAGAAAACTAGCGACTCACTCTCGCCCCGGTCGGGTTTGTCCTAAGTTAAGTTTTAACATTTAGTATAGATTTCTCAGAGATGAGATAGGTATTTTCCCGCAGTAAAAACTATCCTATATGTTGACCCGGATAACCAGCTCATCATCATACCAAATTTCATAAAAATCTGTCCAGTGGTTTTCTCGTGATGCGTTCCCAGACAGACAGACATACATTCTAAAAAGTACATTCGGCTGCTGTATCGATAATAAATAATAATGACTTTTTTTTCAACAAGATTTCCAAAAATATATTTATTATACAGATTCGACCCAGAATTTTATTATACATATTTAGATGTTTAGATTTATCTTATGTAGCCATTAAATATGGAACGGATGACATTTTTCGACTTAATTAAGAAATATCATTATATTGATAGCTTATTTTTGCACATTGTTATTTAATTAGAGCCTATCTCGTTTTACATTTAAAAAAAATCCGTACCTTAGTTTCTGATGTTAGCCTGAACAAACTTAGCGCGGCGAAGGAGTTTATTTTTGATAGAAATTTTATATTCGTAGTTAATTGATATGTAACAAAGTACATATGTATTAGAGCACATAAGACTTCTCAAAATCCACTTTATTGTATTTTTGTTTACATCTGACGTCGCCTGCAAATAAATATCAGTTAAAATAAACCGTTTCTGAAATGCAAATGAAATGTTAATAGCGAACTTAAAGGAAACAATGATTATATTATTAAACCAAACAAACAAAAAGATAATGCACCTACTCGTAAAACTGAAAATTATTAATTTATGCATCGACATCAGTACCTAGGTAGTTAGTGCATTGTCTTTTTTTATTAAAATCATAAAAAAGAAAAACAATTTTCGCTTAAGTTTCCGGATTCACGTGAGCGACGATCTATAAATCTGTTTGGTGGATTAACTTGAGTAGAACCTTAAAATGAAAAGCTATAATAATAAAAAAATAATAAATATTTTGGGACATTAACACGCAGCGCCATCTAGTTCCATGGTAAGCTACGAGGCTTGTGTTATGGATACCAGATAGTTGATACACTACACATATATAACTTTAAATACATACATAATAAATATAAAAACCCATGACTGGAGTACAAACGTTCGTGCTCATCACACAAATGAATGCCCCCAGTGGGACTCGAACCCGCGACCGCTGGCACAGCAAGTAGGCTCACTACAAACTGAACCAAACGTGTCGACATCGACATCGAAAAGCTATTTTATAAGTTTATCTGTACAGATAAATAAAATTGAAGTGTTTGTAATGTCAAAATTACAACTTTTCTGAAATTATACACGGTCTTATAATAAAATACAATTTTAAATAAAACTATCTATTCGGATTTTTTCGCGAATTTATTTAGATTTTTGGTTGTTGGATTTTTGGAACCAAAAATAAAAAATAAATTCGCGAAAAAATTTAAATCGTTAATTTAATAATCTAATCTAATCGTTAATTTAAAAAGTGGGTTTTTTGCAAATATCTCGAAAACTTTGAGGTTATTGTAAAGAGTATTATTTATAAAAGTTGTAGATTCTTACTAGAGCTACAACTTTTGAACAAAGTATTTTTCGATAGAACGTTACAATAAGCTAGAAATTGTGAAAAAAAAATATTTTTCAACGCTTTGCGTCCCCGTTTCTCGGGGGTAGCTGGGCATCGGGGGCATTTTACGAATTTCTATTCCTTATACACTAGTACCTACCTGCTAACATTTTAAAATCATAAAACTTCAGGTTTTCAATATTTCCCCCCCTTCCCCAACCGGATTCCGATTGGACTAAAATAAAGACGCTATGATTACATATTATAATATTAAGTGGCAAACACTAGCTGTAATTTTTCTTATAGTTTTGATTACGCTATCCCTTTTATAATTTGGCAATGTGGTGGTTTAAATAATAAACGTGTGTTAACGCATGTGTGCTACCGCTGGATTTGGAACACTTTCGGTAGTTTAGTGAGCATATAACGTATCTATATTATAAATAAAACATCTACCTATATTATGAACTAGCGGCTCACCCTCGCTTCGCTCGGGTTCGTCGCTAGGTACGTTTTAAATAGATATAAAAAGAAAAAATCTTTCTTTCTCACATTTTAATTATATGTTTTAATACTTACCTATTCCGGACTAAGAGAAATCCAAAAATTAAAATATCATAAAAATTGGAACGCGGTCGAACGGGATAAAAAGTATCCTATGTCCTTCTCCTGGCTCTAAACTACCTCCCTGCCAATTTTCAGCTAAATCGGTTCAGCCGTTCTTGAGTTATAAGCGAAGTAACTAACACGACTTTCTTTTATATATATAGATATCTTCTTCTACCTGCCCATTTCCCAATCACTTGGAGTCTGGTGCAGTACATCTTCTGTACTGCTGATCAGGGTTCGAAACGATAATTATCATGATAATTATCATGATAAATATGGGTTGATAATTATCTTTGATAAATATAATTGAAAATAATTAATTTGTAACTCTTCAAATTGTCGATCAGTTAACTGAACTCTCTCAATCAGCTCAAAAAACTCAATCAGCAAACTGAGTTAATGCAGTTGAGGAGGATGAGGATGATATTCCACTCATTAAGGAGTCTGCTTACTACACCGTCTCATACCATGACCGTACTATGAACGTATCAGGTACGGATGCAAGCGACACGGACTAATAGTAGTCCGTACGGCACGGTGTTGGTTGGTGACGGAAAGGTCTGGGTCGGTGATGGAACAGTCTAGTGGCCATAGTCTCATACTTTTTAATACAAAGAATATTTTTTGCCTGACATGGTCCTAGCACTGTCATGGTATAAGACGGTGTAGTGGGCAGAGCCTTAATTTAATTAAATAGTGTCTATGTAGTTGGTTAAATTTATTCTGTTTTTATTTCCAAGTTTGTATGTGTCAAAATAATGTTTTTTTTTAAATATTATATAAAAGATTACCTTGATTGTTAAAAGTGTATGTAAATTATGATAGGCAAGTAGTCAAATACCAATACCTACACAAGGATTGTTAAGTTTTTATCTGTTTGATAATTATCGGATAATTATCTTGATAATTATGGCGATACTTATCAAAAGATATATTTATCTTGATAATTTCATACCCTGCTGCTGATAGATAGGATTTGGCAAAAGTTTTACGACTGGCCGCCTGCCTGACGTTAACCCTCCTTGGGAATTTTATAAATTAAATTATTATAAATATGAATATCTATCTATCTATATTATAAATAAAACATTATTGACGACGGACGTAAGTTCCATCATATCTATGTAAGTATATGAAATAAGCGTTAACAATACAATGTAATAGATATCAGGTAAATGTTCAACTTGCCATGCAGGTCATGCATATTTATTATTTACGTTAACGTTACGTATGAAACCCGCAGTCTGCCTTGCGGGGCACATCTAATCGGCCAATTTGCATAATCTCATATTTATCTAATATTCAATCAGGGTAGTCTATGTTTGACAATATACATACATAATCGTCAAAGAGGACAGTCTATTTTCTGATAAATTGGAATAATATTAATGAAACTAGTCACCGTTGAGTATCCCATATGTACATACATTACATTTTTGTTCAAAAAATACTCAATATCAAAAAATAATATTTGCATAGGTACTCTTAGTACCGTATATAAATCTTTAATAAAAGAAAAATCCAAGTTACTAAACTCAATCTTTCGTTTTTTTACTCAAAAAATTTTGGTATGCCACCTTACGAAACTTCAATCTTACGTTTTACCAACATATACATATATTACATTACTAGCGACTCAGCAAAAAGGGTCCAGGGTTTCAAACTACATATCTTCTTACCAAATTTCATCTAAATCGGTTCAATAGATCCTGAGATTACCCCCTACAATGTCACAAACTCACAAACTTTACCTCTTTATAATACATAGTACCTGGGCTACCGAGCTTCGCTCGGAGTTTTTGGCCTAAAGTACAATTTTTTTTTTTAACTAAAAACTTCAATAAATATAAAAAAAAACAAACGTAAAAACTTAGTATGCGACCGAGATTCGAACCTGGACACCTGGGATTGTTGATCTTGCAACTTGGCTGCTTGACCACGATGCTTATGTCCGAGCGTGCAAATTACCGATCATATTTTGAGTGGAATAATGCAAAAGAAAACTGCATGAAAACTCGAAAACACGCGTTTTCTCAGACATAAGACTAATCTAGATCGATTTATCGCCCCCGAAACCTCCCTGTATACTAATTTTCATGAAAATCATTGGAGCTGTTTCCGAGATTAAGATTATATATATATTTATATATATGTATACAATAATTGCTCGTTTAAAGATAAAAGATTAGTATAGATGTATAATGCATTTTTGTAAGTGTATTGGCTTCTAAATAGAGAATGTTAAAATAAATAAATAATTTGAATTAAAAGGTATGTTCAAGTTTGTTCATAGGGTTCATTTATAATGGATTATAAATGTAGTACTGTTTGTGCATTATTTGATTTTTTGTGTTTAAAATTTAAATAATAATTTCGGAACAAAAAATTAAAAAAATAAATTACGTAACCGAGTTTTTTGCAAATATCTGGAAAACTTTGAGGTTATTGTAAAAAGTGTTATATATAAAAGATGTAAATTTTTACTAGACTACAACTTTTGTAGAAAACATTTTTCGATAGAACGTCGCAGTAAGCGAAAATTAAAAAAAAAAACTATTTTTCAACGCTTTGCGTCCTCCCATTTCTCGGGGGTAGCTGGGCATGTGGAGCATTTTGCGAATTTCTATTCCTTATATAGTTTCTAACATTTTAAAATCATAAAGCTTTCAGGTTTTCAATATTTTGTTCCCAAAACGGATTCTGATTAGACTATACTGATATTTTAAAATATTTTTCTTTGAGATTTTACTCCGAAATTATAATCTCTGAAATTATCTGAATTTTACTCTTTGTCGATAAAAATAATTGTATGTTGTCACTTCCCAATTCATATGGTACTCATATGGACTGCTGTCACCTGCACCATGCTATAATGAAAATTTCAGATTCATCTAAAATCTATACAGACAAAATTGAAGTGTCTGTTTGTAATGTCAATGTTTTTATTAAATGTATATTAAATTATATATGGTACTTATAAGAAAAACACAATGTTAAAAAATTATGTCTGTCTCTTTGGGCTAATCTGTGAGATGACTGGACAGATTTTGACGGGACTTTCACTGGCAGATAGCTGTTGCTATAAGGAGTAACTTAGATTACTTTTATTTTAGACTAGCATTGCCCGCGGCTCCGCCCGCGTTCAGATGACCAAAAACCAAATTCTTAAGTTTTACATATTAGTATATTCTTACAATGCAGTTTTTGTATTTTTTCTCAGAAATGAGATATTTTCCTGCAGTAAAAAGTATCCTATAGGTTGACCCGGATAACCAGCTACCATACCAAATTTCATCAAAATCCTTCCAGTTGTTTTTCCATGATGCGGTAACAGACAGACAGACAAAAATTCTAAAAACTATAGATTAGGCCTCTGTATCGATAATAATGTCTATTACAATAAGATTATCCAAAAAATATTTAATGTTCGGCTTAGCTAGAATTTTATTATATGTATACTCGTAGAAAACGATTTAGGGTTCTGCTCAAAAAATTAAAACTTACTAGGGACGCACCAGAGCGAAGCGACGCGAAACCGCTTGTTGTTAATATAAAATTCAATTACAGTAATAATTACATACAGTTTTTCAAAATAGTTTTTATATTACAGGATAAGTTGTTTCCGTATGCTGAGGAAAATGTGAAGCAGTTTCTGGAGAATCACTGGGAAACCACCGACGTGAAAGAAGCAGTAACTGCGTTGCGGAAGTTGGCTCTTGAAGATGAGAAAAAGAGTCTTGAAGGGCTAGTTGCAATTCCTGGAGAGGTAGTTATCTAATTTCTAAAATTATGTATACTTATTTTGTGTCAGTGAACTTGGAACAGATAATCCATACTAATATTATAAAGAGGTAAAGTTTGTGATCTTGTGAGTTTGTGGGTTTGTGAGTTTGTGACGTTGTAGGGGGTGGTAATCTCTGGATCTACTGAACCGATTTTCAAAATTCTTTTACCAATAGAAAGCCACGTTCTTTCTAAGTGTCATAGGCTATATATTAACCCGAAGAATGAAAAGGCTTTTTCGTGGTAGTCGGATTTGCAAAGTAAGTCGGAGAAAAAACGGTCGAACATAAACGTTTCTTACGAACGCTGCCTTAACGATGAGAGATATATGATTATGTTCTAGTGAAAAGTTGTAGAGCTTAATAATGCCCACAAAAAAGTCAGTGATAGCATATGTCTAACTTTTATATTTAAGTCACAAAAAGTAGTTTTTTATATTAAAAAAATAATTTAAATCTGTAGGTCATGTTTATTGGTCATATTATCAACAATTATGAATTCTTATCAAAATAAGTAAATTTATCGTCTAAAATGTTTAAAACAAAAGACTTTTCCCTTTTACTGCATATAATTTGGACAAATGGTTAAAGAGATAATACAACATATTCGTAGGTATGGACGAACCCGAGCGAGCTGTTTGTCTGTTTTTCTGTTTGTACGGGCTAATCTCCGAATCTATTGGACCGATTTAAATAAAATTTTCATGGTGGTACCTTATATCCCCGGGCAAGATCTTAGATACTTTTCATCCCGGAAAATTAAAGATTTCCCGTGGGATAGTTAAAAAACTATAACAACTTATACAGCTGCAAAAATTGCAAAAGTTATAAGTAATTAACTAAAAATAAAATAGGAGGTTTAGTTTTTTGCAAATATCTCAAAAATTAATTGAGAATTTTCAAATCTAAAAAAAGATTCAAAAAGAGAAGGAAATTTCCTAAAAACATATTAAGTATAAAATTTAAGAAATGAGAAAATCAGGGGCTTACTGGATAGATAAATGAACAATAATCCACCGGATTTTTTTTATGACAATTTTTCAATTAGTTATGCAATTGTGAAATAATAATTATTTCCTGTTTGAACATTGAACATTGGAAGTGTGATCATTTTTAGACTATAAATTTGAGACATTTTTTCTTTTTATTCTTGAAAAATAAAAAAAAATGGTATTTTTCACAATGAAATGGATTTCACCCGAGGGGTGGAATTTAAAAAAAAACTTTCTTAACGGATATCTACTCTTCACTAAGAACACACCCTCCACATTTCATGTCTCTGGATGGAACCAGTGGTTTAGGCTGTGTGTTGATATATCAGTCAGTAAGGACTTTAAAAATAAACATGTTGGGACATTAACACACACCACCATCTAGTTCCATGGTAAGCTACGAGGCTTGTGTTATGTATACCAGATAGTTGATACACTACATATATATAATTTTAAATACATATATATTATAAATATAAACACCCATGACTGCAGTACAAACATTCGTGTTCATCACACAAATGAATGCCCCCAGCGGGACTCGAACCCGCGACCGCTGACACAGCAAACAGGGTTACTACTAACTGAGCCAAACGTGGCGTCAAATTTTTTCACTTTGAATTTTATACAGTAATACCCCGACGTACGCTACCCCGTTTTACGCGAATTCGGAGATACGCGGTTTTTCTTTTTGATTGCCGCGCTCATCAGCTCTCCCACTACGCAATGTTAGTGTTCCATTTACGACAAGTCTGAAAGTGTTCCGCGTGGAATTGTTTTACGTACGCAGTGCGTTTTATTGATAACCTATAATTATGTCATCCAAAAAAAATATGAGTCATTTGAACTACAAGAAAAGCAAGAAAAGAAATACACTTTCTTTGGAACTTAAACTGAATTTTATCAAAGACTATAGCAAAAATTTTAAAAATTAGCAAAATTTATTACTGTATATATATAGATAGATGTAGTTTTAGTAACAAGAAATAAAAATCAATTTCCAATATCCAATTTAAATAAATTATATTTTAAATTCAATTTCAGGATGCATCAAAGGAAGACCAAATAGAGGGTCTAGTGAGCAACGTTAAGTGGCAGATGTCGTCTGATCGTAAAGCGGGCCCCCTCAAACATTTACAGGGACTGATTTGGAAACAAGGTTTTGATAAAGGGGATATAAAGGGACAGTGAGTAATCTTACATTTTTTATTCATAACACGTGTAACATTGAATAGGAGTTATTATTTTGCCAATAGTAGGTCAAACAACAATAGCTTATCTAGTGTTATGTAAAATAACAAAAAAAATTGAATTACTTACCAAAAATATTTATGACAAATTAACTTGTGTCATAAGTTTAAAATAAATGCTTTTTAGGCATATAAAAATTAATTGAAGGTCTATAATGTAAATAGGGCTAATTTCAGAACACATCACAATCCATATCTCGTTAATGTCAAGGACAAGGTCGTAACTACTTTTTGATGCAAATATTCTTAATATTTGATGAATTAATATTTTAATATGTTCTATGTATCTTCTTAAATAAAATAATAACAGTGATGATTTTTGTCTTATCTGTTTGCGCGTGTATAAATAAATGAATAATAAATATGTTTACATTAACACACAGCACTACGAGTATATAGTTCCATGGTAAGCCACAAGGCTTGTGTCATGGATACCACATAGTTGATACACATATACAATTTTAAATACATATATATTATAAATATAAACACCCATGACTGAAGTACAAACATTCGTGCTCATCACACAAATGAATGCCCCCAGCGGGATTCGAATTCGCGACCGCTGGCATAGCAACTGAGCCAAACGTGTCGTCAAATCTTATCCCTCAAGAAAGTATTATTATTATTTAATAATTATTATGAATTATTTTTATTATTTTAATTAATCCAAATTCAAAATATACAGTCAATCCATTTCAGTCAGTCGAACTCGTCTCAAAGTAGAATGAACTTAAAGTAAAAGTTGAATTCATGCATTTCTTTTCCATGTTTTAATGGCCAGTCAATTTTGGTAACATGTAGATTGTTATTTCGTTTTGCATATTTTAATATCAGACAATTACCCAAGAATAAAAAGAGTAAAAATAATTGGCTTTCTATAATTCGACATTAGTAATACTGTTTGAATCTAGCTTTAAAAACTCTTAGCTTTAATTAGCTGTTTAAATAACAAGTGAATTACAGCCCTTACATAAAGTGAATGAGCTGAAATATTGCTAGTTACGCTATTTAACACCTATCTAGTGTCTAGGTTTCCAATGCATAAACGTTTATACTATTTGAAAATATTGATAAACAAAACGTCAACAAAAAATGCGTGTTGTTATAGGTGATATCTTGTTATTTTGCATATTTATGTAAAAAATTTGATTAATTTGATTTCAAATGATTTTGTAATATTATAAATCTTATCATTATTTTAGTAATAGTATATCATGCTCTAAAACATTTGATGTTTTGTCACTTCTTCACACAATTGCGTGGCTATGATAGAGTTAAATGTAAACTAACAATAAGCATAGGTGTTATTTAATAGGCTAGAGATTGAGTTTTTATTGTGGGAACACAAAGTGGTATTAGTCGTATTTGGGATTTACAAATAGGATCCTTTTATAAAGACCTACCATGTGGGAAGAGTAAAACTGATGTATCTTGCTGCAGAATATACACATTATAAAATTTCCTTCTTTTAGTGTATACGATGACGTGTCCGCAGCTCTTGAACTATGGCATGGTGTTGAGGGCCAGAAAGTTTATATTTACTCATCTGGCTCAGTTCAAGCACAGAAGCTACTCTTTGAGAAATCTCTTGCTGGAGATCTCCTTCCATATATAGATGGGCATTTTGATACATCAGTTGGAGCTAAGCAAGAGGCCAAAAGTTATACATCAATTATTGAAAAGATTGGTTGCAAAGCCGAGGAGATTTTATTTCTCACTGATATTCCCAAAGGTAAGATGCTTTCTTATCTCTTTCCTAACTTACCTGAATTATGTTTTATTTTATACTATATTTGTTTAAAAAAAGTTTGATATTTCGGTATAGTTATCGATAACTCGGATAATTTAATCAGTAAACTTAAATTTGCATAGTTAAAATTTTAAAAATCTTCAAAATCAACATCAAAATCAATGTTATAAATTGTATAAAATTTTATAAATTTTATAAAATTTACGTTTTCTCTTTCCCGGATACACCCATATACACCCATATAATGTGCCCTAGTAAGTTTTTACCATTCCTTTTCCCTCATTTTTCGCACCCTACTTGTTGAAAAAAAAAACATATAATTGCTTCATGCAATGCAGTTGGAATACCGTACACACTAAGTCCAGTCCCATTTTTATATGCTCCATTTGTCTCATTAAACTCCTGTTTTCCTCTACTGCTTTTAACATATTTTTTTCTGTCCATTTTCTAGGATGTACTTTCCTATTTCCTGAAATTATCTCCTTGTGTATATTTACCCTGTGCTGCTTTTTTCAGACGTACTTATAACACCGCGTGTAAAAACTCTGTAGTTAATAATGAGTATTATATAATTTGCCGTACTTACTACGCGAATGGAACCACGTGAAAACCTAGTTAATAATGAGTATTACATAATTTCCAGAGGCGGAGGCAGCTCGCAGCGCGGGCTTGCACGCGGCCCTAGTCAGCCGTGAGGGCAACGCCCCGCTCGCCGCCGCCGCGACCGACGCCTTCGCTGTCATACACTCGTTCGCCCAGCTCGCAGTCTCCTACAAACGCAAAACTGAACCCCAGGTGCCGTGATGTTGCCTTGCATGCACTACACGTGACGAATCAGTATGCTATCATCTAGCTGATTTATATATATTTTTAATTATTCTCAAATTTGAATGCGAGATTATAATCGTTTTAATATTTTATAAACAAAAATAATATCATTAAAATTCAAACCAAAACCCAAAAATGACAAATAGAAATTCTGCACACTTATTGAAAAAAATAGTAAGCTATACATTTATTGTATAGCATACTAATTTTGTATTGATCATTCTGTATATTTACATATACAGACACATCAACCCTGTTAGGCGATTTATACTAAGCCGTCAATATCGTTAATAGTAAACTTAATAAATTTTATTATAGTTTCAACTAAAACGTTAATTACACTAATCCGTCCAACTCACCCTCTCAAATAAAACAAAACGGACCTGCAGGTGCCGTGATGTTGCCTTGTGTACAGTTTCTCGAACACGTCGTTCCCTCCCTGCCTCGTTATTAATGGGTGTATAATATTTTTTCACATCGTGTATATTATGTGAACATATGCTAGGAATTTTTCAGTTCTAAGCTAACATTTTTGTTTGTTACGAAATATATAATATTATTGATAATAATTAACATAAAAAGATTGTATTATCACCAAAATTTAACATATCACTTTAAAATAGATACGATAATTAGAAGTAGGTTTAAAATTCGATTTCTAAGATTTGATTACATAATTATTTAGTTACAAATGAAGCTATAATAATTATACAACATACGGCGATGACGTATTCTTACTCTCTAATAAAAATCCAAATAACTAGCAGTAAGAACTATATAATTACATGTTGATAGCTGGCATACGTTAAGAGCAAAGGTCAGCTGTTAAGCCTAGTTCGCATTAAGCTAGTATTTTAGTCTAGTAGCAAGTAATTTAGTAACTAAACGTGTCTGAACACTAAAAATTTAGTCGATTAGTTTAGTAAGTAATTTAGTCGAGTCAATCCATTTTATTCTATTTTTTTGAGCGAGTAGCAGCCCCCACCACGCGTCCAAGCTCACTGGTTCACCGGCTAAACAAGTACGAACCTGTCGAATTAGTCGAGTTCATTAGTTGCCGCCATAATGTCGTTTCGCTGGAGCGAAGAAATGACTTTTAATTTTGTTTCGAAATATGTTGAACACGAATGCTTGTGGAATATTAGGTCCTTGCATTATAAAAACAAGCATATGAAACATTCCGCATACTTAGATTTGGAAAAAATAATGAATATACCCGGATTTGGCGAAAAAGAAATTAAAATTAAAAACATCAGGTTACTTTTCATTACTTTATTTCAAAAGCTTATTTATGTATTTATTTAATTAATTAATTAGAACGGTATAATCGAAATGTTTAAATTAAGCACAAACCAACATATTATACTTTTTTAATTTACATTTTATTCATCTTATCTTAAATTATAGTTTGTAATCAGTGACTTACAAAATATACTATAAAATATATAATGCTACACTGAAATTATAAAAAAACACCACTCACTTGTAAACTGTACTCGACCAAAGTGCGAACGATTTTTAGTGAGTAGCGAGTAATTTAGCTACTAAATTACTCGCTACTAGACTAAAATACTAGCTTAATGCGAACTAGGCTTTAGAATCACTGACAGCCGAATCATGATGATTGCTGGTGGCTATAAATGAAATTGAAATTATATATATTTATATCATGGTGTATATAATAAACTAACTACTACCTACTACTACTACTACTAACTCATAGATATATTTTTATATTCACACAATAAGCTATGTGTTATAGACTGATTTGACTAAATATATGATAATTTTAATACATATATTTTAAATTTATTATAAACAATTGTTAAAGATTAAACATGCCCCATATAAATGAAAATTATTCTCCTTTGCTGAAGTACCAACTTTAATAAAATATTTTTCATCTTACCTAAAGAGTTGTCAAAAAACTACAATCAGAACTCAACTTCATGATATTCAACTACTTCATGTTTTTTATACAAAATTAATAAAAAAAATTATAATAAAAATAAATTCATGATATCTAGGTTAATGTTTATACGCAAATTTTTTACATACTTGGTTCGTCATTGCTGCACTCAAAAATATAATATGCATATTGGTGATGGTGTAGAATAGTGCTTTGTAAAGTTTATATTGAAGTAAAACTTCTTTAGGTGTTAATGAGGGATAAGTCAATACATTGGAAAAGAGAGTGTTGCGGAAGTGAAAGTAAAATTTATTGTTAATAATTTACAAAAAAAATGTATTTTTATAATAAATTACTTATAAAAATGAATATTTATTACCTACTAATAATTTAACAAAAATCATTACAGTTATATTTTGACTTGTTTGAATTTAATTTCGGCATCTCCCACAGCGCCAAGAAGTTTTACTTCATTTTTTTTATAACTTTAAGGCATTTTTTTATGAAAGTAAGAATAACTTAAAGGTGATGGTTTAATTTAATAGATTAGGTGTTGATATAATTGTTTATAAATAGGAAAAAGTTGTTATTGGCAGTAATTTGTTGTCTAGCTGGCTATACTGTTGTTTTGCACATATATTTTCTTTATTTTTTTGGAATATTATATAAAATTTTATTTCTGTATAGCAGAGATTGTTATTTATATTTGAAAATAAATCATTTTATTCAAACTAATTATGTTTCTTTCTTTGCATGAATAAATAAAATATTTTTATACCCCTTATTTCTGTTACATTGTTTCTTTACTTTCTATTTTTCAAAAAGATAATATTTATTTGAGTAGTTAGGCAAAGTGTTTTAAATAATTATCAATAGTTTGAAAGAGAGAAACATTTAATATAATTAAAAATCCTTAAACACTTCTTAATCTATAAAATCTTTACTAATTCTAAACATATGCAGCTATGAATTTTAATTATGAAATGATTATGTTTCAGGATGAGCAGCCTGCTAAAGTTCCTAAGACTGATGCGAGTAACAACAGTAAGGATGCAGTAGAAGCAGAAACGACGAAACAAAAATCTTCCGAAGCTCCGGCGGTAGAAAACAAAAAAGAAGAACTTCAAAAAATGGAAGTTGATGAAGATAGTGCACCAGTTAAAAAAGATAGTATAGACGTAAAATCAATGGATGACGAACCTGCGGTTGTTGTTGAAGAAGTAACAGACTCTATCGAAATAGATGCACCAATCTCTGATGCAAAACCCATTGTAACTGAAGTTAGTGATAAACCAGAAGAGACGGAAAAAATGGAAACAGATGTCACTGAGACATCTCAACCCGCTAAAGAAGAATCGTCCAAAGATAAGACGCCAGAACCTGCAAAATCAACAGAAAAAGAAACGACTGAAAAAGGAGAAACCGATAAAAAGACTGAAACAGAAAAAGTAGATGTGCCAAAAGAGTCTTCTGTATTAGAAGAGAAACCGATAGAAGAGAAGGCACAAATTGCTGAAAAAACTCCGCCTGCTGTTATTACTGAAATTGAAGAAATAACTGGAGACAAAGAAAATTTGGCAGAGATGGCAGAAATTGCTGATATAGAACCAGTTGTTGAAGAGCCAACTTCAGGTGAAGTCATGGAAGACTTACAAAACGTAGGCCAGGAATTAGAAAAGGAATGTGCCGATATTTTAACAAAAGTACAAAATGTAACGAATCTAGACGGTATTCCGGTAAAACAATCTTTGAAACCTATTGTAGAGGAGTCGGCAGATTCGGACAACGAACCTTTACTGTCAGAAAATATATTAGAAAAAGAATTAGAAATCGAAATGAAACGATGTGAAGAAATTGCCCATATCATGTCAGTAAGCTTAAACAACCCAACAAGACGATTGAAAAGGAAAGCTAAAGGAGACAAAAGGGAGCATGCGAAAGATAAAGTTGAAGCTACTAAAGAGAAGTCAGATTCCACTAAAGAGATGTCGGATTCCACTAAAGAGATGTCGGATTCCACAAAAGAGATGTCGGATTCCACAAAAGAAAAAGCGGAACCTGCTGTCGAAAAAGCGGAATCATATGACCAGCTGCCGTCAGATGATACGAAACCCGATAAGGATAAAATAGAAGCTGATAAGGAAAAGCCAGCACCCGTTAAAGAGACCGTCAAAACATCTGAAGAAAAACCAGAGGAGACTAGGACTACTGAAACAAAGACTGCGGAGGAGAAAGTAGAAGAGAGTAACGTAAAAATAGAAATAACACCAGAAGAAACGGCAGCAGAAAGTAGTTCAAAAGATACTGAAACAGCAATGGAAAAAGATGAGCAAATACAAACATCCACTGCCGAAGAAAGTAAGGACTCTCCGAAAGAAGATAAACCTACTAGCGCTACAGAAACAAAAGAAGAGACGAACACGGAAGAAAAACCTAAGGAGAATAGCGAACAAGTGAATGGTAAAACGAATGGTGATACAGAAGTGGTTCAAAATGGCGACGCTAGCAACGATGACTTAAGTACACGGCTTTCTGTTGAGAACGGGAAAGAGGTAAATGGGGCCAATGGTGATTCTATGGACACAGACAATGGGAAAGAAGAAAAGAATGAAACAGAAATCAAAGTGAAAACAGTGTCAACGGATGAGCCGCGTACTGAACCCGTGGAGCAGCCTACTGAAGCATAAGACTTGTGGTACGTGAATTTTGTCTACTTTGTATATAATATATTAGGTGTGCGAGATAGTCTCACGTTCTTATTCTCGCTTTTAACGTTATGATCGGCCAGTATCTTCTCACTAGACACACGAGCTTGAATTCAGCAAATGTGTTACGTTAGGATTCTTGTGCAGAGAACTCCTTTAGTTCAAGATGGTGGCCGGTCACTAAACTTAGCCACAGCCACATTAATTAAAGTTTCTCTTAGAAACGGGCACCATATTATTGACATATTTTTTCGCAAGTTATTGATTTAATTTGGACTCTTCGTAAATTTAAAATCTTTACCTTCAAAAATGGTATATAGATAATATACGTATTTGTACATAAACAACTCTTACTAATATTATAAATGTAACAGTTTAGATGTTTGGATGAATGTTTGTTACTCAAATCACGCCAGAGCGGCTGAACGGATCTGGATGAAAGTCTCAGAGATGAAATAGCACATAGGCTACTTTTTATCCCGGAAAAATGTACAGTTCCCGTGGGATAGATTGCTTTTTGTTTTTCTAGAGGAGAACTCGAGCAAAGCGAAGTTGAGCCGCTAGTTGACTCTAAAAATAAAATTGACTTTAGTAGTCATATATTTCTGCTGCATTCAATGCTAATTTTTAAAATATGTATTGAATACAGCAGATTTAAAGTGAGAGAGATTAGTTTCTAATTAACTAGATTTGTTCAAATAAACAAACTCTGTCTCTTTATAATATTAGTATAGATTATATCAATTGTAGCAAAAAAAGGAAATGATTTAATAATAGATTTACAAATCGACGGGTGAAAGGCTATTTGGTTTAAGCGACATTTGCTTAAACCAAATAGCCTTTCACGAATTTGTTTTCAAAAACAAATCGTTAAATTGGCTCTCCTGTAAAGTTAAGAAAATGTCGCTTAAACCAAATAGCCTTTCACCCGTCGAAATAATAAATCAATTTAGATAATTATTAATAATAATCAATGCTATGTAGACAGATTTATAATTATTGCTGTAAATAAATGGTGTTTTGATTAAATAGGTGATATGTAATATCTGCGGCTTAGAGGTATAGCGTAAATCTGTTTGTTTTAATGCAATGTGAAATCTTGATGACAATTAAATAATTAAATACTAATAGCTTTGCTCTAATAATGTTAGGAGATAGATAATGATATACGTTTAACATTGAAGTGTTGCCCTATTGTCATTGACCCTACATGCAGTGCCGAATTCAACCATAACGCCCGCCTGGGCTCTGTAAAAAATGTCGCCCTATTATTGAAATTTTACATAAAAATTGGTAGTTTCGATAAACTTTAAAAAAAAAATATTATTATTTTTGAAAAAAGGCAAAAAAATAAATTATATTTTTTTTCATTTTTTCGGAAAAAGTACTAGTTATTTTTTTTAATATTTCATATTTTGGAAAAAAAGGCATTTTGGGTAGATTTTTTTTTCACCCTCCGAATTTTGCTGGTCTGGGCACTAGCTTCTTAGTGTAAATCTAGTGCTGCCTATATGTCTAGTTGAAAACGTAGTCAAAAAAAATACCAGCAAAACCTGCGAGTTTAAAACTTTTTTTTTAATATTTTATAAAACGCGCTTAACGATGTTTAACTTGATGTTGATGTGTAACAATGATGATATTAATACTAATGCAGAAAAAAATGTTTTTCAGTGTACGGCAAAATATATGTTGGAGTCTAAGCGTTGGCCCACATCAGATTGACAAGACTGAGGCTGCTACCGCTGACTTCACTAACTAGTTTATACAAGTATTGATACGAACTCACTATCGTCAACTTATAAGTGTAAACGTGCTTTATTTACTTCTTTTCCTATACACTTTGTGAAACAAGAATAGTATGTTAAAAATGTAAACGGGACAACTGACATTTTGTATAGTATTTTATTTATATATTACTAATTAATATACATGGTTATATAAGGCAAGCTTGATTTCCTTTTTTACATTATACAGCAAATTGTATAGTATAAGAAGTTGATATCGTACGTTTACATTTTGCTAGCACAGTATTCCGCGCGGTGACCGTTTTGTACATTGCCGGTATTAAGCAATATTAAGCGATGATTGAATGAACGTTGTATTTTCTACTTAAAATTATACAATTTAAATTATCCAAGTGTAATATAAAATATTTATGCTTTCTAAGTTATATATTTTGTATTCGAAAGACTGTGCTGTTTCATCTTAAGCTGGTACTAAACTTATTGAGCTTAAATATTTTATATTCACTCGCTATATGTATGTACTAAATGGATACAAGTAGATTATACGTCGATATTTTCAATTTTCCTATTGAATGTTTTTATAAGTGACAGTACAATTATCGTATAAATCGTGTGACGTGAAGTATCGCACAACCGTTTCCATTACATTAATGTTGTATGAAACATTCCTTCAAAATTTATCGATTTAAGTGTTGTAAGTTAGCTTTTTAGATATAACCCTCGTGCTCGCGCTGTTCGTCTGTCTCTATGTACTTATAATGCTTTTCCTATATGCTTGATTGAAGATATTACAATAACGCACCCTTTTTTATAATCCGTTTGTTGTAATTGACTTAATAATTACCATTGTTTTTTATAGAGTACTATCACAAGTAATAAATAGAAATAGAAACAAACTTTTTTTTATATAATAAATTAATCAAACCTAGTGTTGTAATATTAGTTTTCAATCTTTCAAGAACGTAATAGAATGTTTGGAGTTGATTGGTACATGTAATCTCAACAAAGAATAAGTTAAATTATTATAGGTATGTTAATCAGTATATTTAATTGACGATACTATTGTTTATTTAAAGCAGTCGAAGGGATTCAGTTTAAAAATGAAGCGTATATTGTAATATGACAGATTCCATTTTTATCAATACAATCATATTATATTTAAGTGTGTGATATGTGATATTTTTTAAAGAGTTAGCTATAGTGTAAGCGCGGGCACGCGGCGTTCGCCGGTTCTGTACAACGTTAGTCACCGCCTGACGTATTCGATTAAAGTAAGGTTTTATTCGTAAGTATTAACTGTATTGTGATCTTAATTATCCTACGCATTACAGATTTTTGGTCATTTTTCTTACACTGCCAAAACACTTGCCGTCTCTCATTCGACGTCGGTTAGTTTTATTGTGATATTGATGTGACAAGACCGCGATTAATTTAGAGTTAATCTAATAAGTTGATTAAAATAGTTTTGGACGCTGTGCGGTGAGAAGTGCTGAGTGGATGGAAATGGGAAGTTTCACGACGCATGTCTCATTTGTTAGGTTATGGAATTAGATAGGATCTATTGGTTGCTGTCACACCGTTTAAAGGGTTTATTATGTAGCCAACTACATGTTACAGGTAACGTATAAGCGTTTTGTTAACCATTTTATTGTATTATATTGTATTAACTTTTATATTTATTATTATTCGGTGAGATGAACCGTAAACAAGACTGTCTTTTGAAATCAACGCTAGGTATAAATTTTCTCACATTATTGACTAGTCATGCCCCTGTGAATCTCTAAATTCCAATGTGACATTTTGGTACTATTATGTATTATTGTGAATGCTATTTTTTTTTTAATTATAGGTTCTAAATTATGTTCCTTTAGTTTTAAGGTTAAGGTGGCGTCGATTTAGCAAACTGATGTCGATTGAGAGAACAAGTTTTTTATCTAGACTGATTTTTTACTAATATTTACTCTCAACTTCCATTCAATATCTCAAAGCGATTTCTTTTATTTTTATCGATGTTATTTTGGTTATAACACTGACGAAATGAGATAATTGATACACGAGAGAAGCTTAATTACAAAATAAGTATTTAGTTCACTAGGATCCCTTGTATAAATAACAAGATTTTGAAAGCGTCTGAAATGTATTAATTTTAATTATTATCACCACTGATGACGTTGAAATATAATGGATGTAGAATTTTTAGTGGCTTTTTATTTCGTACCCTTTTTTATTTGTAGCCAAATATATTGACTTATATTACGAAAAAACAAGTGAAATTGTAATACAGTTAATCGTTTTAAATATTCCAATTTGGAATCTACATTTGGATGTTCTATAATGAAATTAATTAATTTCTTATTTTTTGGTTAAGTACCTATTGTATAGTTAACTATGACTTGGTCCGACCTTGCAAAAATAGCATATTTTAGACATCTTGAGAAATATTTTTTTAAGAAAGGATGATTATACAGGTTGTGATATATGTAATTAATATAAATGTTTTGAAATAAATAAAACTTGAATCAAATATCTACGTTTAAAAGAAGACAAATGAGTCCATCTCGGGACAGGGTGGACGGATTTCCCGTGGGAGAAGCCAACTCCTATCGGGCGCGTCCCCAGGTGGCGGATAGGGGCATGCCACCCGTTTAGAGGGGCGGATGGTACCGGAGAAATCCGGCGCGGACCAAATGGCTTGGATGGGGCCGCTCGTCTAGGCCTCGAGCCGAAGACGTTGCGGCCACCGGTGGTGGGACCGCTTGGTCCCACAACCGGATGATGAGTGCCGGTTGCGGGACTGTGGTCGCAGGCCCGCATTCGGCGGAGGGGTAGGCCGCGGCGTGAGAGGAGTGCCGGTATTTCGGTGCGCCGTTCTCCCTACCTTCCGCGGCCTAGACGGGGCCGCCACCGTTTCATGGCGGACGCGGTGGGGCTGCAGGGGAAGAGGAGTGTCGGTGTTTCGTTGCCGCTCTCCCTGTCCTCTGCAGCCGATTGGAGGTGGCCCACTTCGGTGGGCGGTGTTTTGGTTTTATGGGGCTGCTCCGGGTACCTCTCTGACGTAGCAGAGTTGACTGTGGAGCAGCCCCATTGGTTTGGTGGTCTGCCTAGTATTTAGGCAGACCTGCCGCCGGGGCGCCGTAGTAGTTATGCGCAAGCGATCCTGTGGCGTCCCACTAAGGCGGGGGGAAGGGATGTCGGGTTTTAGTGGGTAGTACCGGCTCTTCTAGCCGGTGAGCCCCATATCACCACCTGGGGGATCAGGTGGTATGCGTAAATGCATTTCCCGACGATAAAAAAAAAAGGGTGGACGGATTTGAATAACTTATTGTAGAGGCTGGATTTTCACTAATAGAAATTATAAATTATAACTGCAATGAAATATGTATACTTTTTAAAAAAAAATGTTAAAAAAATAAAAAAAATGCTAAGTGTTACGCAAAATAGTAGGGATGGGCTGAAATTCGTTTTAGAGTTAGAAACAAGTATTTTTAAATATTAAAGGGTGTTTTCAACAATCAAATTTAACGAGTAAACACTCGGAAACACGGGTATTTTTAATTAATAAAGGTGTTTTCAACAATAACAATCTTACTACAGGCAGGCCATGGTGTAAAAACACCAAAGACTGCCTTATCTGGCAGAAGCCTGTTACGTTTTAGTTCGTATATGTTAAAATGTTTCCTGCCTCTGAGAAGTCGAAGTTCAACCGAATTCGGACGATTTTTTTATTCTCGCCATATGTTTGGCCGAAGTTCGTATTCGGTTCAAGCCACATTCGGCCCATCTGCAAAATAATCATATCAATGACATGTTTCTTAATTTTCTATTAGCGTTAACGATTGTCAATTATATATTATTGACACTAGTGGTTCTGGATATTCAGTTATAACCGTACAACGTACTTTTTAAAGTGATGAGCTGAAACAGAACTATGTAATTATTTCTAACTAAATAATTAATAAACCAAATTATCTGCGTACCTGAGTACCAACACTAGTATAGTATTATATGATCTGTGGTACCAACCTACGAAAAGGATTTTAATGGTTGCGCATTAAATAAAATTACCAAAAGGATTGAAGCTTATTATGATTGTAACTAACGCCGTGTAAAATATAATAGCACTAATATGCTCTTGTGGCAACGTGTGATGGCAGTTTAGGTACACATATTTTAATTTATAAATAAAAATAAAATTATGTAATGATATCATCTATAGGATGTAGAAGGAAAAGAGAAAACGAGGAAGAGCACTTAGATGATTGGTCGATGATATTAAAGAAATAGCAGGAGACAAATGCCAAATAAAAGCAGGAGGAAGTCTTTAGAAAAAATAATAATTGTGTAAAAAAATGCATAAAAAATGAGAAATAATAAAAGGTTTATTTTGTAATTATGGTTCTTTTTTAATATTTCATGTTTTAAATCTTGAATTGTTATCCTTAAATAACAAAGTTTGCGCGACGTTATTAAATAATAATGTTTGTCCTACTAAAATTATTCTTTTTTACTAGCGACTCACCCTCGCTTCGCTCGGGTTCATCCCTACGTTGATTCCCCGGACAAACTTTCATCCCCATTTTCACCCCCTTAAGGGATGATTTCCGGGATAAAAATTCCGGTTCAGTAGATCCTAAGATTACCCTCTACAAGCTGACAAACTCACAAACTTTACCTCTTTATAATATTAGTATAGATAACAATAATTGATATGAAGATTTTTATAAGGGAACTTTTAGGTGCAAAGTATTGAATATTTCATATATCCAATTGTATAGGATTCTATTGAAAAAAGTCTGGTGACAACAAAAACCTTGCCTACAATCTAATTTAACAAAATGATCTATTTTTACGTTCTGAAAAAAGTAATGGTTCTGTATGTTTTACACTGATCTTCGGAGCGCCTAAACCGACTTTAATGCGACGTTCATTAGTAGATAAAATAATGAGGCAAC